GAAAGTTTAAAAGTTAGTAGAGAGTGAAAACGTACAAGATTCACCGCCATTTTTGGGTTTCTCTTGTAGAATAAATTATACAAATCTATATGTTATACAAAATAATCCCTATTTTCCCCTTTGGGCTGGTGAACGGCTGGACCAATTTCGCCAATTCTTTTTTTGTTGTGTTATGGAAGAAACAATTAAAAAAGTTGCGCGGGACATTGGAAAAGTGCCTTTATTATGTATACTATACACTTTCTTGTTGTAACCAGTAGAGTTTTATTTATTTTAGCTGTGAAACTGAAAGGTTGCTGGTACTTATAGCACAAGATATCCTATTTTAAGTACTAGCAGAACACTAAAATTAAGGTTTTCGGTACCACTATTGAGATTTCCCTGCTCGTCTGCCCAAAAAAAACTATGTACCTACTTATATATTGTGCCAATAAAGAATTTTTTTATTTTATTTTGTATGTGATTAATGATCCTGAGGGAGCAATGGCTCTAGGCTTAAATAAATTCTTTAGATGAAGGCTATAGGCTATATAACATCACGCTGCATCATTGGAAAATGTTGCAAAAACTGGGCAAATTTATTCTTTTTCAAATACAAAGATGAGCAGGTCAGCTGGTATATAATAATCATGTATACACTGTATATTTTCAAATAAATTGCACGAAAATATAACAAACTTACCAGTATTAGACGATGTCATATTCCTCAAATAAAGCCCGCGCATATAAAAAAAATAAAAAAATAGCAGAGAGCTGAATACTCACAGCACGACAAAACAATACTGACTAACTGATATAATAAATATTAGGCGAGAACAAAACTAACGATACGATAAGACAAATACGCATGCGCAGAGACACACAAATCCGGTTTTAATCATCAAAACTCAGTAGTTTTAATTTTTACAATAATTATGTTATTACCTATACTAGCAGCTTATATATACTAGCAAATTTTTTAAAATAATGATGCACATCTAACTTGCCAAATAATTGGACTCAAATTGTAATAAATTACATCTAATCGACACTAAAACTTGTTAGTAATATATTTTAATTAGCTAATGGTGGACATTACCTTTCTAATTATTATAAGAGACAGATAGAAAATTCGCTATCATAATAACATTTTTGGGTTTAAAAATATTGCTTCTATTGGGCAAATTGAATTACCCATAGTGACTTTGCCAATCCCTTGCCAGTTATTTTTTTTAGAACATTTGCTTTAAAACATTTGTATGATACTCAATAATAAGCAACTTAAAAAAGATCAAATAGAAGGTCATCATCTGTGTTGACTTTTAATATTAACCTATTGGGAAATTCAAGTATAGTAAGGCACCTCCAAGTTCAAGGCACTCTTTCAATCATACAATCTGAAGTTGTGAAAACTTTAAGGTTGAACTTAAAGCTGTTTTTAATAGTTCAGTACTCTGTGTAAAGAATAACCCTAGCACTTATTACAATAGCTTTTTTTCAACATTTAACACCATTTATACACCAAATCGCTAGTGGTTAAAGATAACGCCACATTTAGTAAATGGGCTACCCCTGGCTTACTCAAAAGTAGGAAAGTCAATATTGTAGGTATCATTTCGTTAAACCATGTCGCTAATTCCTGGGTAGTTTGACTCGGATCGACTTCCACCATCCCATTCAACTTAGTGTTATTCAACTTCGACTTGAAAAACGAATTACGTGGAAGACCGCATTACAAAAGCTTTTAAACTAAAAATGCACGGTGCGTTCATTAACAGTCTCCGTTGCTGCCGCGTTAGTGCCGCGTCGGAACTCGTATCTTTTACGCCTAAGCTGATTTTGAAAGTCGAAAATCGAATGCTGCACATTTTTTAAAGAAGAACTTCAGGTATCAAGTGAAAAAAGTTTCACACGAAAATCTCACACCATGAAGGTTTTATGTCAATTCAAAAATTGCAATATATCTAATTATTACCTCAATTTTAGTAATCTTTAAATAATCAGTAATAAGAATCCTTAACATATTTGCAATAACTAAAACGTATTGCACTTACAAGTAGTAAATGAAGATCATAAATAACGAAATATGCTAATTATAAATTATTACTATACTTATTGCAGATATAGTTAGTAAAATTACTTGATAACGTGACTAACTTATTCCTATCTATAGTTATTCGTCTTGAAAGTAAATCATAATACAAGGACCTAGATGTTGCAGTTTTACTTGTATTAAAACCGGCTTTGTCACAGATATGTAAAAAAATGTCTAATGAGTTATATAATCTCGTTCTGCTGATTCCGAAAATGTCTAACCAAATAAAAACTAGAGTTATTGCACTTTTTCGTAAGGCCGGCAGAGCGGTCGGTGACGAACTAAACAACGGGCGAGTGTTTAAATACCACAGGCCAAGTAACGCCACGATTCCTTTGAAGTGTAACCAAAAAACCGAAAACATCCCGATTGCCCTGTGTACACAATGGCTGTGGCTTGCATGGGCCCCAACATGGGCTAGATGTCACTGGGGCCCTAAATATTCCTCTGTTTACGGGTTTAAAAATACGTAATGTCACCACCCCTATTCATTTCCCCTGGGTGTCGTAAAGGGTGTCAACTAAAGGGGGAAAACTACCCCAAGACAACGCAAAGAGAAGGAAAAGTTGCATGGATAACTATATCCTTTCCCGGGACTCAAAAATCTCCATACCAAATTTCATCCAAATCGGTTCAGCAGCTATTGATTCCCCATACAAACTTCCACCCCCCTTTCCACCCCTTTAAGGGTGATTTCTGGGATGAAAACCATCCTCTGTCCTTTCCTGGGACTCAAACTATCTCTATACCTAATTTCATCTAAATCGGTTAAGCGGTTAAGCTGAAGAGGTAACAGACAGACGGACAGACAGACACACTTTCGCATTTCTTATATTAGTATGGATTCCTAATTTATACGAGTATAAAAAAATGAATCGAAGAAATTTATGTACGCGCATAAGATCTGAACGACTGCACTAAATTGGATAATTCTTTTTTTTGTGTTCGTTCTTGTCAAGACAAGGGTTGTATAAAGAAAATTAAAAAATTTGAACAGATTAAAATAATAATTTGATTGATTTTAATTTCTAGTTGATTATAATTCAAGTTTTAATAGTTAGTTAGTTATTAAGAAATAACCTGAAAAATCATATTATCTAATAACACACACTTAACCTAACATCTTAAAAACACGTGCACAAGCAATGCGTCCTATTAAAACGTGCTGCGTTGCGCGTGTGTTTGCAGTGACGTGTGCCCATTAATGTACAAACACACTCCCGGCTTCGGCCGAACGACTACCACCTAACCAAGGGCAGACCGCGCGTTTCCTCAAGCGCCAGACATGCTCAGAAACTACGCCACAAGCCCCCCGAAGGGTAACCACCCATCACGCAAGGCGAGCTCCCCTTGCGCTCCGCAGGTTCAAGCGCCCCCCGCACTTGCCACCACGGAGCCACCCTGCCGCGTCATGCGGCAATGGACTCACCGGCCCCGAACTACCTATGCTCCTCGGATGTAACGGTCGCCCGTCGCCCCCACTACCAATACCACAGTGACCACGGACGCGGCGCCAAAACCACAACGCAGACGCCCAAACACCGCTACTTTTTAAAAATTACCTCCCACTGATATTTCTTTTTTCGCCACTTGTTACAGTTCTTGTTGCTGTACTTGGCCCAAGTAGGCGCCCCGTGTGTGGGCACTGGTGACCCTCGCAACAGCAACACAACAACAAGACAGCGTCTCGCAGACCGCAACGCTGGTCGCTTGGAGCTGGGCCTCCCCAAGTATTGCCAGGGGTCTCACCTGGCTCGGGCTTGACCGCCAAGGCGGCGTGAAGACAGAAGCAACCCCTTGCAGACACCGACCACCCTCTACAAAAGCACCCCATGACATACCCGTGTTTAGGGGCGCTGGCAAGAGGCTAAAGCCCCGATTCAGCCTCCGCATGTCACCTGCGGGACGGTGTGCAGACTAGAGAGGTCCGCAGGAGACGTACTCGGTCATTCTCGCTCGAGCCGTCGGGCTATACGGATCTATGTACGACAGACCTTGGAATACATCTCTAATTGTATTTACTGTTGTTGTTATTTACTACAGCAGAAAGAAAAAAAACAATGTGAAAACGACGTTAGCTTTGCTGACGTCACTCTTTTAAAAATCAACCCAGACACCGGTCGTCCGTTATATACCATTACCACTTCTTTAGCAACAGCAAAACAGTGTTTTGATGTGGTTTTAGAGGTTTAGTATCGTGTTATTTATTGTTAATGATAGAAAAATGCCGCCAATGAGGCGTCAAAATATCAGTCGGCGTACACGTAAAGCAAGTCGAGTTCACAATCTTCAAGACAATGAGACTGAAACTCGAAGCGCCAGGATTATGGATTATTATTATAAATATTATCAATATATAGAATTATTGATAATCATTATTATTATTTGAGTTAATAATCATTATTTGAGTTTACCGGAAGTGTGTGTGTAGTAAAACAAGTCTTTCAGGAATTTCTAAAATATTCACGGTAACAAAAACAAGGCGGTACGAAGTTCGCCGGGTCAGCTTGCGGGTCGCCGTTTTATGTATTAAGTACCAACTTAATACATAAAACTGATAAATAAACACAATTTAGATTAGTTCGAGTACTTAGTTGTTTACAAGCGTTATCTTAGCCGATCTCGCCGGCCGACAACAGATTACTTATTGTTTATTAAAAAACCTGTGTTTTTAAATTTCTTAGCAAATCCTACAATCTCGGTTGAATAAAATAATTAGCTAAAATAATGAAAATTAAAAGTGCCATTGAAAAAATAAAACTTAAATTATATAATATACTTAACAAGTCCGGAAATCACCATGATGCTGCGCTCGCGCGATGAAGCGTGACCAATTACATCACTCAAAAAATAATTGTAAGATCGCACGGTTATGGATCTGGATTACGGTAGGTAAACGATAAACTAGAACTCTAAAGAAATGTACCGCTTGATCGCGCGACGGACTGCCATGTACTGCCAACCAGGCCGACACACGCCTTGGGGCACCATTGCCACCTATGCCCAAAGGTCAAAATCAGATACACTGTGTCTGTTTCATGTATATTTGTAAAGGATTTTTTTCCTAGTGCGGGAGTTGTCTTTAAAAAAAAACTTACAACATAGTTTCAGTCCAAATGCTTTACACTCTTTCGAAAATAAACACTATGCATTTAACTTAGATAGGTATGGCAAGTCGTGCAGGCAAGACTACGTGGAGTCGGTTTTGCAGCGATTCGTTTCTGTCACAAACTTTTGTAGCAAAACCTATGGACTTTGCAAGATAATATTATAAGTGTAAAAATATTTTATAGTTTGCCTACTAACATTATTTCAAATAATCGTCGCTCTAAATAAACGTAAGCCAAACGAAATTATACCAAATTTTAATTCTGCCAAAGGTAGGTAATTATGGTAAATAAAATTATGCCACCTTAAAAGTATGCCATTATAAACATTCGGCCAAACAATAATTATGTTAAATAAAATTATGCCATCTTTTTTCTATGATAAAAATACTAGCAGGCATAGGTATATCTAGTATTCCTTATGGATAATCCACTGTGTGTACCACGAATGAATAGCTATTTAATCACACCAATTTTAAAAGAAATATCGTTGATAATTGACTAATGAAATTAATAACAAGTTAATAAATTATTTAACGATTGACGATTGACTCCATACATGTCCCTAAAGCCAAAGATGCGTTTTGATAGAGTAAATTAACATCATTTCAGGGTATTCCGCGGCTGTGAAGGTTACTCACCGCAATAATAATAATAGATGTTGATAGAGATAACCCAATAAAATTAAAAGACTGATAATTCACTCAGTTTCACACTACATTACACACATAACCTAATATTGACGCTTTTCAAAATAAAATTAGCAGGACTCGTTACAACACAAAGTCTTGCGCATACGATAACATTAATTGTTCACACCATTGACGTGTATTATGGCGAAAGCAACAAGACTAAACAATTTTTAACACAACAAAACTTTTCTAAACAAATATCTTACGAACAACAACCATATTATTATTACGCCAATTTGTCATGAGCGCATCTACAACAAGGACACAGAACATCATAACACTCGCTAGTGGCCAAGGGCCGACTGACTGTACTTCCTGGATGAACTAATTAAGAACGCGTGTCCTTTATCCTGATGATGCAATAATCAACAAATTTCGTTCGATTCGAGTGGAGTAAAAGCGGCAACGTGTGATTACCATGCCGCGTATACAGCTGATCGCCGCCTGAGGTCAATGTATTATGACTGCATTTACACATAATGTTGTAAATGTTATGTGTAAAATTATGAAAAAAAAAAGTCATGTTTCTAAACCACTGAATATTTTTAGCTCATATTTAGCAAATCGTCTAGAAATAAAGTGCGGAATATGTGGTCTACAGATTCGTTAAAAGATAGATCACACGTTGTATACTACATGGATTTCAATACAGAAGCAGAGATCGTAATCGGTTTTTTTTGTGTTTCACAAAAGTATTTTTTGTGAGGAACGTAAGTTATATGAAAAATTGCCGCTAAGCCTACGTAGTGAAGGCAACATTTAATAATTTAATAACTATTGATTTCTAAGGCCTTCGATTATTACAGCATTACCGACTATGTGACAGACAAAACTGCTAAATGTCTTTCGAATATTTAAAGACTTGTAATATTTGATAAATTTATACATTTTTTAGTACGTATTATCCCGCTTCTATTAAAGGGGCTGCTTATGCTCATAGTCAGTACCGTCTTCACTAAGGCAACTTTATAAGGGCACACGGGGCCCGTGCCTAGGGCCCTCGATCACCGGGCGGATATTACGATGAACGCGTTTTTGTAGATGGCAATTTGAAAGCTGAAACTTACGATGAAGATGTTCTTGGGCCTTATGTTCACCCATTTGCACAGTCTTGGCTCAGATGTCACGCTGATGGATGACAATGCGCGCTTGCACACAGCTCGGAACAGTCGGAGGACCGGAGATTACTTGGCAATGGAAAACATTCGGGTATTGTCGTGGCCTGCACAATCGCACAATTAAAAAATGTCCTTATTTAATTTTGTAAAACATAAAAAGTTTTAATTTCGTTTTAACTTTATTTTATACTATGTATGTTACGGTACACATATTGTTAATTATTGTGATTAAATGAACAATTGAATGGAGGATTTTGTTGCCTTAGTCACTAATGCATCAATGAATGAATCAATCAATAATGCATCAATTATTTATAAAAGAAATATAAATATATTACAATAGTAAAGTTCGTTCAAAAGGTTGAAGCCGTAGGTACATGTTGCTTAGACTTTGATGAGTGTATTTGTATCTCTATTCATTTTGTTTTACTGTACCCCAACAGGGCCCCAAATTGTATTTGCCCGGGGGCCCCGGGCAAATATAATAATTAATATATTATTATTTGAAAATAATCTGTCTGTTGATTCAATATATAAATCATGACCATTTCTGCTGTATGGCTCTCGCAATGGAATCTTTTGTAGATTTTAGAAGATAAGTATTTTTGTCAACTTGACACATTATTATGTGTTGAGGTGCATGAACATTTTTAAAGGCAAAACTCGGTTAATTACAGTGCAACTTACTACTATAATATTCAATCCTATGTAACGTAAACACATGTAAGTACTTTATATGATAAGTATACTAACAAGATAAGTATACGGTACAGATAGGTTCAATCGCCAAGTTAAGATCGATCGAAACTATATTTAAACAATTCACAAACGACACCTACATATTGGTGTAATGACATTTTTTTTTGAAAATATATATATTTTAAATTATGTAACCAATGACTGAAATTATGAGTCTATGATAGGACCAAATGACTACAACAAAAATAAACTCTTATTACATCGTGAAAATGTAGCAACACTGCTAAAGTTGTCAAGTCAGTCTTGTCAACGTGTCTGTAATGTGTGAGGAATGCTCAAATAAAATAATCTATACGTAAAATGTATAGTTTGTGTAGAAGAAAATAACTTCAATTTCATTACAACTAATTTCAGTAACTAATAATACAAACTTAAAATATGGTTCTGCTCGGTAATGATGAGGTAAAATAATATATAAATTAACAATGTCCCATGTCCGTGTTTCTCTGATTTCTGATTCATAAAATTTTTCAATTTTCAGTTTCTTGTAGAACTTTCCAAGTTATTTCAAAAAGCACGCAACTCAGGATCAATTACTATGACGATGAAAAGATGTGAGTATTGACACATACTTTTACTTCTACATAATTTTTGTATTACGAGTGCAAAAGACACATGTTATATTTTGGTTTTAGATGATGGCCGGACTAAGCCACAGCCACGAGATGGAACTCCTGCTGTTAAGAATCCGGAATACAAATGTTTGATAAGAGCACAAACTGGCAGTAAAAAAATTTCAACAGTCATAGAGCAAAAAGAGGTGGAGAAGTTTAGCACAGCCTATTCTAATTTATTAAAAACAAGTGTAAACGGATTAAAACGATTAAAAAAGCCGAAGAAAAAAGGAATGGCTACTCAGTAATTTGCTTTGTAGCAGCGACAATGTGTCACGACTGAAGATATAGTGCGCAATATACATAAGTGTTGTGAACCTGATGTGAATGTGAACTATACCACCGTGTTGTCCTAGCTTGTAGGATAAGGTCCATTGAAAGGTGCTCTTCTCTCTCTGTGAGATCTGAAGAGTTGGAGTCTTGCCTGTCATTGCTAGTGATGCAGGCACTGTCAAGTCATTGACCACTGTCCAATGCATCTATTTTTATATTTATGTTACAACTCCCCAATAAAGTTTTATGAGAAGTGCAGCTATATGTTATTTTTTGTTCTAGCATATTAATTTATTTTATTGTATTATAACCTTTTCATTTCTATTGTGACATAATGGTGGGTAGATATGGGGCAATAGTAAATACTAAAACAAATAATCAGATAAACATTTTTTCTCACAAGAATAATGGACTGTGCTTAATATTAGGAATTAAATGACATAAAATAAATTTTTCGTACTTTAAGTAGTAGCGTCAAGTAATAGTGTGCACCCATGAAGTAGTAAATAAGTATCTAGATAGTAGCAATACCACAATTTTATATAAAATATAACACCCACTTTAATTCAAAATACGACGTATATAAAAACCATTAATCATCAAATGAATCGATAGATGATAGATAGTCTCCTCTATCTCTTTCTATAACCCGGCAATCTCCTGCGCGACCGTCCCGCGGGGTGGTAGACAGTCGCGGGGGCGAGGTAGCGCGTCATTCAAGTACACGGCTACACACGAAGAGAAGCGTTTCCCTTCCCCGCTACACCACTCGCTACCCGCTGACATCTTGCGTACCTCGTCCCCGCCACCGTCCTGTCACCCCGCAGGACGGTCGCGCACGACGTTGATGGACTAATAGTCGAGCTCTGTGGTTAGCTGGGAAATATAAGGGGTTAATAAGTAGCCAATCGCAGCTTAGTTAAAAGATGTTAAACTGAGACAGGGAAATATCGGGTATCCATCTCTCTCCTTGCCTGTATCGCTTCCACTTACAGGCAGCTGTATCCCGTATTCTCTCTATGCTTATATCTCTATGAGTTAGTTACTAAAGAGTGGTCATGAGAAAGGAATATAAATAAGTATTCAGTATACATATTACTAAAGGATTTCCATAAAAAAAATACACTTTATGAACACAATGGATTGTTTGAAAATATACATAGTGCTCTTTTATTCCCATGTCACCTGGGGTTTTTACCCTTTATGGATAGGAATATTCGAACGAGTACATATCTCCACATTTAAATTCAAATGTCTGAACTTGAAACATGAATTTTAGTTCATTCACTAACTTCCGAATCGGTAAAGTGAATTAGGTCTAGTCATAGAGAAAATACAGACAAAGGAGAGAAGGTATTGAATTGTCTGTAAGTGGAATAGTGGCGTCGGTAGAAAATGAAAGTAGACACCGATTTACATGCGGCTCATTTGGGGATTTGGATATCAAATGACCAAATCTCTCTTCACATAAATTCACAATAGGGCCTCAGTGCGTACCGATCGCAATACCCAACGCGGTCGCCATCGAGAGCGAGTTGTTGTGAAATAGACTGGCACTAGACCTCATTCATTCTTCACCTGATTCCCTCCATCATTATCGTCGTCCACCATCGCAGACGTGAGGTGAGGTTGATGGAATTTGATCAACTACTGACATTTTAATTCCCGCAAGAAAAATACAGCTGTCCTAAGTTAAGATGGTACTTTGCGAAAACAAGTGACGACACCGGTTTTATTAATATGTGTACGTGGGCCGGTGCTGCCATCATAATTTCATTTTATGGTTTCTACGCTTACTTATGTGTGAAATGCGATTCCATCCTACATTTTTTTTTGTAAAATATTGTCGAAGTTTTGACTGACAAGGCGTAGTTTCGTTGTACGTGCTGCGTGTTAGTATTACCGTAGTATTACTGTACTCTGTAGTGCGTGTAATTGTGTAAGTTTTAAACAGGCCTCACTTCTTTGTTCATAGAGTAGGTACCATCTTAACTTTTTTATTTGATCTGAGCTTACAGTACGTAGTTTAAACTTTCCTCCGGAAAGCGTCAGATATTATATAGTTTAATATATGCGTATAGGTAAACAATAGCTAATTCTATCATAAAAAGACGTTCGATGTTGTTTTAGACAAATCTTTATGAACGTTGGAACCGTCGAAACGGTAAGTACAAGGAAAAACAGACTTATAAATCGATTAAATATATTTATTTCATTAGCTCTACAGAATAATATGAATTAAGGATGTATTAACAATTACAGCAATATCACAACATGAGACCAATATATTTAACAATATTAAATACATTAATTGAAATTATAACTGTCATCTTCAATAATTGATACATACTTTTAGCTGCATCACTCTATAAAAATATAATTTATTTTTTGTCAAGTTTATTTTATAATTAATATAATACTGTCAATTTAATTATTTGTGGATTCGAATGTAACAAAACTAATAAGGTTTACAAAAATTAATCTAATAATTTTTTAATGTAGTCTTATTATTGCTTAGAAACATGACTGGCACTTTTAGAGGATAGGTCATGAGACTCCCATGGACCAGAAACATGACAAAGGCGTAAAGACCTGACGTTCATGGTCTCTATAATGAGAAAGTCATTTGAATCAATCATTAGCAGTACTAAGTAATCAAAAATTGAAACCTTGTATTTGTATTAAATTTACTGTATCTCTAGTTTAATTCAAACACGCCCACCCCCAGAACTGCAGTGATACACAAACGTAAGACTATAACTAATAGGTGCCGGTACACCTGAAGTTACAATTTGAGAAAACTTTTTATTATCATTTTATACTTACTAAATAAAAATGAGTAAAGACAAATCGTAGGTAGGCAGGTAAGACTTTTGTTGCTATCATTCAATATTGCAAATGTATATACTGGATATATCTCAAAGGCATGTAATAATATTATCAATTAGTTTACGAGTATTAGAATTTTTTAATAACATAATAATTATTTGTGAATAAGTCTAACCGTATTGTCAATTTAATTTATCGTTAAAATAGGTACAATTAAATAACGACATATAATATATTTCTCACTCTAGATATATTTAAAATAATAAAACATGAATGTAGTACTTGAATTTCAAAGGAAACCAGTATATTTCCATTTTAACCATTATTGCAAATATAAATTTTACATTACTTCCTTTACAACAGAAACATGCAAGCCAGTCAAATCGAGTATTACAATATATATGTTGTGAGTTGAGAATGTCCAGGGATTAATATTTGACGTTATATATATTTTTTAAATCAATTAAAATTGTCACTTCACATTTTTCGAAGTGAGTCGTTTGAGACAGGCATTCCTCACTTGGTCGTTTCCAATACGTTCGGCTTCGTGCAGTACGCGACGCAGATCATTTGTCCGGTCGTGGCGAGCCGCTAGAATGTAAGCACTACTCGCGTTATGACACACTAGGTAACAGGATATCTGCAATGTAAAGACAATGAGTGATTACTAAGTAAACTCTTCAAGTCTGTAACTTGAGCTTCACGCACAGAATAATAATACAGTTAAGGAGACTAAATCATTTAAAAAAATTGCGATTCTTGCTCTGACACTATAAAATTGAATTTGGGTCGCACAACGCTAATCTGTACTAATTGCAGGAACTACTGGTTCGATTTTCTTTTTTTATTGTTGGGTAGCCCATTTATCGAGGAAGGCTATAGGCTACATAACATCACGCTAGGATCTATAGGAGCCAAGCATCGATGAAAAATGTTGCAAAACAGGGGAAAAAAAATCTTTTGAGAGGCGTAGACGAAGTTGCGGTGCTCTTTCTACTTAACACCTTCAGGGATAGTCCCTAGCTTTATTATGTAATTGTCACTACCAAGGACTAGGTAGACCTTTATTATGAAAAATGAAAAAATATTTATTTAGAAAATAAATTACAGGAGTGCTTTACAAGACATAAAATTAGTGTAGCAAATCTTATCATATAAATATTAAACGCGGTCCCCACAATAGGCAAGCCTGTATCGTGTGGTCCTAGCCAAACGTATTTACACTAAGGTATAGAGCTCCTGCACTTTATTATCCAATCTGTATTAGATAGTAATGGTACAGAAGTTTCTCTGAGTCAAATCATTTAAATAATTAGTAACCAACAGCAGGATACAATGTCAAATACTTAAAGGACAGAGTTGGCCTGGCCTTCTTAAGGCAACATTTTAATACTGCGAAGCCTATAGCAAAGAAAGGGGTTTACCTTAATAGTAATGCTGTGTATATCATCTATAAGTATCTCGGCTTGTTCGTCGTACAGCTGACCACGGGATTCGCAGCGTGTCACCACCGCACTTACTCCCGACTCCAAAACTTGGTCACTCATCAAACTGAAAAATTTATGCAATAAAATACCAAAAAATGTAGCTACCTTTACTTCAGCCAAATTGGATATGAAAATTAAAAAGTATATTGTATTTCTATCTTTATTTACTAATTAAACAATACATTATGGTGTTACATATGTTTTTAAAAAAACGCTTATACGACGTAAAATATTTGGACATACCTAGCAGCAGTTTCTTTGGACGCTCGTATGCACTTAGCCAATGTCTTGACTTCAATAAATCTATCAACATTAACTAAAAATCTTGCCACATGAATATAAATGTTCATCGAGTCTAGCTTGTGTTCGGTTATGATCCTGGAAAAAGTATAAAATGTATTTAATATTTACGAGGTTTAGGAACAGAATGTCCAATTCGCAAAATGTCCAATGTGACCAGTTCGCAGAATTTCCAGTTCGTAGAATATCCTACATTCATCCGAAAAATGCCAGAAACAAATTGCTTGCGTTGTAGTAGTTGAACCAATTTCAATAGCTATATTTATTTCTACTACGAGCCGAATCTCACAACGTGAAGATCGTCAAAAACCAGTCCCTAACTGCCTCAGCCAGTATCGGTATCCTAGGCATAGAGATGTCGAGCGAAGTCCAGTTTCGGGGTCACTTAGAGGGTAAGTTCAAATTAACCTCGAAAAAGCTCGGTGTGCTGAACAGATCGAAGCAGTATTTCCCTCCGGCCCACCGCCTCCAACTTTATAAGCCCGGCCACATATTGAATGCCAGCCACTTCATACCAGCTTCATCCTCTGGACTGCATCCAACGAAGAGCGCCTAGAGTCGTCGATAGCCAAAAGATCTCCCCTTTAAACGCCAGTACGCCAGCTAATAACGAACTGGGGCTCAATTCTCCCATTTTAATATTGTATCAATAGACTGTCGATGGACTGTCGTCAGAATAGTTTTGCACTTTTGGTATTCTACGAACTATGTAAGACCGATGACTTGTCACTGAACTGCGACTGATACAAATGTCGTCGATGTCTTTGTAATAGTTTAATGATATATTTAATTTACCAGATATGGAAGGTTGTTAATATCACCATTCATAAGCCATTGTCACTACATCGACAGTCTATTGACACTGTAAATTTATATTAATAGAATACCGATATTTTCACCGATTGCAATAGCATCTCAATAGCGTGTTAATGGTTTGTACGTTAACATAAAATAGCAGAATTGAGGCTCTGGACCAATTGCGAATTGGACTAACTGCAAACTCGACAGTCGGACATTTTTCGAATTGAACCTAATGTGCCTAAACGATTTACTGAAATATTTCTGAATTTGTAGTTATAAACTCATAGGTAAGTGGGAATTAATAAAATAAAAAGGAAATACAAAACAAACGGTATTGTCACAAGCCTCATGCATAACTACCAAAAGCTTAAGATTTCTATCAAAATACTCACTTGAAGGCTAATTCGAATCCCACTTCTATGGTAGGTCCACTTGCCAATACAACAGCGACCAACCTTATTTTATCAGTGTTAGATCCGAATAATGTGAGCGGCCTAAAGTCAGAGCTCTCTGATACTTTCCGTGTATTTTGTATGGGAATCGCTTCACTGAGAACTTTCTCAGTCAATCTGCCACTCGCTTCACATGATGCTAAAAATTTGGCTAGCTCCATTTGTCGTGTGATCGTAGTCATGAGATTGTCTATAGTAGCCTTGTCCAAGTTGAAATGAAAGGATCGCGCGTCATTCGTTTCTGAAATAAACAACGGTTGAGCTAATTGTAAATAGATGCATATTTAGAATTGGATTAATTAAAGTGGCGAATTTTTTATTACGTAGCAAAATTGAACTGTACACAACATCACTTGAAAATAGCATGACGGGTTTTTTGGCTATTTCAAAATAATCGTAATAGTGCGGATCGGGGGTTTGTTTTTTTTTTGCGGTAATATATCTTCATTTTGTACATACATGTATCAAATTCCACTAAACATTTTCCCTTATTTGTCGTTGCTAAAAATAGGTTCTGTTCACACAAAAGCTGTAGTTGTAAACTAGTAAATATCCATTTATTCTGGTTGTACTACAAGTGGTGAATCAAGATTATTTATGTACTAACTGACAGCGACCGGCACGCAGTGAGACAGGTGATGCAGAGCGGCGGAGAGGTGATGCTGGCGCGCGTGCAGCGCCGCAAAGAGGCTGGTCGGGGCGGCGGGGACAGCGGGGCCGGCGGAGGCAGCGGGGCCGACGGGGGCAGCGGGGGTGGTGGGGAGAGCGGGGCGCGCGTACAACAGCGCGCACGTGGCGGCAGCGCGCGCGTGCTGCGCTGTGCCGCACTGCACCGCGTACAGCGCCTCCAGCCGCTTGCTCATTTCCAGCGTACGGCACACATGCATTATGTACTCCTAACAAATTGCGCACATAGGTCAACTACGTACTTAAAAAAAAAAGACTATGTACACATCAAAAAGACGCCAACAAGATAGCCAGTAGACACTTACCGCCCACATATCAAATGTACTATCGATGTCGCTCATAGCTTTTAACAGATCATTTACTTTATCCTTTTTTAAGCATTCCATATAAACGGACTCGGTAAAGGTCTCTTTATCGACTAAGTTGTCGTAACAGTATCTAATCACTTCACTCAAGTTACTGTGTTTCATATAGAAAGCTATGTTCGCAACGTGAGATCCGTAGTTCGTCAGATAATAAACGCACTCTTTATAAAAGAAAGGATCTAATCTTTTAAGTTGATGATCGACTTTGGGCTCGTTTTGATTATTGTTTCTTCTCAAAAGACCCTGTGCCAAGCTTTTCTTAGGTTGGACGACGGCCGTTTGAAAATCACTGTAATCACCTAGCTTGATTTTTTTAACGCTAGCCAATGTGTGCATGATGTTCAGAGCCGGTTCGGTTAGTTGTATCTTTTTTCTGTTTGTATTCATTGTCGTCAGCTTTTCGTTTGTGGACTGCAAACCAAATATCAATTATGTATTACATTCACAATTTTTTTAACGAGGTAAATGCTTTCTTTTTGCTTTTGTTTATATTTATTAGATTCGTTCATGCGGTATTTTTGAAGCCTAACTTTTATAACGTTAATAGCATATCAATTGACGTAGTAAAGATGTTGATGCCCTTACCTTAATCGTTTCGGCTTTGTTTAGTAATTGTTGATTAACGGGATAGTTCATATCTTCGAGCATACTGATAATTTCATTAAGCAGCGGAGGGTTGGACCGAGGACGTCCGTCCGATTGCACACTGGACATTGAGCTCCTTCTCTCCGAGTACCTCATATTCTGTAACCTCCTATTAATCAACTGAGATTCAGATGCCTCCTTTCCAAATTCACAGTCTTCGGAAACTTCAGCGCAAACATTCAAGGTATTTTTAAAACAGTGTACGAATTTCTCTCGGGCTTGTTTAAAACAGCCAGCCTTTAAGCATGCCTTGCCCCACGCTGCTAGAACACTGTTTCTCGGCAGACCCGATTTGGTAGCAATCTCTAACGCTAATTCCCATTTTTCAGCTTCTAACAGTGACCTTATTATTTGACCTGCAAGACAAATTTTAATCAGTAAGTAGAAATTAAAATGAATTAAAAACATAATTTAATTTAAAATATTTGGAATTAATTCGTAATTACAACAAACAAGTTCCAACAAAGTAATTAACAAATCGATGAATATTGTGACTTGGCCGTATTTATTTTGCATTTGCATATTGTGCCTCCTATAATTTATTATTCACTTCTTTTACAGTGAAATCGTATTAGTTATTTTTTAACAGCTTGCAACGCATACAACTGTTTTTTTTTGCCTTTTTGATGAATAAGTTTTTGCCAGTTGGATTTCTTCATACGTTTTATGCTATAAACACCCATTAGGAAAGGATTATTGGAATTTTTGCAATAAGGGGGCAAAATAAGTAATGAACGGTTGTCTGGAAGTTGGACATTTTCAAAGTCAGAAACACGAAGTGAGAAATAATAACGCGAGAGAAGCGGCGGGCAAGTAGGGGATGTAACGAACTGGGGTGCGCGCCCTGCTGCGGCACGAGGTGGTGCGCCTGGTGCGTGACGAGCGTGGCCATGGCGTCCGCGTGCGCCAGGCACCGCGCTGCGTGCAACGCGCCAGTCTCCGCCACCACTGCGCGGCTGCCCGGCGCGCTGACAACAACCACATACACATATATTTTAATATACTACCGTGGCTGCTTAGGGCTAAATAGACCTCATAAGCACTCATCGTTTAACTTTATTAATTAAAAAGAACCGTATCCCCATACAGTGTATTTTTATTATTTTGATAGGTATAATCTACAATACCTATGTATGAAAACGGCTAAAACATTATAATAATATAAGTAATAATGACTGAAGAAGAGCCAAAACTAAAAAAGGAGGCCTCTAAGGAGAGGCCTATATCCAGCTGTGGACTGTTAAAGGCTGTTAATGTGATGTTGATGAAAAAATATTTACTAGTGTTGTATTGACTAGTGTTCACAAACTTGTTATTACACGAATCTAAATCTAACAATAATGTTGTTTTATCTTGTGATACCGCGCAGACTCTCGAGATGGAATCGAATCTACGACCTGCAGTATATATCAATATCACCAATAAACCCGTAACAGGTTAGAAACATGCCCTAAAAACCAAAAAATCTTGGAACTATGCATATTTTTATTCAAAATTAAACAAAAAATCCTTATTGAAAAAGCGCATAGTTGAAAAACCTTAAAAAATTAAAGGAAACAAATAGTACAGTGTTTACTTACGTAGATTCTTGTGGAGTTCTTGAATACAACTCGGCGGCAGCGAGCAGTAGCGAGCGCCGCGCTCGAACTAACAATCGCGCATCGCCACCGCTCGACAACTCACGAGCTACTTCATCGCTGCGGTCTAATAGGAACCTGGATCATTATGCACAACCGGCTCTAATACTTCCACAGCAGTTTATATATTATACATTATTTAATTTATTAATTTTTAAATTCTACTTTAATTTTTCTTTAATTAATTTCTTTCTGTGTCGCGGGGGACTTTACAAACATACATGAAACGGACACAAAGAAAACCCAGACTGAGAACAACAATTTGTGAATCACGCAAAGTGTCGTCCCATGTGGGGATCGGGCCCACAAAACTCAGCGTAGTAGTGAGTGCAGTCAATGCTTATCTTTTCAATCTACCCACCTTCTTTTAATCGACAATAAATCAAACAAAAAACAATCTCAGTCGACAATCTGATGAAAACTAGAATACCCCATAGTTAGAACATGCAATAAAATCCTACTTTGTGAAATGATGCAAAACAAAGTAAAAGCTTGTCAAACTGAACGTACCTCGGGTAATCCAAATTAATTGAATGCATCTTCATTATCGACAAACAAAGGGTCACATTTGGCGTAAATTCGTAACTAAACTCAGTTCTTACTGCGTCATTTCTTTTAGCATTTGTTGACAGACACCAATCCATACACGTGACACCGCTGGCCACCGAGTCAGAGTTACTACTCAACATCATACCGTCATGTTCAGAATTTGCTTTACGATTCATTGTCTGAGTGTAACAATCTTCACATACACGGAACTTAACACCGCTGGGATATGTAGGCACTTGCATTCTATGCCTTGAACATGCATGACACACCAGCCGTCCGCAACGTCGACAATGATGTCTCCGAATTATCATGGAAAATATTGCCGTATGACACAACATACATCTGTCCACTGAATAGTCCTCAACCCATTGTTGTTTACTCGGTACTTGCTCTGGCATCACGAATGGTTTATTCGCCGCTTCAATATTTATAGAATCTATAGACTGTAATAACGAATCGTCGGAGGGTTTGGGCGGTACAGGGAACACATTTCTGGGGTTTTTCATATCCAAAGCTTTTTCAGCGTAATATCGCAAAAGCGCATCAACGGCATTTCTCGATATCACCAGGTTTTCAATAGATTTTATATTGTAGTATAAGTTGTCACCACTGGGATCTTTTTTCAATTTCGGCGCGATCTTGTTTAATATGACAGCTAGGATATCTAACTTCCCATTCATTAAGAACTGTTCGATCATTAGAAGGGGGCTTTCTATGAGCTCCCAGAACATGCCCCGCCAATTGGGATCGATTTCGAGCATAATTTGAAGTCCCAATTTTATATTTTCAAACGCCTTCCAATCGAATGAGCTTTCGGATATAAAGTCGACGCATACTTGAAGTATTTCCACATTACGCACTTTAGACATCTCGTCGTGAATAATATCCATGGCCTGGGAGGTCGGCAGCCGTAATAGAAGTTCATGAACTAAATGTGGAGTCGCCTGATTTGTATATTCAAACATTTGTCGTAGGAGATTCATAACGATCAAATTTTTCATGTTATCTGATACCTCGTGTGCATCCGCCCACTCTAAGCATAGTTTAAACTGTAATAAAAAATATAATATTTTACTTTTAATTATTGAAGCTCTTTATTTAATCTAAAATAAAGAGTATAAATTGGAGTTACCTTGAATATTATATTACTTGCATACAATTTTTAGCTCTATACCAATGGGAAACATTTTACATTTTATTTACGTTTTAAAAGTGATCAAACATTTTACACTTAATTTGAGTCTACTTTAAAACGCTTGTAACAAGTAATATACAAAAGAAAGTTGATAAGTACCTGTTGGCTATCCATAAGAATTTCAATAACACTCTCTGGATTTTCGAGTGATATTTCGTATATCGCATACCAGTGATTTGCTCCCATTATAGCCGCTATCTGTAAAAATATGTTCGATATTTCAATCAGAGAGAACAAAAGCTTTTAAAAAAAATGTTAGTTTTTAAATATTACTATTACCTGATCATACAAGGGTATTTTGACAATCCAATCAGAACATTTCTCATATAATCCTTCATCCAAAAGTTCTTGATTCAAGAGAAATCGAAGGTAATCTAACACTTCCAAGGCTCCTTCAGCAGACCAAACGCTCAAATTGTTAAGAATGAGATCCACCTTCAGTTCAGGGCATTTAAGGTACTGACAGTATTTCCAGTTATTGGCGATCTTTGGATTAGTAGCCAGTTTAAAAAGGATCAAGTCTCTTAAGTTGGACAAATTGGCACTACACATCAACTGGCGCTCCGACAAGGACTCTATTATATTCAAGCATTTCAAGATCTTCCCGGATTCAATCAACTGCGGCATGAACAAAAATAACTTATCGAGGTCCACAGTGGTATGGAGCGATGCAAGGTATTTGTTGTTACCAAACAAATGTTTGGTACAATTGAATCTTTCTAATTCCATATAATTGTTTAGACATTTAGTACGTGCATCCATACTCTGTTGCAAGCTATTATCGTTAGGTGACGTATGGATTTTCTTTATAATGTGAGCTAACACCCAGTTGTGGAGAACAATGTATGTCAAGCATTGAGGATCCGGCGAGCGAGGCAAAGGAGCAAAGTTAGTAACAGGGTCCAGAAACAAATTTTCCTCGGGATTCTTGAAATCGTAAACCACGTGAAGAAGATTGTTGAAGTTAACTTCACTGGCTTCTTTTTCAGGGCCGGATAATGTAATCGATGGACAAAAGTTCAGGATAAGTTTTGGTATTAAATTAACGTTTAACTTCTTGCATATAGGCTCCAAGTTAGTAACCGGTATCTCTTTGTTATTAATCATGTTACCGAAAATGTCATGGAGTGGTCGATCTAATACCGAGAAGTAAGGTTTATCAATGGTTTCATTGGAACGATTGTCTTCCTGTTCCAATTGAGACACCGTTTTACAGTACATGTAACACATTCTTAAATACGGAGTTCTTGTTTTCTTATTGCCTTGACGAGACACTTCCCCTACGTTACATAAATCCTTGTCAGAGGCAGCGACGACATTCATGAAAATTTGATGATACTTTTGTAATAAATTAGCATCTAGCTCGATCGATTCATTTGGATATACGACGTCGGCTAAATCTTCACATGACTGCCGCAATTCTTTAGATAATTGATTCAATTTGCAAAATTCCTTATGTCGAATGGGAACACGGCAATCCGTAATCAACCCGCAAATGTTGTCGATAAAATCAAACGACTTTTCCGTGTTACCAAATATTTCGAACGTAACGCTGGCTATATCTTCGATGAATCGAATATAATTGTTTTTCTTAACTGCTGCGATGTCAGTGCAGCTTCTAACTTCGGCGAGTTTTCTCTCAACGACGTTTATTAAACCGTACGTGATTTCTCTATTAAGACCACTACTTAGTAGGATGTCTACGGCATTTATAAATGGAGCATTTTGATGGTTATATAATTGTAAGTGAGGATGGCGTGCACCTAATTCCATAATGTCGAAAGAATTTGGCGCCCTGTTTGAGGCGAGGAAACCTTCCACGAGACCCATGACTTCGGTTGATACAACCGACAGTGCTGACAGCTCTTTGGTCGCATAACGGGTATCATCTCTATAGTAAATTATATTTTTAATCTTTGCTATTAAGTTACGTAATTGTTCTGTAAACGTCACTTCTGTGGCTATTTCAGAATCCGCTAAATCGAACATCTGAAATGAAAAATCAAATATAAAAAAAATTATGAAGAGGAAATTAATCCCTAATATAATAAAAAGATACCTTTACTTAATTTGTAAACATGATGCGATTACCTATGTTTACTTTTTTATGTATGAGGTCGCAATGGCGAAGCGATGCCATATCCTAATGGTTACCATCGTTTTATCTCAACAGGTGACTAATGTGTAAGAAACATGTCGGTGTTATAACATAGAGCAAGAAATATGTGACAACTTTGACCAACGACATGGTCTATCCGCGGTGACAACAAGGATTTCATAGTGGTAAATCTACTATGGCATTAGTAGGTACACAAAAAGGTACCAACATTAACGGATATTTCGAAAAATATAGTCTACACAAATTCTCTAATAATATTACTGTACTCTGTGGCATAAATACACAAATGACAACTGTCAAGTCATATTTTGCAATTATTCTTTGCAAATGCAAATGTTAATTTTAATATTTATGTGTAATATGATTAGTACATGCGGGTTTGTTCTAAGACATACGTATATTCTTTTAAAAGACAACATTGATTACAAAGTTGACCTTATAATAAATGAAGATGATTATGAAATGATAGACAAAAATCAACTGAACGAGTTCACAGTCGATCAAAAACGTTTCAGTAGTTTTGATAAGTAAATAATTGTATTGAATAATTTTGTTAATATGTTAAAAGTAAGACAGAGGTGTATTACATATCTATTATGGACTTACGCATTTATTATTAGGTTTACGCAACTTCTTCGTATTTCTTCGTTCTCTTAGCATACGCATTTAACATATATTGCAAGCAAAAAATCGGTCGGTATAATTGTCAGTATTTTGATGTTATGTAAACTATTGTAAAAAGGGTTTGCATAAACACTAATTTTACTATCATGAAAGTTTTTTTAAAGCTTTCTTTTACAATTTATTAAAACTATGCCATAGTTTCTATAACATGTTATGATTTGCAAATACTTTTGACTACGTATTTAGGATCGAAGTGGCTATGAGCAGTGGTCATTCCCCTTTGTCATGCAAATGAAAACTATACCAATCCTTACTAATATTATAAATGCGAAAGTGTGTCTGTCTGTCTGTTACCTCTTCACGCTTTGGATGATGTCACGAGATGAAATTTGGTACAGAGATTATCCGAATTTCGACATAGGTAGTTATTATTCCAGAAAAACATCCTTTAAATGGGTCAAAATAGGGGTGGAAGTTTGTATAGGGAATCAATAACCGTTGAACCGATTTAGATGAAATTTAGTATGAACTGACTTTGATTCTTCAGGAAAAGCATAGGCTACTTTTTACCGCGACAACCGACGTTTACGCGGGCGGAGCCGCGGTCAAAAGTTAGTCTATTATATACTACAGACATTTATTTATTACAGACTGGCAAGTATTGAGTACAATAAATTATTGAAAACAAATAATATGAACTTGGATGATAGAGAGACAAAATTACCTATGATCATAAAAAGAGGTACTAAGGTAAAGGTTAAGTGGGATTCTCCTTTAAAAACGAAAATTAATACCAAGAAAACTAAAGTTCTGTTTAAGTACTTGGAACGTGTAAGTAAATTACATGCGTTTGGGCTTGATCAATGTGGGGGGCATATATTTCGTAGTGTATGTCGTGTAACTACCGGGCTAATTAAAATTTAATATTAAATTCTACGTATTAAGGACCTTCCGGATCATTACACTGCGATAGTGACTCAATCAATGATGCTATTATAGAGCTCGGTGTAAGCTGTACCTACGTAAAATGCCATCAAAAATGATACACTAAATAGTCGAGTTCCTACAGCACATTGCAGTACAACTTAAGCTCTCATACGTCTCTACGTCTCTATTTAACGGCCGCGTGTAGATTTATGTACTAAAAAAAGTGGCTTTCTATCGTTCTCTTTATTCTTCTATTATGAACTTCTGAATGCACATGCAATATACAAATCGGTTCTTTCCTTTTGGACCCCCAACCGGGGGGTGCGAAAATAATGATTAAATTTCTATTCAACTTGAACCCCCAGACATTGTAAACTGACGGACATTACATTTGGGAATTAAAATCTAGCTTAGATCTCTTACAGGCAACCATATGCAAAGCCTATAATGAGGGGGTCCAAATGTAATGGTGAGTGTCTATGCGTGGTCCAGAGTAAAGAACCTACAAATCAACAATCACATACAATATATAAATCACAATTTCTTTCTTTCATATTTATCAACTGATTTCTCATTAATTGCTGTGTTATTTCATATGGAGCAATTAATGACCGCATCAAATATACGCACAGCTGGCGCTGTATAAACACTCAAAGTCAATGTACGACTTTAGATAACTGAATTGGATTCAGTCAACATTGATTCCGCAAACATATTATTCTTACATAACTTTGGACTATAAATATAAATATATAAATATTTTGCAAAACATTGCGATTAAAAGTCAAAGATATGTGTGATTGGATTATAGAAAATGTGTAATTGGATTGCGTAGAGCTGAGTAATTGCGAGGTTACTGTCGTTTGCACAGGAAGGTCTTAGAATAAAAATAGAATAGTTGCTATGTTTCGCATATCTGGGCACATTAAAAATGAATATGCATGCCTTTTTACCTATTAAAGCTTAGTACGCGATCGATCAAGAAAAGAGCGGTTGGAAAAGAAAATGATTTAGAATACAATTACAACGATTTCTTAAACGAATATTACGAACAAGCCGAAAATGATGGTGTGCAAGACACGACAGGTGAGTAAAGTTTGCAGGTTCCACAGGACACATATGAATATAAACAAGAAACATTTCCCAAACGCATCATAATGATTCTAATAATTTTTATAGCAATATAACAAAAAATAGCCTGCAAAACTATTGACGCATAAGTAAACATTTCAAATGATATTTATTAAAGATGTAATAGCTCTTTTAAACAGGGTCGTGTATATAGCAGAGTTCCTACTGCACTTGGGCACCGTCATTTATAAACAAAAGTTTGAGTCGCTGTTGTACCGTTTAATGCAATTTTTATAATCGTTCACATAGCTATAAAAAGTAGTAATTGTTGAAAATGGTCAAAATATAAAAACGCAATCTACCTTCCAGTAATACCAGAATATGGCATTAAGAATTCATTGAAGAGAATCTTTTTACCGGGATACCAAAATATCAATTACAACAAGAGTATTGGGTTCATAGCACTGAAAAGCTTAATGAATGACTACAAAACTCAAAGACGACCCAAAATAGACATTGCTTATCGCCTGTGGAGGATTGTTCGAATATGGTTCCTGGTTTATTTGATTGTCGCAATTCCTTTGTGGTGCACTCGAGGTAAATGACGCTTTGATATTTAAATTAATACCTTTTGATAATGAATAATAGTTCGTGATAAAAGGCACTTAATTTATTGAAATTATTTTATTATTTTGTTTTGTTTATTAATTATTCTGTTTAAAAATATTACTTAATGCAATTCTTCTTTTATTGGGTATTTTAATGTTATCTTGTCGTATAGAGCATGCCAGAGATACTTGTATCTAAACAAAAAACCTTTATCTGACGGCAGTGTTAACACATTTCAGAACCTTCTTACGAAAAAAACCACAGACGAATTGAGAACCTCCTCTTTCGTGTTTTTGAAATCGTTTAAAAATGACTTGATTTAATTAGATCCCTTTCCAGGTAACATATAGAGTGCGACATTTCACACACATCGTCACATCTTTTGACCTCGATTCAAATAACCTTTCTGCGTTCCAACCATTAGATAATAAACTACCTGTTTGCAGGTTGGTGTTGTTGCTGTTTATTTTGCAAGTTTTTCAAACCTCGCCAAACTACAGAAGCAGCAAAAAAATTTTTAATTTCAAATCCACCGGGAATATTTAAGACAAAGAAGGGAGATGTGCATTACGATCCTACTGAAAGAGAGAAGGAAACTTATGAGGAATTCGATCATTTTTTGAAAACTAATTAGCGGATCGATATACTGATATCGCCGCACGAATTATCTGATAATATAATATGAAATTATAGTTGGCGAGGTATATTTTATTTACAAGATTTGTAGCCGATAAGGTTTCAATGAAACATACAGTCCATATAGTGGTTAATCAAGGTTATGAACATTTAAAAGACCCGGGCTGAAGATGACGATGATTGGACCTACTTGGAAGTAGGTGGTCCCACAGACCTGTTGACTGTTTTATTTATAAATTTAAATGCAAACATTACTTAATATTTTGTCAAAATTAGGTGCACGACTTTTTGGATTGTAATTTAGATTTTTTTTTATTTATTTTTTTAACGTGCGGGTATGGCTTTTTCTAATAAACAATAAATTGGCTTGATTTTTAAATGTGTCAGCAAAAATTAATATAATCGCTACTTTTTACGGTGATGAACTAAACTATGTGCAAAAATGGACTGGCGAAAATAAGACAAATTACTTTAACTAAACTTTCGTAAAGAAAACGTTTTCGAGACCAACTCCTAATTTGTGCATTTTTCTTGACTCTAATCTCCAGGATTCTTATCTGGGACTCATCTAAATATTATATCTAAATATTTTTATTTTTTGACCGTGTTACTGTTATTTTTTTTTACTTGTTTGTTATCTAAATCAACTATAAGGTCAAAAATTGAATACAACCTTTGAACATGACAAAAAAAAAACAGTACCTAGACTACCCATAAGAAGTCGCGGGTACAACTAGTTTAGTATACGTAAGTATTTTAGTTTTCTTACCTCTAAAATCTGATTTGCCTTAGAGAAATCGTTGTGGTAAAGTGCTAGGGCAACAAGGCTTGTAGGTTTCGATAGCATAATAGATATGAAGTCGATGCCATTCGTTTTCTTTGAACTGTATGCTGGAATTTAAGTATGCATTTTTATTATTATAAAACAAATTTGGTTGACTATCCAGGTTCTCACGACATTGTTTTAACAACAGTTGTCGCGAAGTTGAATAAAAATAATAACATATGCCGAAATTCAATTATTTTTTTCCAAATTAACACAACGCCATCTAGTCGCAAACTATGCAGAGCTTGTACTATGGCTATAGGTACCGGGACAGATAAATGTTCATGCACACAAATGTTTGATTTGAGTGGGAATCGAACCCGAGACCTTTGGAATAGTAGTCCGTTACACAAACAACTACACCATCCGGTCGTCAATGGTCGTCAAAATTTGAGTACTTTGTGATAAAATAAAATATGAGTAAAACTTACTTTCGTCTGAGACAGTGGAAGCAAACATAACTTGGTCTGTGTCGTGCTTGGCATTATTGAGTTTTTTTCTAGACTTTGGTTTTTTCCGAAAAGGTTTCAATTCTAACTCTCGATTTTCGTCCTCACTACTGTCATCTACTTCTACATAATCCAAACATAGCTTCAGTGGCAATGGACTAGTGTCAGGAGAGAGAGTTGACACCAACTGTAGCTTCCATATAGAATGATTCACTACTTTGACTAGCTTCTTTAATCTTAAAGAAGTTTCACTGTCATCAACCTCAAAATTTTCTTCCAATTTCTCTAAACACAATTTCAAGGTATTCAACACAAGCTGCGTTGTATATGAATTACACATAAATCCAGCATTACTGCTGCCACTGCTTTTTGAATTCTTATTTAGATTTTTTGAGAAAAAATATGAACAATCAGAATGCGCTCCACATGGATAGTCTTGACTATGTTCATGACATGAAAAATATTCATATCGTAGAAACAGACATGAAAAAATATTTTCAATGACTTCAATACAGTTTGGCAAAGGTTGAATTGAAAGAACTAGTCTTTTTACTTCTTCCAATGATGATACAGTGTCTTGAGAATCTTCGAGTCCTTCGGAGGAGTTCACTACAGTATCGATAATTTTTGTTATAGCACAGTAACTGTTATAAGTCATAACATCCCAGTTAGAATCGAGACTTTTTTTATTCGTTTTTTTTAATGACTTTAATTCAGTTATAAAATCATTGTTTGTATTTAAAAGTCTAGAGACTTTATATCTATCTACTTTTGAAAGCCTGCATACCTGAGATATCACACCTAAAGCACTTTGCGCCAAAACTTGGCTGAATATAGAAGTTGTCATAATTTTACAATTGTTTTCCAAACAAAATTTGATTATAGTCAGTTCTCTTTTTACTTCTATTATATAAAATTGCAGTTGGTCATCAGCAGTAGTGTATGTGTCAAGAATAGAGAATATGTTTGACAATTGATGAACCAAAGAAGTTAAATCAAATGTTTCTGGACTGTTAGTTAGATCTATCAGCACCATAATGAGTATTTGTTTGGTAAAATTGTTAATTTTGAATGTTACATTCTTCATGTCATGGAGTTGTTGCTTGTAAACCATGGCTGCTTTTAAAAGCCAATGTGTTCTATCTTGGTAGCATAGTTCAAGCATATATTCTGGTGTTAATTTAAATTCTTTTTGTGGTTCATTTTTTTGGATTAAATCTGATATAATATGCAAAAACTCAGGTGTTCCATGAGGTATAAGACTCAACAAAATTTGTTTCCTGTATTGTCTAAAACTTTCTTCAGAAATATGGTGTAGAATTTGGCTTGTGAATTGTGGCATAAAATTGGCATTCCATCGCACTAATGATAAAAGTGTTAATAGTCTGTCTATGGAATTTATGTCACTTAATTCATTCTTTAGACTATCTAAATACAAATTTTGTATTTCATTCAAATTTGTATTGTTTTGAACAGCGTTTTCTTGTACGTATCTCAATATAGTAGTTGTTGTAACAGGATTAATTCTTAAATTATTCTTAAAAAAATCTAAAGTGTCTTTACTGAATTCTTTACATTTTTTTGATTCTTGTATGTCATAATACCACTGTATAATTTCCTGCAAAAAAAAATTTAATAATAATAAGAGTACCAAATATAATTCTAAACTTTTTAAAATATAATTAACTTACATCATATATCTCTGGTGTAAGCTTATCAAGCAACTTTAATATGTATGATAGTTCTTCTTCCTTCATTTTGATTACTTTTTGACCTAAAACAAAAGGCAACATTTATTATTGTATAGATAAACTAAGCAAGCAAATTAATACTAGAATATAATAGTTTAAAATAGTTGCAGCAAGTTCAATAATTTTAGCAGTTGCCAAAATATAATTTTTTTGATCTCGAGTTTTGAAATTATCTATTTTGATTTATTAACAGTGACCTGTACTTGCTATTCCTAAAAAATTGTCATTGTTTATCTATAGTCTAACTACTTGGCAATATGACACTTGTCACTCATCATCATGTACAGATTTCTGACCATTGAACAATATATCTAATATTCGATGGACATTTAGGTCAGTATTTTAAAGGACGTCTCAAGTATCGGTTGAACTCTGATTGCCTGAAACTAGTTTTAAGTGCAGATCAAAACTTAAGTATCGCTCTTATTATAGAACGCGTTTTAAGTTTTAATTAGTTGCAACCAGCTTCAAGTATTGATTGGAACTTACAGTCTGTTCTCAATTACGTTTCCGCATGAATGACATTATTATTCCGTATTACGCAGCCAATTATTTAAAAAATAATTTTCTTTTACAAACATAATTTTTGTGAGTCTGTATAATATAGGTAGTATGCAATTGGCTAGTGTAACAATGTTGTGGCGGCCATCGGAGTGGGAGTTCTCTCGCTCGATAGCCTGATTGCGGCTCTCGTGCGAAGCGTGAGTGCGTGGAACTCTGCCGTCTCCTTCTGCGAGCAAGTTATGCTCGCGAAGGAGACGGCGGTGCGGGACCGGGAGAGGTTTAGAACTCTCCCGGCCCGCCAGGCCCGGGAACGGGCTAGGTACCGCAGGCGACTCAGGTGCCGGAGGTCGCAGAACGACCTCTGTCCTCCATAAGCGCAGGCCTGGGGGTGACAGGTGAGGCCATCTGTCACCCTAGCAGAAGCAGGCCGGGGTGGCGGCGAGCGCGTTACGAAGCGCGCTCGCTTCCTGGGAGCAGAGGGAACATGGGGTTCCCACACGGGGGGGGTCGTCTACTCGTCTGTAGCTGGCCCGAGGTATGTCGGGGCACCAGGGACTTCCTTTCTAGGGTATACCTGGTTTCCCGGCTATTAGTACCCGAGACGGCGTGCGGTTTTAGTCGGTTCGAGTCCAACATGCCACCTATCGGTGGCATCCGAGGGGCATTTCCGTTAAAATATTAACAAGCTTGTTGTTTGTCCAAAATAAAATAAACACCTTAAAATAAAATGACTAGAAACAGGCTATAACGGATCGTTCACGTTATTTAGCAACACTTATCATGTTGAATTTGTCAAACAATGTATTTATTTTTATATTTCTAAAATTTATATTACTAGAATATTATTATAATTTTAACATAAACCAAAAGGTTGTGTTGATTTTAAATTTTAATTTGTTTTAATTGTTGTGATTTTAAATGTGTGTAAAATGTGAATTTCAGTGAAGTTAATATCAATTAAGGTAAATTAAAGTAAATTTTACTAAAGTGTGACAAGTAATTCTTTCGTAAATAAAGTAAAGTAAATCTTTCATAATTGTTCAGAAGCAAATCATCGTAAAACACATTGATTTCCCCTAAAATTCTCCGGAAGTCACTGCTTGAGACTAGTTTCAGCTTGTCTCACGTAAACAAAGATCACAGCTGTCAAAATCTATACCTGAGTAAAGATTTCGACAGTGAATTTCGTTTTAAGTGACGTACAATTATAAAATCTCTACTTAAAATTAGTTTTAAGACTAGATTCACGACTGAGACACCTTTTAAAATACGGGCCTTATTCTACTGAACCTAAGTTATTTTCTATTAATCTTTACACTGAAGTATGCTAAAATTCTGAAATAAAACATCAACAAATGATGACACAAATTGCTGTTGCCCGATAACACGGCAAAACCGGTCAATCACCAACCTACAACGATATTCGTAACTTAAAATAGCCATAGTTTATTTATTTGTTTATTTTGTTATCTCACAACATATTTATGTAAAATTTATGGTAACATCTAGGTAATAAGGTTCTGATATACATGCCACTTACGAGCTAACACAGCATTCACAGTTTACACAACATATTAACAAAATCACATTGATATACACTAGACTTTGAATTTTGTGTCCATACTCGTATTAACTCAGAAGAATTTTTAGCAAAATGTTTGAGAAACCCGTGTTTTAGTTTAGTTGCACATGGTACAAAATATTGAGTAATTAGCATCACAAAGTTGTCTCAAGAACTCGCAATTTGTAGACATCCTGCACTCGGTAGGCGCGCAAGTGTTAATGACCTTTCCATCAGTATCGCATACTTCGCTACATTTTATTGATAAATAAAGTACCTAATAAAACATCCAAATACTAAAACTTCACTTCATTAAAATAAGTAATAAGTAAAAAATACATAAATCTGTAGTGTAATAAAAAAGCAATTAGAGGTTAACTTACCACTACTGTTTTACATGTATTTTAATAAATGTTCAAAATGTAGTCCGTTTGTCTCCAAGCAAAGTCTAGCTCGTTTTTGAACATTTTCTTTCAACTTTTGAAGTACGAAAGTGTCATTACGCACATCTTCAAACGCTCGCACTATTTGTGGTTTCAAATTGGCGATGCTTTGGACCTCTTCCACAATTACGCGTCTTTTAATTTCAGCCCACAAATAAAAGTCACATGGCGTTAAATCCGGTGACCGAGGCGGCCATGGAACGGGACCACCGCGACCGATCCAGCAGTTACCATATTCTGTGTTTAAATAGTCACGAACAGTGGCGGCGTAATGTGGTGGGGCACCGTCGTGTTGGTAATAAAAATCCCTGTAATGAAGGGGTGCTACCGTTCAGCCTGCCTTCAATGAAGTATGGCCCAATATTTTATCGCCAATGACGCCGGCCCACACGTTTGCGCTGAAGCGAACGTGATGGTGATCTTGTCTAACGACGTGTGGGTTGTGATATGCCAACCAATGTTCGATATGTTGGTTGTACAAACCCACACAAGTAAACAAGGCCTCGCCTGTCCACAAAATACGAGGCACGCCTTTTTAAGTTTTGTCGTTTGAAGAAAAAAAACACAACTAGCTGTTTTTCAAAGCATTAATCACGTAGCTTAATACACTTTTCCATTCGCTTAAACCAGTTATTATAACATTTATTCCACTCTAAAGTGGGGGTGTTCAAAATGGCTGACTTGAAAGCGTCGACTGCTTCTTCACCGGACTGGAACCTTTGACCACGAAGACTTTTCTTAATTTTAGGAAATGTAAAGAAATCGTTAGGGCTTAGGTCAGGACTGTATGGAGGATGGTCAAATACTCAATCGTTTGAAGAGCGCTGTGTGAGCTTGCGTTGTCGTGGTGCAGGATGATGCGTGGCTTTGAGTTAGATTTTCGAAGTTCGGCGATGACTTCTGGTAAACAAACTGTGGTATACCACTCTGCGTTAATCGTTCTACGATCTTCAAGTGCAATAGTCGCAACATGGCCGGTTTTTCGAACGAACGTGGCCACTGTCTTCTTTGAAGTGCTTCGAGAAGGAACGACTTCAGTCGGCTTTGGCTCGTCTTGAAAGACCCAGATTGTAGATTGTTGTTTGGAATCAGGATCGTAGGCATAGATCCAAGATTCGTCACTACTGATGATGTCGTAGACGTGATTTGACTCTCCTCGGTTGAACCTTTGCAGAGTTTTCTAACACCATCTGACGCGGGCCGCCTTGTGATCGTCGGAAAGCAGATGCGGTATCCAACGGCAAACTAGCTTTCTCACACCAAGCGTTTCATGCAAGATCTTCTGAATGGTTGTCCCTGAGATGCCTAATAGAGCCTCTATCCCTCGATACGTCACATGACGATCTTCGAGAATTAGTTGTCTCACAGCAATGATGTTATCTTTCAGTGAAGGCGTATTTTGGGCGTCGTTCTCGAGATTTGTCACTAACACTAGAATGCCCAAAGAAGTCGAAGATTTTTTCTTCGACCTCTATTGCAAGTAATACTCGCGATTAGAAAACATTGTTTGCACTGTCGACGTCACGGAAGAAGGAGGTGCGTCGGCGACGCGACAAGACGCGGCCGGCTGACCATTACCATACAGGCACACATCAAAACGACGTTGTATTATATTTAATAATGCCATTGTATCTATCTGTGAAATGTGAAAAAGAGTGGCCATGAGTTTGTTTGCCCTTTCTTCTCATACGGCTCAACCACTTGGAAACGGGCGGTTGTAGATCGGCTTAGGCATATCATAGATTTTTTATAAGTTTAATTTTTATTAATTTGTTTTGCTTACCATTTGACAAAACAGAGATTGTTGCTATTGTGTGTGTTGATCTTTGACTTTAGAGTCTACATAAAAGACGAATTCAAATAATTTTAATTTTTTTATAAAATAAAGAGACTTTTGAGTTTGAATAATTTGATTTGTAAGGGCCGGTGCACTTGGGGCGGTACATATCACGCTCGTACCCAAAACTCAAATGATTAAATGAATGTACAGTGTCTGGTGGCAGATTTACATTTTTAAATACAATTATTTCAAAAAGTAATAAACGGTGCGGGGGGAGGTTAACATCGTTGGAATCACGGATCGTGCGGATTTCTCAGTCGCGATGTCACAGTGTAAGCATCGCGCGTTCGCCATTGAGGCATTTTTAAGAGCAACGATTCCTACGTAATCGCTCGTCGGCAATTTTGTTTACACTTCGGGTTGTGATGGGCCGAGTGTAAATTTGATTCGTTCCTGGGTGCAGAGGTTCCGCGCAACTGCTTCGGCTATGAACGCCCCACGGCCAGGGCCTAGTCGATCTTCAAGGACCCCCGAAAACATTGAAGTGGTAGAATACGACAAAATGCGCGACTTTCGATATGGAAACGGGCAGCCCCACTGGGACTTCCGAGGGCGATTGTCCATGAAATTTTTAAATAGGATCTGAAGTTCCATCCTTTTAAAATTCAGATCGTTCAAGAACTTCGAGAAAATTATTTGTGTCACTTTTTTTTTTGTAAAACGATGCTGGAGCGTTTTCGCACTGTAAACTCAATTTTTTGGAGTGACGAGGCTCATTTCCATTTAAACGGGCACGTCAACAAGCAGAACTGCTGGTATCCAAGAACTCGCAACCCTCGACTAAAACATCAAAAACCATTACATTGTCCTAGGCTAACGGTTTGGTGTGCTTCATCCACGAATGGGATTATTGGACCATTTTTTTTTTAATTCCCGAGGCCAGGCAACGAATGTCAATAGTGACAAATATACGCGCATGATTACGCATTTCTTTTTGTCTAACCTGGGAGCTCATCCATCGTTCTCATCGCATACGTGGTTGCAACGGGATGGTACGACACCACACACAGCCAGATCTTCGACGAATTTGCTTCGTCAACATTTTCCCCAAAAACACATCATCAGACATCTCGTGGCCCAGCCAGGTCACCCGACTTGACCTGGATGTTTTTTTTTTATGGGGCTACCTCAAAGAGAGAGTGTACACAAACAATCCGCGGACGGTTGTCGACTTAAAACAAAATATTCGACGAGAAATTAGCGAGTGTACTGCAGAGTGTGGCGCGAAACACAACTCCGTTTCGAACAGTGTGTGCAAATTGACGGAAACCTTTGGGTGACATAATTTTTTGAAATTGAAATCTGCATCTTTGCTCCATCTTTTACTGTTTTTATAAAAAAATATCTGAAGTGGTTAGTTTATTATTTCATTTTAAAAACATGAATCTCCCACCAGACAGCCTCTAGTTAGTTATGATTTTTATTTTCTATATAGGGTAAGTATTCCCACACCTGTTAGTGATATTTATATTAATTAGAAGTTAGTCATCTACCGGATTGACATACTTAAAGTATACTCTCTTTTCTTTATAGTTTATTGCATTCCTGTGATTTATTGCACGCAAGCAATATGTTTTCATATTTCATTTATGGTGTTTACATTAAAACATTATTATGTCGAGTATTTTTAATTATGTATTAAGTATGTTTAATATATAATAAAATATATATCCATAAATGTATGTTTCATATATATCCAGCGTGGTATAGTAGGCCAAAACCTCCCTTCTAAGGAGAGGCCTATGTCCAGCAGTGGACTATTAAAGGCTGTTGATGATGTTTAATAATCACCCACTGGTGGGCGGTCCCACCAGTGGGTGATTATGTCGGACTCGAACCGACCAAAAACCGCACGCCGTCTTCAGGTACCAGTAGCCGGGGAACCAGGTATACACTGGAAAGGAAAGCCCTGGTACCCCGACGTACCTCGGGCCATCTACGGCTTATAGATGACCCCTCCTATGTGGGAACCCGGATGTTCCCTTCCTGCCCCGAAGGGCTTGCGCGCTCCGTAGCGCGTCGCGCCATTACCCACCGCGGCCTGCTTCTGCTAGGGTGACAGATGGCCTCACCTGTCACCTGTCAGGCCTGCGCTTATGGAGGACGGAGGTCGTTTTGCGACCTCCGGCGCCTGAGCCGCCTGCTGTCCCTGGTCCGGTCTCGGGCCTGTCGAGCCGGGAGGGTTCTGATCCTCTCCCGGTCTCGCTCCGCCATCTCCTTCGCAAGCATAACCTGCTCGCAGAAGGAGATGGCGGAGTTCCACGCACTCTCGCTCCGCACCATGGCCGCAATCATGTTACCGAGCGAGAGATCTCCCACCCGGATGGCCGATGGCCGAGGTCACTGCCTCGTGATGCTCTATCGTTAGTTATTGAAATACAGCTTTCGTGTAAACGATATGAAGTTATTTGAAACTATGGTAAGGATATTTTTCCAAGTTATAAAGAAGGACAGGCGGAAAGACCTATTTCTTAGCGTTCCATGGATTTACAGTGCGGGTGCCGGGTCCATCGCGTGGTACACTTGGACAACACATGCGACTTATATATATATTCTTAACATGTTTGGTTCCGTTACGACTTATAGGTGAAGAAATTGAAATCGTTTAAATTTGCAAGGAAAACATCAAGAACGGATAACCATACCGACATAATTAAACGTTTGTTCATTTCTTCCGATCCAATTACATTATAACCCGTAACCGTAAATTAAATTATAACAAAAAAAAAACTTTGGTTTGTATATGTCGAATATTGTGAAATAAATATTTTTAAAGTAGTTTTTATTAAGCTTTGCGCATGAACACTTATTTTCTAGTATAATTTGATTTTTGGGTACGACCGTCATATATACCGCCCCAGTGTGCGGCGGCCGGGTTTCGCACACGCGTCACCCCGCCACACCGCGTCCCCCGACGCATTCTTTCTCTCACTGTTTACGTAAATAGCATTAGACATAACATTTTGTACGTTAGAATTAGTAAAATGCTGCTAAATATTTTCTTCAGGATGAAATATTTTATGAAAAAAATTTGATGTACAATTAATGTATTAATTTAAATAATGCCTAGTGCCTAAAAAAATTTGTACCGAAATTGGTATTGACACACTTTACTTAAAACTTTTTTAATCGAATGGTAGTTCCCGTTAAGGTTCCCATAACGACGGAAAGTAATATAGCTAATGAATTGTGGTGAAGGGTCATCTAGACAGAACAGATTTAATCGAGTATGTTAACACAGACATCACTGCTTAAGTTTTAATTTTGAAATTAAGTCAGAAGCAAATTCAAGGACTTGTTTTTAGTTTTTTTTAATATTTGATATTTTAGATGTGATTATTATAAACATACTTTATTTTAAACAATTGATGACATTTCACAAGCTAACAATATTTAAAAAATAATGCATTTAATTGTAAGGTATGTGTAAAATATTTTTATTGCCATTCAAAAAATAAATGTAAATTGTAAATTGTAATAATAATTGTCTTGTAAATTTACTATTTGATAGTCCTTTAATTTGTATATTACTGACTTATATCTGATCCCTTTGTTCCTACGTATTTTGAAATTTAAACAATATCAGTTAGCAATCAGTTAGCGATAGTTCATGCGACCTTATTAGAAATATCGGGATGAAGTAGGGTTGATGACTTGTATTGCCATCTTATCTAGCACCAACTATAAAGCAAAATACTATCTTAATTTTTTTTATTTTTGTAATATACATACTATAGTATTACAAAACTTATGTAATTTATGATAGACAGTAGGCATTGTCATGTTGGGTAAACAAATAATTATATTATCACTAGTACACAACCCTTAGGTCACAAGTCTTTGACATGGTCCAACTTCTAATCACTTGCTTGTTGCTATGAGGCACCATTTGCATATATATGTCGTCGATATATTCTCACTTCTCACTATCCTTGCTTCAAACAACAGTATAATAATATTATTATACACAGTGTGTATGAATACATTAAACATAATAACAACAATTTATACATGTAGGTCACTTATTTGATAGCTGCCGGAATTAATAAATATTTATCTTTCCTCACCTAATATCCTACACAAAAAAGAACAAAGTAGTTTCCTACCTTAATATTGTTGGATAAACGATAAATCTATGACATTCTAGTTTGAGTTGGGAGGAGTCTCGTCCAATCAAGAACACGGGTATTAAATTTAAACCACAGAAAGCTACAACATTTTGTAGCCAAAATATTTAGAAAATTTTCGATATACCAACATGTAGAAAATAACGTTAAGTAATATTTTAATGTGAGGATGATAATACAACAATTAAGGACCAAAAACATGTTTAGGAATCAAGTACACTTACGACATAGAAAAAGAATTGACCACAAGCACGGGTAATATTTTTTCCAGAATTTTAAAACAGATACAATAACAAAGTATAACTACAACGAAAACTTTACGCTACAGTAATCTGGTACTGCTCGCTCAGCTGTCAGTATTAAATCTATCATTGTCAGAAAAATGAAAATGTTGCCATCAATATAAGGACAAAGTAATTTCTTTCTAGCGTTCAACGTTGCAATGTCAGCTCAAAAAACTATTTTTTGCCTAAAATATGCTACACTTTACGAAAATACTAATAAAATATGTGAAGTACCTAATATAAAAATTCATTCTAATTCAAACAACTCCTGTTATTGCCATTATTTCACTACACATTCACACAGGATATAACATTTAAAAAAACTTAGTAAGCATCGAATTCACTGAAATTTCAATCCCTATTAGGTACAATAAAATATAATAAGAGTGATAACAATCGCGAGTCACAACGATGTAGTACAATCGAAATACTCGTAAAAACATATCAACTCAATGTCGTACGTAGTACGTACATCACTTCCTCGTAGGCTAAGCTAAGCTGTCATACTACAATAATAGGGAATAACCAACAAAATATCGAAATAGTAATATTTTCCCAATTTATTAATTTTTTTTACCCTCTTATAATTGACCACCATTACTATGAAACTATTAGCACGATGTAATTTTGTGAAAAACGTCTCATTTTTATCCCGGTTCCATGGACCGCACACCAGTATCTCAATTCAAAAATATCTAACAATCCTATCAAACAGACGACAACAACAAATAAAACTTTCATTTATATCATGTCTGTATTCTTCTAACGAAAAGAAACAATTTATAACCTTAGAAAAGAAGGCTCATTCTATAAAAGATGCTTTAGATCATAAAAAGGTGCTCTTAAAAGATGCAGAACATAAAATTAGACAAAAGAGTGAAGAAATTGTAAGGGATCTAAAGCAACAGAACAAAATTACCAGCCAGAAGTTTAAGGTACAAAAAGAGTACATTATCAAGGATATAATTGAAACAAAAGGTAAAATAAAAGAAAGGATTGAAGATGTAATAGAGGTAAGGTTTATATTACTTCAAAACACATACTTCTTATACTAAACAATATGTTTAGCAGGACTTAACATAATATCATAAAATAATTACATGGTCCAAATAAAATCTCTTGTATTGAGTATTAAGAGTTCCCATATCAGTTCTTGAGGAATCATCAATTGCATACTTACTTACTTAATTGTTACATAGGAAGATAGATGCTAGTAGTGGAGTATCAATTGCTATGGTATTACTATGGCTAGTTTTTCTCCTATTATGAGAGAAGTAAGCAATGAAATCTGTCATTGAAGCACACCAATTTCAACATTTTATGCTAATTAGAAATTTTTTACAGTTTTTAATGTAGTATGCAGTAGGCCAAAAACTTCTTTCTAAGGAGAGGCCTATGTCCAGCAGTGGACTAGTAAAGGCTGTTGATGATGAATGTAGTATGATAAGGTCATATCTGATAAATTATGTATTATCTCTTTTCAGAAAGAAAATATTTACACAATACCAAACATATTATGTATTACTAGAATAGCAATGTCCCCATATTTGGGATACACTATTTTTCAAGAGCAATATTATTTAGCTCTAGGTTTATTAGCATGTGCTGGAATTACTGATCTGGTGAGTAATTTTGCTATAAATGCTTATACTAAATGTAAACATTCATTTACTTTAAAAAAGGTTAATGATAAAGTGTTCTTTTATTAAACTAAGATAGTAAACAAGCACTTGGAGGGCCTAGTAAGTACACAGCTGCGTATACCTGTTATAATAACTGCTATATAAAAACATATGTTAGAATATGAGTTAATAAAATTACTCCACTGTTACATTAAATGCAAAGATTGCTAAATATGTAATTCTTTTAATTACAAAATATGACTGCCCAGATGGTGTAGTGGTTTAAGCGGTTGTCATGCCGCTTCCTACTACGCTGAGTGTTGTGGGTTTAATCCCCACATGGGACGACACTTTGTGTGAGCCACAAATTGTTGTTCTGAGTCTGGGTGGTCTTTGTGTCCTTTTCATGAATGTTTGTAAAGTGCTCTGTGACACAAGATATATTCCTAATACAGGAGCTGTCTTTTAAAAAAAAATGTTTTAAATCAGAGAATGTTTTATTATTATTTATTTTTTAAATGCGTATTTTTTTTGAAATAAATCTTATAAAAAAATTATCAGCCATAAACTTATAAGAATCCTCTAATATAAGGCTGTCCTTTTTATTTTCAGTTGGACGGATGGATAGCAAGAAACTGGAAAGGCCAGTCAACAAAAATGGGATCTTTCTTAGATCCTATGGCAGACAAAGTGCTCATAGCAACTTTGTTTGTGTCCCTCACATATCAAAATCTGATACCTCTCCCTCTTACACTACTCATAGTTAGCAGAGATGTTGCATTAGTTATAGCTGCCTTTGTCATTAGATACATAAGTTTGCCACAGCCTGTAAGTAATTTTTTTTTTAATACATACTATAATAATAAAAACTTTATTGTACCAGAATATGTACTCAGTTGACTTGTTAGTCTTTAACAAGGGCCATTTGTCAAGGAACAAGGCTACCTGTTGGGTGTAGTTGTCATGATGTGTATGTAATGAGATTATTGCTTGCAATAATTAGTAAATAATTCATTGTTACTCACAAATAATTACTCTTACTGTTTGTTGAAGCGGTCATTTTACAGGAATTATTATCATTGTTATAAAACAAATTTTAAATACAATTTAATTAAATTTTATTTTTTTACCTTATTTAGTAATGCTGTGTATTTATACACAGCATTATATCCCATTGGATATACGAGGGAGCGTTTTTATGTTCGCGGAATGGGGGATAAGGGGTGGAAAAAAACAAATTATTTTTCCTTTTCAATATATTCACCTGCAAGACGGATACATTATTCAGATCTTTCAATTAATTTGTTTATACCCTCATAAAAAATGTTTTCTCTTTGTCTTCAAAATACGCCGAAACTGCCTCCTTGACTTCATCATCGTTGGTAATTTTTTTACCCCGCAGCTCTTTTTTCATTTTTGGAAACAGGTAATAATCGCTGGGGGCCAGGTCTGGGCTGTAGGGTGGGTGATTCAAAATATCGAAGCCCACCTTATGCAGGGCAGCCAACGCAACGCGGCTCTTGTGGACGGGCGCGTTGTCGTGCAAAAGCAACACACCTTTTGTCAATTTTCCCCGTCTTTTATCTTTAATGGCTTCTTTGATTGGCTCTAATATTGAAGCGTAGTATTCTCCGGTTATAGAAACACCTTTATCTTTATAATCGATCAATAATATTCCTTCTGAGTCCCAAAAGACCGTTTCCATGAGTTTCCCAGCTGACTGTGACACCTTAAACTTCTTGGGAGGTGCTGTGCCCTTTTTATGCCACTGCATGGAGTCTTGTTTCGACTCAGGTTCATAATGATGAACCCAAGTTTCGTCTCCAGTAACAATTCTACTCAATACAGCATCCTTGTCTTCATTACAAAGGTCTAAAAATGCACGTGAACACTACGCGCTGTTGTTTTTGCGTCGGCGTGAGCATTCTCGGCACCCATCTTGCACTGACCTTCGTCATGCCAAAATGATCGTGCGGAATTCTAAAAATGTTTGTATCAGATACTCCAACCATTCTTTAATCGAGCATCGTCGAGTACAATTTTTTCGACTTTTTGGATAAGTTCTGGCGTGATCACCTCGATGCTCCTGCCCGGCCTCGGGTCGTCTTCAAGGGATTCCCTTCCTTGTTTAAATAAACTGTGCCATTTGTACACCATGGTTTTTTACGCCGTAAACCAATGACATCTCATTCATTATGGTCGCAACTGATTTTCCTTGCTTGGTAAGGAACTTTATAACGGCATGATATTCGATTTTTTCCATGTTTCACTTTTCACTCCCGATTATGTTGCTTGGTTGACGATAACTGAAAGACTAATTGTCTAATAATAAATATAAGTCACTGAACACGTGACGATTCTAATGAGCCTAATCACCCCCCTCCAACCCTCTCATTCCGCGAACTTAAAAACGCACCCTCGTATATCTACACTTACAAGAGGCCTACTGAAAAATTGCAGCAATGTAAAATGACTTTTAAATATGATTCATAAAATTTGTTGTGTGATAGAATCAATGTACCTAACTTGCTCTTGGCCTTGTAAGGTCACTTCATTGCTGTAAAAGTAAATAGACATCTATCACTAGAAAATATTAGGTGATCAAGAAAATACAAGGATACTGACATTTTGATAAAGACATGTGATAAAGAATTCAATGAAAACAAAATTTAAAATTAAACATAGTTATAATAATTGTATGAATAATAAAATAAAATATAGTACTAAGTTTTAAAAACAAAAAATAACAAAATTTACTATAGGAATAGTTTACCATTTACTTGAAAGGCCTTAACTTTTAAAACTTGAAAAATCATTGAATAAGTAATCAGGTTTACCTTGGCCTTACCTTACAGAGAACCTTAAGCAGGTACTTTGATGTGACTCATGCAACTGCACAACTTGCTCCTACGACTATTAGCAAATTCAACACTGCTATACAATTATTATTGGTAAGTGTAACAGATTTACTATTATTATTATTAAGCATATATATGAAGTTCTAATATTATATCACAAAGCTGTAACACAGCTATTGTTATATTATTGGTATTGGAATTTGGACTAAATATTGTGTGACTGATTTGGATGAATAAGATTTTTTTCAGTTGAGTAATGTCACATATATTATTTCACTTATAGAATGATTTCAACTGTCTTTCAGGTTGGCACCACTCTAGCCTCACCAGTGTTTGGTTATGTTGATCATCCAGCACTACAAACGTTGTGTGCTGTGACTGCTGCATCCACTATTGTTTCAGCTTTGAGTTACTTAGTTAGTAAGGACACATATAAAGTTTTGAACAAAAAGTCCAAGTGAATTAATTTCATAAAAATACATAGTTCATTGTCTATAATCATTTTTATACATGTATAGTCTTCCAAACAAATTTTAGTTTTGTAGCTAAGTGTTAACTAATGTTAATGTTTTGAAAGTTTGTAAATATATTATTTTATTAAAAGTAACATTTTGTATTGATTATCTCTTTCATACTAGTCAATAGATATAGGTAAGTGAAATATTTTTTTTTATTTCAAAATAAATGAATAGTACTCATATACAAAAGGAAACGATTTATTTTTTCATCCTATTTATATGAATAAATTGTAGTTAATTTACCGAAAAAATCAAGTTATAAAAATATGTAGAGTAGGTAGTAAATAATAACTAAATTAAGCTTATTCTAGGCGTAACAGCATTTTCAGATAATGGTCATGCCAATTTATTAAACTGCAATGTTGATAACATATTTGATTGAATGCACTTCAATATTTCATTTCAATATGAATAATATTATGGTGGAATGTTGACTGCTACTAATTTTAATTGATTAGTTGTTAATATATTTGTGAATTAACTTAGTTTAACCTGAAATTAACCAGTGAAATATGAATTTCTAGTTTATTTATTCATAAATGAGCATCATCAAACCGTGGACTGAATGGATATGGATGGTGAAGATTTAATTTCAAAAGGCACATACTAATGTCTAAAGTACATGTACATAAAACAAATATACCTAATTGAAAGTCCAATTGTTGCATTAATACCTACATTTAAATGACTTATATAAGTTTTTTTGGTATTTACTTTTCTTGCCTACAATATGCTGAAAAGCAATATTAGGTGAATAAAGTGTACGCTTCTCTTGAAATAATAGACTTAGCGATTAGTCAGAGCTATTGATATAGAACTTCATTACAAAATTACTAATCTAAGACCAGTTATTGTATCTACTTGTATACTATTACAAAGCTTCGATAAACAACACAAACTGTAATTAAATCTTTGAAAATCAAAGACTAGAGGATCATAACTAATGGTCCTGCTTTTTAAAATAACTTCTTTACGAGCTAATACTAATCATACACAATATTATCAAATTAGTTTAAATTATATCTCAAGCATGCTTATAGCTGTTTATATCTACTTTTTATACATAAAGACAATTTCAAAATTAATTATGGCAGCTAGGTTAAAGTGAGAAGAAACTAGTTAAATAGTTACTGAATAATCATTATATTCTTTCTGACCACAAATCTCCTCGAGGGCAACCAGACATTCACCGGACTGCAACCGTATCTTTGGATAAGTTTACTATTACAATTTACAATAAATTATTTAAGGAAAATAACATATCAGAAATACATTAACCAGTACAAAAGTGTTGTTCAATTCTAACAGGCGTTACATAATATGATAAATTCCAATATTGACATACTAATAGGGCACATTACATGCACACAATACACTCATTGTCAGGCACCAATAAATTAAATGTGAGAAAACAAAAATCACTGTTCAAATGTCACATGATAGTAAAATCTTAGGCTAATAAGTATAAAAATTGTACAAAATAAAAATAAAAAAAATGATTGCACAGTACATTAAAATTAACATACTACATACTGTTATAAAAAATAATTATTATCTTTTGAATATTGGTAACAGTACCAGCTTTATTTAAGTGTGTTTACAATTTTTGTGTAACAATGTTATTATTACACAAATATAACCATATTTTAATACAAGATGCATGTTAGTTATGTAAATGTAAGTTAATGAGTATAAGAGTTAAATGATCAGAATATTATTAACCAACCTTATTAATCAACTCATCACAAATAGCGGTGAGCTCCTCGTTATCTTTAATTTTCTGTGCCAATGATTCTTGCAGAGAAGATACATGTACTTCACTCTTCTTAAGCATGGCATTTAATTTAAGAACTTCTGTCTGATGCGCTTTCTTAACAGAGTCTAACTCTGCATTGGCTTTGTTAAGCTGCTGCATCGCATGCTGCCGCAATGTTTCATATCTCGCTTCTAGTTTTTGGATGGCATCATTGTTGTCCTCTACTGTTTTCTTCAAAGTTTCTTCATTACATTTGTATCCCTGAATAATAACTTTACACCGTTCATATTTTGTATGAACATCATTAAACGCATGCTCCATAGAAGCTAAGTGAGCTGCAGCATCATCACGTTCTCTTACAAGATCAGATCGTTCTTCAATCCACCGTTTAGATTCTGCCTCACGTTCTCCAATAAGAGAAGAGATAGTGCGTTCATATTCCTCCATTACAACACTCATTTGTTTATTATTTCGTACTTTTTCTGCGACTCGTTGTGAAAGTGCCTTCTCCTTCTCGCCATATTCTTCATTTTGCTCAGTCAATTTTTTTATTTTCGTTTCACATTCTTCCAATCTTTCTCGTAATTCATGATTAATATCTCTAAGGCTCTGAGCTTCCTCTTCTTGAGCTGTAAGAAGCTCTTTGACAGCCCTTAACTGTTCCATAGTATGAGGATCCATGTCTGACGACCTTGTGATAACAGGTGGTGGAGGTGGTGGAATGTTAGCTCCTAGGCTGAGAAGTCTGTCTATTGTAGCAATAGCAGGTGAGACTGTATTAGCCTTTACAGGAGTCACTTTTGCTGCTGATGGCTGCTGACTCCTATTAACAGCAGGTGTAACAACTTGAGTGGGTTTCTCAGTAGGACCACTGTTATTGGGTTGCACGGATAATTGCTGCATTGAGTTCACTATGTTTTGCTCTGTACCTGACATGGTACCTGACACTGTTAGCACTATACCTCGATCTGTTTATTTAATCAAAAGTTTTCACATGATCTCACCTGAAAGATAAGAATATACGTTACAAATAATTTGGAACTAATAAATTTGTCAAATCATATCATGAACAGTATCACACTTCATTGATATAATTACATTTATATCTTATCAAAAGGTTCTATGCAATTGTATTTATCATATGCAAGTACGTAGGGAGCCCTAAAATATGTGAAATGATCAACATCCTACGCAAGGTACGATGAATAGAAACAATAAAGTAACATTTTGCGTTATTGAAAATGTTAACCTACCACAATGTGTTCGAACTTATGTGCACTTAGGTATCAACAAAGACCAAAATCATACACCACTCCTTATAAGATTTTAGTGACTTATATGATTTTAATAATTAAATAAACATGTACGAAGTAGAATAACGATGATCAAGTCGATGACATCAGTCATTTATTAACACCACAGATAGATAAAAATCCTTAAATGACATTTGATGTCATTTTTTTATTGCCGTCTATGAACTAAGAGCAAAGATGACTATATACGGAGTGCAATGGATGTAAGGCAAACTATCAGTCCGGAAATTCTACAATCGTAATTATATAAAAGGAAGGACAAAACAACTTCACACTTTATTTAACGTTTCTCTCTAGAATTACATCAAACAATAATAGCCTTGGTCATTTAAAAATGTTCTAAGGTTATTGTTGGACTCAGTTCGGAAACAAATGTATTTTATTTATTTATAAAAAAAATAAGTTACATACAGACAATTCTTGTTACTGTTCTTCGCAACGTCTTGTAGTATGGCAAATAACTTTCACAATCTTGTAATTATCAAACAGTGGCGTAGCTAGGCGTAGGCGAAGTGGGCGGACGGCCTCGCATGTGGGATCCCGCGAGGCTCCTTTAAATGCGATGCCCAAAGACTTTACCACAGATGAATTTGTGGCGTTGCACATCACTACGCGGTGGCGTTGCACATCACTACGCGTATTGCATATCACTACGCCTGTATTGCCTGTTACATCACTCTCCGACGCGATGACGTAGTTCCGCTACCGCGGGACGCTCTCTTGGACAGACGGTCAAAATAGTTTGGAACACAAAGACATGTCTCGTCCGATACCGTAGTTAGTAAGTGAACTGTGTTGATGTCTGTAAATTCGCCATCGTGAATAATTAATATTATAAGGAATAGACATAAAAATCAAGGTTTTCTTTTGGACTTCAACAAACCAAAAATTAATATGGTCACATTTACGCTTGAAGTGCGTTTGTTTCGGGCCTCCTAAGAGGCCCAATCTTAAGTGCGACTGCGAGGTCATTGTTAATCTTTAATTGACGACAAACGAGACCTTTCAGGCATTAATAGCTATAAGCAGCGGCGGATCGTAAATTTTAGCCGCGCCTAACTAGCGAGATGCCTCAGGCTTCCCCCGCCTTTTGGCCCAGTTACTACCTATGTATTGTAGCCCGACCGTGTTTTGATACGATTGCCGGCGGGGACATTTCTCCTCCGATTCGATTTATCAAGACCTTGTTTAGACACCCACGCGGGACATTTCTCTTGCGCATGCTGGCTGCACAGTGCTCGCATTGTGCCGTCTACTCACGTTCGATCGAATTCAGGTACTCACTGAAGCAACAATGCGCGAGGAGAACCTACGTCAATTTGTAGGTGACGCGACCTGCCTCCCTACTTATCCACTTTTCGAAGTTAGACAGAACGGCACCAACAGCACTCATTCCACGGCTGGTCCAGCCACGCGCTTTTACATCAATGCCTATTGGTGACTGCTTCGCCGCATTTCAAGCCCATCCTGAACCTCCCCGCTACCACCCCTCCTGAGCAGCTGTTGATCTGTAGAGTTATACCAAGTGAAGAGTAAGAGTATGTCAGTCTATCTTTTCATTAAGTGTTGAACTTCAATGAACACCAATAACATCCATTCACATGTCTTTGAACTCATTTTCCTTGACTCACATGAGTACTGCCATTTAAGTTCGTAACGACTACCTAAACTGGCGCTTAAGTCTATAAATAGTTTATGTCTCTTGCAAAGCGGTTTGCCATCAGTTTGGTTGACCATGTTAATTTGAATGTTTTGAACTGTATATAAAGCGCAAACGTCATGCCTGGTTCAATAATCAATCAACGCTCAGGGATAAAAGGAATGACAAAGATGGCTGTAAAACTTGCATATACTCTTTTGGTATATTACCGGAGTGCGAGGACCAAAACAGTTAAATATGATTTTATTAGAACTAGAAAAACCACCAGTTGGCCCTCAGAAGCTTTCAGTGTAACTATCACAGCCCAATCTTATCTGCTTCTTTCTTATTATGGCTTCAACTGCAGAGGTGGATTAAATATCGAGAGCGCCCTAGCCAACCATCTCATCGGCGCCTACCGCGTCTCTCTAGCGCCCATACTATATTTAAATATTTACTAGTTGACGTGACTAAATATGTGGTGTTTGATTACTCCAAGTTTTAAAAAACTTTTTTACGTGTTGAAACACCCCGAACCGTCACCCCACCAAGGTTCGCGATGTGTTTGTGTCAGACTCGAACTAACTAAAACCTACTAAAACCACACGATGTGACATACCGTGTCCAAATACGAAAGATTCAATACAGCTTTTATCAAGACATCTGCAATACTCCTCGTACCTACTTACCCGAAAAAGCCCGGGCGCAACCTTCAGGTAAAAATTCTGTCACTTTCTCGGTTGGCCTCTGTGGCGGGTGGAGGGGAAAACCCATCCCGTCCTTCAGCGACTACACTCAGGGTGGCATGAGGCACTGGAAGGCGTACCTCCGCTGGCGCCGCGGTTCGCCGACCTGCTTCAGTCTGGGTCCCGTGTTGCCGCGTCGCCATCTTGACGATGCCCGGCTGGAGTGCTTACACAGTGGTAAAGCCAGCACGTGAAACCTCCAGCCGGGACGCCGATAACCTTCGGTGAGCACTTCTGCTTCCACATACCACGGCACGAGCAGGACCGGATTTACCATGTCTTGGCCATTGGCAATGGAATCGTCGGGACCCCATTTTCACTCTTTTGCAGATTATCAGCTCTTTGTAAGTCGATCGGCGAGGCAGGTGACCTCACCAGTCACCCCTAGACCTTCACATACGCAGGATGGAAGTCATTCAGCGACCTCCGCCACCTGAGCATCCTCATTCCGTTTGCCGTCACGAGGCCACGCCACGGCTTCCACACGCCGCATCATAGCAGCGTGTGGAGCGATGCAATGGTGGTTCCCAGGCGTTGGTTCCTTGCGGAGCAGACACAGATGATCTGAGATGAGACAGCCGGTATGAGATGAGAGGGTCCCGTGTTGCCTTTCGATCCAATCCTATAACGGGTCTTACCGCCGTTATAATGGCGGGCCCGGCGCTTGGTCACCCAAGTCTTTCCCTCCTTTCCTCCATGAGGGCCCGGCAAAGTTTGGATTTGTGGTGTGAGACTGCATCTCTCAGGTGGCCCCTTCCAAGAGTCATGAAAGAACAAAGCCTCAGATTTGTGCAGAGACACCTCGAGTCGCAGCCACCTGATCCTCACTGTGAGCCTTATCGCACGCCGTCACGAGCGGTTGCCCTTTAAAAGCGCAGGCACCACCTTCGGGGATAAACTTTCATTTAGAAGACGTTTGTCACACGAGGACGTCACCTCCGGTAGGCCTTCGTGGCTAGTGGAAGGAGAAACCCGTTCATCTAGACTAAGGGCGGCAAAAGGCATTAGAAGGCATGCCAGCCATGGAGCGTGTAACGGCGGGTAGCGAGAAATTCTCTTTGATAACTGCAATGATCGCTCGAGGCTACGTTGACCAGTGTGTGCTGAGCCGAGTTCAAACTGCACTGCAGTGGTGACAGGCGCAACTCCATTCACTTCTAGCGATCGACTCCTGGTAGCTCCCTAAGCAGACGTGCCCAGGAAAGACCTGCGTCAGTCATCGCGGCTCGGCAAGTTGCCTTGCATTTCCGCCTTTCAATCTCATGGGAGAGATCAGAGGCGCGCCTCATTCTGGGCGATCAGAACTTTCGCCCACACCGGTGCACCGTATAGTGCTATTAACTGGAAAACCCTGGTTTAATACTAGAACTTATAGAGTAATCTCAACTACAGCTGCATTTGTAGCAACTGCATTTTCATGCGCAACGCACTAGCCTCAATCTTCGTAGCTATCACAAAATGAAAGCAAAGTAGTGACAATTACGTAATTTAAACTCTAGATGTCAGTCAACCTTAAACATCTCTATAGAATTAAGGAATTGTTAAATTGTGTAAGTATATGCATACTTACTGACACAGTTCCTTTTATTTTAGGCATATATATTTTCTTTGTTAAAAAAATCTGGGCGCGAGCCCCTTTGTAACCTCGCGCCCCTAGGCACGTGCCTACTTTGCCTTAGAGTTAATAAGCCAGTAGATAAGTGATGATAATTAGTTTATTTTTCTGAATTTCGATGTTCCGATACTCAAAAGTCCGAATTTCATAATACCTAAGAATTATAATGTCTATTATTAAAATTCACGAAATTTATTTTACCGAATGTCGTAAATGCGATGTGTTTGTTTTCCGACTTTTATAAGTTCGAAGAATCAAATGCCCGAAGGGTTCTCGGTCCGAAACTGCTATAATCAAGATTGATTGATTCTGATTTAGACTCAGATTCTGATTCAGTTAGTATAATATTCAGTACGCATATATATTCGAAATCTATGAGTAACGTTTAATGTGTTTTAAAAACGTCTACTTTGTTATTAATATTCGTGTATTATCTATTTTTTGTATTTTCCTTCTCCTTATCCTAACCTTAACATGCGTCGGGTACCATCTACTATTATTGAATTCTTAGGGTTAGGTTAGAATTGTGACCATTAAAACGCGAAGGCGAGCGAGCGTAGCGAGCGGGCCCCGGCTGCAGCCGCCGAACGCCAGAACCCCTCTGAAGTTAGCGAATCATTTGGATAAAGTTAGGTTAGAACTGTAACCAGCGAAAGAAAATATTTTTATTCGAAAGAAAATAGAAAGAATTCGGTAGTCCGTTTTTTGTTATTCGATAAACGTTAGGAATATTGAAATTTTTGAATTATCAAAGTAGGATGAATGATCAATCGGAGTTGTTATATTAGGAACTTTGAAGCTTTCGGAATTATGAAAATCGGTATTTTGAAATTCGTATTTGTGACTGACGGAATAAAGTTTTTCGTATTTGTCTAGTGTACCCTCTCGGCAGGTACAATTTTATCTTTCCCCGAGTCCTCTTATTGATCAAGCATTTCAAACTCTGTTTTTTCATGAACCAACAATGAAAACCTGCAACTTAAGAGTCACTAGTGCATTGTCGTCCTTTCAGTCCCTCACACCAGAATCAGGGAAAACCCTTAAGGATCCCAAACCCTAACCGGTTTGGGCTCCGGTAACCTCTCTTACTCGGTGAAAAGCAACGAAAAAATTGCTGACACTGGTTTTCTGTAAGGCCGTGGTATCACTTCGGTCTTTTAAGTGCCGAAACATTTCTCTTCCATGACTATCTCATCCTGTTCATTGTGTTTCACACATTTATAATTTTGTATTTGTTTTTACTTGTTAATAATTTATATTTTAGTGACACCTAAAAGAGATAATGTTCGATTCAGATATAACTTGGCAGAATGATTCTTTAAAACTTAAGAACGCTTGAGCGTTGTTTTACTCGTATAAGGCAAAAACTAACCTCAAGCGTTTCTGGAGTTCTGTGTATCCTTTTGTAAAACGACCCGCCGTACATTTATTTGTTTATAGATATTTGATTTTTTTTTAACAACATTCTGTACCCCTATTTTAACATTTTAATCAACCAAAATACTATGTGTGATCTTAAGTTGCGTAACTTTAAGTATCTATAAGAAAAAGCTTAGAGTCCGTTCAAATTAACTAGTCAGCCACCTCCCCTCGCCCTTTCTAGCTCTAGTTAATTTGGATAGGTGAATTTTTACTAGTACCTACCTACGTATTTTTTATACCTACCTAAATACCTTTTTTCTTATTTAGAATTTTTTTCAAGCAATTTTTTTCTTATTTAGAATTTTTTTCAAGCCTAAACTCAGAGTCTGGGTGTTCTTTGTGTCCAATCGCGTGTGTACCTTATAACAGTGGTTTTAGGTGGTAGGTATGTAGATAAAAGCAGATAAATTGCTAAAATATACACTAGATTTCAGTATATAATCGAAATTATAAAATGTTTGCTTGAGTTTCGGTTTACGCCGAAACTGAAACAAGGTCTAAAAGTTCGGTTTCGGTTGAATAATCAGATTCGGTCGGACTATAGATGTAAAACAACCGATTTAAAACGTTTTAAATAAAATGTTGCCGTTTTAATCCCCAAATAAATAGTTTTAAACGGTTGAAAACTCGCCTACAAAAATAAAGTGTAAGTTTTGTTTAAACCAAATCAAATTGATTATTTATATCGTTTAAAAACAATGAAAAAAAAAAGTTTATTTACCAACACAGTCTTTAACTTAAGTAGGTAATACCTACGCTTGGTCAGACGGACCAATTAGAAGTAAACCCGCTAAGTACTCGTATATCAACATATCACATATATAAAAAATCTTTACACAGTTTATAGGTGCTCCGTCATATCCCTACCTCGGTAAAATCAAGAAAATGTACTTATAATTAAGAAAAACATAGTCATCAACACCAACAAAATAAAAAATAAATGGTTTATTTTAGTTTTAAACAGTTTTTTTTTTTCGTTTTAAACGGAGTGGTTTAATTGGTTTTAAACTGGCCTTACATCTATAGGTCGGTCACTAAAATTGTAGCCTCAGCATATTGATCCCAAAAAATAGTTTTTTTTGTACATTCCTGCTCATATGGCAACCATAGTGTTATGTTATTTTACCACTGGCTCGAGCTTCGCTTTTAATTTCTAATTCTGTGGCCACGTTTTACGCTTTCTAATCAAAGATATATAAGAATAGAGCAAGCCTAAAGCCGATTGCGTGATGCCAGGTGCGAGAAAGCTGCCGCTCTTACTGTCTCTCTCCAATCCATTAAGAGCACTGCACTGCGCATGCTCGCCTGATTAGAAAAAGACAACAAGACCTCTCGGCAGCTTTCTGTCTCGCACCTGACATTACTGCAGAGTACAGGGCTAGGTAGAGATAGCTTGCTCTATTCTTAAATCTCAATGTATGTAATAAATCCGATGAGACTTTCAAAAACCTAATGCAGTTGTCGTCATGGCAAAAAGTGGGCTAGTGGGCATTTGAATTGCCAATTTAAGAAATTTTAAATAATAGTGGGCAAGGCTATTACAAAAAAGCTTTGACTTAAAGCATAATGCTGCAATCAACAGACACAAATCATTATCCAGTAAAAGAAAATCCGTGCAATGTATGATGATGATGAACTTAATTAGTCAATTATTTTACCTAAGTAAATATAATTAAAACGCACGTGGAACCGCTGGCACAGCTACTGAAGAATGTGAAAATGTGGATTATTTTGATACTACCACCAACATAAAATTCACTAATTATTGATTAACATTGCTATTAGTTTTATATTATATAATTATTGTACCACATTCACACAACGCCATATAGCCCCAAACTAAGCAAAGCTTCCACCATGGGTACTAGACAATTGATATAAATCCATTTATACTTTTTTTTTGTAAATACATACATAATATACATAGGAACACCCAGACCAAATCAAACATTAAATGTTCATGCACACAAATGTTTGATTTGAGCGGGAATCGAACCCGCGTCCTTTGGAATAGTAGTTCGTTACACAAACCACTACGCCATCCGGTCAGTCAATAATTATTACAATTAATTAGTACAGTTAACAGAACAGAAATATAATTAAGAGCCTTATATTTCAACTAACTGTTTTTCTAATTATAAAATAGATAGTAGTATAAAACTATGTTTAGTTTTATATATTTTACATCAGACCATTGTACTATGATGTTATAGTACAATAGCACAACGTAAATCAAAACTAACAGTTGGTAATCGCCTTTAATATCTTACGAAATGCCACCTCTCTAGACCTTACATATGTTTAGGAAAGGTTGTTATGTCCCTCCAACACAAAGGGAGGATCCTCAGACCAGGGCCCCAATTCTGCTATTTTATGTTAACGCCAAGCCACTGTCATAACATTGACACGCTATTGAGATGCAATTGACATCGGTCAAAATATCAGTATTCAACGGGAACACCCAAATACTCCAAAATATTTTATTCCGAATTTCGATGTTCCGATTTTCAAAAGGCCGAATTTCATAATACCTAAGAATTATGTCTATTATTAAAATTCACAAAATTTATTAGCTGCTAAAATTAAGATTCTGGTTCAGTTAATATAATATTCGGTTACGCATTTATATTCAAAATCTATAAGTAACGTTTAATGTAATTTAAAAACGTCTGCTTTGTCATTAATATATATATATTTGTCATTAATATATATATTTTTTTCAGTGTTTTCTTTTTCTCCTTGTAGTGTCGGGTACCATCTACTGTTATTGAATTCTTTGGGTTAGTTTAGGTTAGAACTCTGACCATTAAAGCGCGAAGGCGAACGAGCGTGCCGTAACAGCACAATTTCTAAAAAAGTCTTGTTTTGTAGATAGAATGAAATAATCGACACTGCAAGAAGTCACTAAAGCTATCGCCGCTCATGAATACTTGCGAATCGAGCGACACAAAATAAACTTTGACTGAAAAGTAAAAGCAACGAAAAAATTGCTTAACACCGGTTTTTTGGGAGGCCGTAACGTCATTTCGGTCGAGCCTGTCCATATGTGCTGAAGCAAGTTAGTTTTGCACTATCTTCAATATTTAAGCTTTAATAATATTTTGTAAATAATATGTAATAAGATAGATGGATCTTGTCATTATTTTATTTAAATATCAATCTACACACCAACAATGAATTTATCTGTTTTATACATTTCATATGCAAATTCCTCATCATGTGTCGGATCAAATTCTAATCCTGAAAAAAAAAATATCAACTGTAAGTACACTTAAACTTCGAACACTACCTATTTAATAGTGAATTAGAAATAAAATTTAATATAAAAAAAGTTCGTCCTTACCAACATATTCAATCTCTAGATTAAATCGCCCATTAATTTTGTCTCCACACGCTATCCCAAAATGTGTTACTTTATCAAACCTTACTCTGTTTTGTTTGTCTTGTAGACGACCTTTTGAGCCAAGCACGAATTTTGAAAGTGGTATCTAAAAAAATAGAATGAGTACCTGAGTAAGATTTTACTAACAGGCGAAAAAAACGACTGACTGTACACTGCGTAGATGGCGTAGTGGATTGAGCGGTCACCTCGCCGCTTCCTACTGCGCTCAGTGTTGTGGGTTCGATCCCTACACGGGCAGACACGTTGTGTGATCCATAATTTGTTACTCTGAGTCTGGGTGTTCTTTGTGTCCATTTCATGTGTGTTTGTAAAGTACCCTGCGACACAGGATATGTTCCTAGTGATGGAGTTGCCTTTTCAAAAAAAAAAAAATACGGTGGAGGATTTCAATCCAATTTCCAATTCCATTTCAATCAAATTTCCTTCCGTATTTATACTTTGCTACTATTTTTAGTTTCACACAAGGTAATTTATAAGAGACCGTATATTATCAAATATAGTAATATACATTGGGTATAAATTTTATGTTTCTATTTAATACTATATTATAACGACTTTGACTGCACGGATGGCGTAGTGGTTTAAGCGGTCGCCACGCCGCTTCCTACTGCGCCGAGTGTTGTGGGTTCAAACACACATTTGTTTTTCTAAGTCTGGGTGTTCTTTGTGTCCGTTTCATGTATGTTTGTAAAGTCCCCCGCGACACAGGATATATTCCTAATGCGGGAGTTGTTGTTGTTGTTTAAAATTATTATTTTTTTACGTATGGAAACCCCCTAGGGCCGTCACCCCACCGGGGTGTGCAGCGGGGTGGTGTGTCGGAATCGGACCGACTAAAACCACACGGTGTGCCACTCTGCGCCTGTAATAGGAGGGATCCGGGAACTGCTGTTATTAAGACATCCGGACCCCTCCTAGCGCCTGCGCAATTGTGCGGGCACCTCCTTCGGGTACATTCTCTATTTAGGTGACGTCCGGCACACGCGGACGTCACCTCCTCGCGGCTGGCCATTATGGCGGGTGGAGGGGAAAACCCGTCCCGTACACACGCAGCCACACTCAGGGCGGCATGAGGCGCTGGTAAGCGCGCCTCCGCCGCCCAACGAATTAGGTCCGAGTGGAGGTCATCCTCCCGGAGGGAAAGGGTCCCATGCTGCCGCCGTGCCCATTCGACGATAACCGGCTGGAGCGCTTCCACGGCGGCAAAGACAGCACGTGGAACCTCCAGCCGGGACGACCAACCATCGACGAGAACGACCGAGTCATCGTGGCTCGGCGAGCGGCCTCACGCCACTCGCGTATCTCTTCGGGCGGGGGCCGACTGCCACTACCCGCCCGGAAATCAGCCGTCCGCCGATACACTTCGGCGAGCACTTCCGCCTCCAATTCCCACGGGGAGTTCCGACCAACGCACAAGCCACCTCCGTCGAAACGGTGCGGTAACCGCGTATGGCTCTAACCGCCAATATCCTCTGAGGGCGCCAGAGGATATTGGCGCCACCGCCCATACCGTTGCACCGTACAGTGCCATTGACCGTACAATCCCCGTGTACAATCGTCTTGTCGCGACGCTGGGTCCACCCAAATTGGGTAAAAGTCGCCCTAGGGCAAACGCAGCGCCGACCAGCTTTGGAGCAAGCTGTCGGAAGTGCTCGTCGAAGAGCCACCTCCCGTCGAGGATCAGACCCAGATACTTCATCTGGGCTCGAACCGGTACGAGGACCGAGTTGACCACGATTGAGGCGCCAGGGGTTGGACCACGACGGGGCCCATGGAATAATAGGGCCTCCGTCTTATCCAAGGCCACCCGCAAGCTCAGCGCCTCAACGCGCCTCAGGTACTCTGGGACCCCATGATAGTGGAGGGCTTCCCTGATGCAGCTGATTGGCAGACTATTAAATGCGTTGGCGATGTCCAATGACACCACCAACAGCACACCGCCACAGCTCACCGCCTCTTCGGTAATGGCCCTCAGGCGCAAGCACAGCGCCGACCATCGAACGCCCCGCTCGAAAAGCGAATTGGGCGTCCGACAGATCGGGGCCCACCTCGCAAAGATGCCGGACGAGGCGGGTAAATTGTCTGAGAGAGTTCTCTCTGCCCGCATGAGTTCTCTCCGCGCGATGGGCCTGTAGGCCGCGACCGAATCGGCAGGCCGTCCCGGCTTCCTCAACAGGACCAGCTTCCTGCTCTTTGAGTACTCAGGGAAACGTCCGGACACCAAACTAGCGTCGAACACCTCCCTGAGGCGGTCTGCCATGTGGTTGAGGGCTAGGGCCAGCACTCGGGCCGGTATACCGTCTGGCCCAGGGGCGGTCTTCTTAGAATGAATCCGTAGAACAGCCGCCCCTACCTCCGAATCCCGGACAGGCGGAACATCATCCCCGCTCTCCCTGTCTTTTCTGGCCAAGGAGGCCATTGACGGGGCTGTGTGATCCGCCCGTTGCGGGAATAGGCCCTCTACCACTTCCTGCAGGAAGCTGGGCTGGAGAGTCTCCGTAAGCCTGACGCGCGCAGCTTTTGTCGCACCGCGCGATGAGGACGACCCCAGGGGTCACGATCGAGAGCCTCCAGCATCTCCTTTCTTTTCGCTTCTTTGGGGCGGCTAATGGCCAGCTTCAGAGTTTTCCGCGCTTCTCGGTACTCCTCATGAAGCCGGTTCTCCTCACCGTCTCCGCGGTGGCGCCTCCGACTGCGGGTGTAGGACCTCCGGGCACGTGTACAGGCCGCACGGAGGTCTGCCAACTAAACTTGAAATAAACCCTATGCCAACCCATCTGGCCAGCGTGATATAATGCACAAAAACTTCCTTTCCAAGGGGAGGCCTATGTGCAGCAGTGGACTTTTAAAGGCTGTTGATGATGATGATTCTAAAAGTTTTGCATATTTAGTCGTTGTTTGATAATTATAACTTTCCAGTAGTAGAACCAGTACCTATATAGAATTTTTTTTTAATTGAGTCGCTTAATCAAAAATCTGTCTGGTGGTACTGAGAAAATACTGTTATGAGGTGCAAAATATTGTATTCATCCGGATATCGAATACTTTTAAATTAATGTTAACGATTTGTAACGTACCGTTCTTTAAAAATGAGCTTTAGCTACTCTCTAGTTGTTTCTAAGTCAGTAAGATTATCTGCAAAAAGTCAAAGAGACCTTTTCGCGGTAATTTAAAGCATAATCGGTTTTTTTAGATCATTAACTATTTTGCCAGCCAACCTTTGCAATCTGCCAGTATGGTCCACCTCTAGTATAGAGAACATAATGATAAATGTCATTCCACGTGATATCATAGTACCCCTCACATGATATATTTAGCAGATAGGATCTGCCATCACCTCGTATTTTAAGAACTAACGTGTTGTAGAGGTGCCAATCGTAGGTCGTTTCGCGTTTAAATGATTTCTGCAAAAAGAACAAATGTTGCATTAAGTACATGTGCTTGTTTTTCTCCTTAGAGACGGATTGCGCGCCTTATCTAGGAGCGAGGGGGGAGGGGGGTTGTTGGTTGCAGGTTAAATCACTTACTAATTAATATAAATATAATATGACAATCTTAATTTAGAAAATTTAGGTGGAGACACCTAAATTTAAAGGAGGTGGAGGTCCGCGTGGTGACGGATTAAGAATACAGAGTATCACCACCCCTATACATCCCGTGGGTGTCGTAAGAGCCGACTAAGGAAAAAAACTACGAAGAACAACAGCACTGCAGAGAGAAGGAAAACTTGATACAAACCCAACACCAACCCGTCTAGCCAGCGTGGTATAGTAGGCCAAAACCTCCTTTCTAAGGAGAGGTTTATGTCCAGCAGTGGACTGTTAAATGCTGTTGATGTGATACGGTGTGGTGGAGACTTCACTGCCCATTACCCGCTCTGTTTTAAGTGGTTCATTTTGACATTCCATTTCTGATTCTTAAGATTACAGAACTCAAAGGTGAGCAGTACTATCTTAAACCGGCAAAACCAAAAAAAGTCGCTCAAAAAACAAACCGGCCACAATGGCGCTATGTAGGCAAAAATTATGATTTGCTTTAACACTTGTCAGTTAGGCTTAGAACGCACTATAGTTAAACCGCCGTAAGCTTGGCCCTCCTGATGGTTTGGGGGACGCGGGGCGAGGGTGCATTCAACCAATTAGCTAGTGCGTCGCTGTCCGCCGGCAGTGACTGACGTGAAAGCATGGCTGGACGTGTTATTTTTCTTAAGACTGCTACACACGGTATTATTTTGCAACATGGATAATCTGCCGACTCTGCGTCACAAAAAGATTTAAAAACTTGAAGTTCGGCTTACAGAGGTTCTACTGTTAAAGTTCTAATAAAGAATATTTATTATTTTCCTTAATTTTTAAATTGTATCTGAATATAATTTACATGATGAAGATAAGGTGATTTTATAAAAAATATTTTACAGTATTAAATTTTACAATTAATCGTAAAAACTTACAATACACTGACATTATAATACATGGAAATAAATTCAATTGTTATTACATCGTGTGGAGATTAAATCTCAAACAAATAAATCTGAAGATATCGAGTTAGTACATCGTGTCATGTATAGCCGAGCGCATCACCCGCCCCGCGTCCCGCAAACCATCAGGAGGGCCAAGCTTACGGCGGTTTAACTATAGCGGTTAGTCAAAATGCGGCGTGCGGTGCACCGCAATTATGCGTTCGTAGTTACACTATAGTTAACAACATTCTAGAATATTAGAGAGATATTCAAACAAATGTACTTTTTAACTTACCCTTATCCTTTTGGATCGCATGGAACAATATCCAGCCTTTTTGATGCGCCCATCTTTAGGCACCCGCACATCAAGATAGCCATGAAAAAGAGCTCTGCCAGCACTGCTCATTTCAAGACTACATTTACTGAAACCCTCATTGTGGTCACTATCACTTGTAGTCACAAACTTTTCTAAAACACTCGGTTCATTGAAGCACCATAACATGTCTGTTTCACCTGAAAGTATTAAAATTTTACATGAATTTAGATGTTTGTTAGGCGAACTGACTGCTGTTCTGATTCTGCTGTTTTGAAAAAAGGTAGGTATTTTGATATATATCTTATAGAATGATCACCCCGTCGTAGTCGTCCCGTGGGTGTCGTAAGAGCCGACTAAGGGAGCAAACTACGCAGGGCAACAGCACTGTAAAGAGAAGGTAAACTTGAAACAAACATTATACAAACCTGTCTGGCAAGCATAGTGTAGTAGACCAATACCTCCTTTTAAGCAGAGGCATGTACAGCAGCAGACTATCAAAGACTGTTGACGTGACGATGCGACCTACTATAATGGTTTCTGATTATGAGTGGGTTTGAAAGAAAAATAAAGTATTTTTAAAGATTTTATTACATATCTAAATACATAACACAAGATAGGATAGAAAAATAATCGCTTATGACAATCCAGAACACTTTTATAGTTCAAAACATTATTATCTGTATGAACTAATATTTATTATAAGTCTGCATTGACATATTGCTTTCCATTGTGTTTAATAATATTAGCCAATTGTTTTTCTCTAAAAAAATACCCATCACACTTAATAAAACTGACTATTGACATGTTTCAAAAATTAGATTAATGACAGTAGAGATCTAATAGTTCACTGTCGTTTTCTATAAACTGCAATAAGATCTCACATAGGTACATTATGGCGAACATTGGGAGAAAACAGAAACAAAACTCAGACATGTGCACAGTCTATGAATAACTATACTCCATAACACAATCCACATTTTTTAAAAAGGTAAACAAAACCTTTTGTTCCAAAATTGTTATAGGCTTAGGTATTTTGTTGCACATGTTGACTTATAAATATGCTTGGAAAATTCAGTTGATCATTTCTATCAAATTAATAATCAAATTTCCATATTTTACTATTTTATTTAAAGTTGTCATGTGCTATTTGTTACCTAGTTGTAATAAATATAATATTAATATGAATAATACTATAAAGAAACACAAAAGTATCTTAATTATCATTGAATAAACAATGTATTACAGAAGTACAGCAATGTGTTATAATGAGAAACTTAAGATTTAGAGGCTATTAAATTTTATTAGTCTTAAACTTGAATTGCTAGTCAATAAGGCAATAAAATATTATATCCATATAACATATCAAACATAGATTCCAATAATGTAAATAATATACCTACATAATGTTGAATCTGTCCATATAATGTTACAAATCTGTAGAGAAAAATGTTTCAATTTGTACATATACTGATTAAAATGTCATAAAAAATTAAAAACTAAATACAATACAATGATCCAAACATAACCAATAATTTAACTATTATAATTGAGATTCATCACAGTGAGAAGTCAGCTTAGTATAGCAGCCAGAATGCTTGCAAAGGACAATAAAATAAAGAAAGCACCAAGATAAAAAATCCAAAGTTTTACAACTTTTAATGTACTTCACTAATTAGCTGGTCATACAACCTCATTAGTTCTTCATTGTCTCTTGTTTTCTGGACCAATGATTCCTGCAATGATGCTATTGTAATCTCATGTTTCTTTACAGTAGCATTTAGCTTAGTTGTTTCAATACTATAATTCTTCTTGAGGTTATCTAAAGTTTCATTAGCTTTAGTTAGTGCATCCGAAGTGACCTGCTTAAGATTGCCATATAGGTCCTCATATTTCTTCACAGCAGTCTGGTACTCTAACATTTTCTGCTCATAAACTTTTTCTCTCTCTTTTGTTTCTAATATCACAGTTTTACATTTTTCATACTTGGCAAGAAGATCATTGAATGAACTCTCCATATTTCCGAGATGATTCAAAGCTTCATCTCTTTCAGCTGTGACTTTCTCTATGAGTTCCTGGTTTAAAATTTTCTCTCTTTGTTGCTCTTCAATTAAAGATGAGATAGTTTTCTCATACTCCTCCATAACAATACTCATTTGTTTGTTGCTTAAAATTTTGTCACGTATTTGTTCTAGTAGTTTATGCTCCTTCTGAAGGGAATTATCTTTTTCATCTGTCAATTTCTTCACTTTAGATTCCAAGTCTTCAACAACTCTGGAATATTTGTGTTCCATGTCCTGCAGTGAACTCTTTAGTTCTCTGTTTTCTTGTCTCAACTGTAGCACCTCTCTATCTTGTTTCTGAAGGATGACTTTAAGTGAATGTAAATGGTCAGTTTCATGAAAAGTATAATTGTGATGATGACTGTGGTTATGGTAGCGTGGGCTTCTGGGTGCGGCGGTAGGAGGAGTAGTACCTGATATACTAATAAGTCTCTCTGTTGCCACTCGAGTGGGAGTCAAGATGGCAGACACACTTCTCACTAGAGCAGGGGTTGACCTTATTTGATTTATATTGGACTTGGGAATCTCACTGTTTACTACAGGTGGAACTACTTGCATGGGTTTATCTTTTGCACTGAATAAAGGAATTGAACCAGTTGATACAGAGTGTTTCGGTAGTGCAACATGATTGTCAGTAAAAACTGACACTGTACTTCCAGTTTCATAGCCGACATCACACTCAGACGAATCAACTATGGAATCACTTTGAACAGAGAGTGCATCCTCAAGCTTTTGTCTGGCATACAAAGGATCGAATTTCACAAATAAACTCTCCTTGCCGCGATCTATATGGCTATGATATCTGTTCGATTCTGCACATTTGACAAGATAATCCAAGCTATTTGCGTCGATAAACATGTCGTCTGTCGTGGGCTCTTTCATTGTTATATCACAAACACTATCAAAATCAGACCCCGTCAGAAGATCGCTGGTTTCATGTCTTTGTTCGGAGCAGTCATTTAATCGTTTTGGTGACATTGCCATCAAATCATCAACCGAAGAAACTGGTGTTATAAAACTGTCGTCAGATGCTACTGTGCTTGCTCTAGCAGACAACATGTCGTCATTTATTTTATCACTGTTATCGTCTATTCCGCGTCCCAACAAATTTTGAAACTTTCTGTAGATGTTTTTAATGCCGTTATCAGGCGATACAAGAGAATCGCTCAATATAATATTTGAAAACATTCGCTCTTTGTTATTCAGGACTGGATACACGAGATAATATTAGGACACTGGGTCGAAAGACAGAAAACTTTATTCTCGACTTAGCAAAATTAATCTTGTATAACAGCAAAAAAGGCAAAATAGAACCACTAAATTATTTTTGGCTCGAGAGTGGACTTCAAGCAACGGTTGGTTTTAAATAATTGTCATTTTAACTTTTGTTGCCATCTTATTACATGTGTACTGAGTTAACCAGTGTTGTCAGCTCCGTATGCCGAATCGGAGATGTTAACCTTGAAAGTAACGAATTAATTAAATACATAGTTTAATATTTGGGACTTTGATTTAAGCAATGAATAACAATAATCTTGTAAATTATTACAAAATTATTGTTATTCATTGCTTACTTTTAAGTAGGAAAGGCATATTGCTTATAAGATATCTTATGGAATGTCCATCCATTGCGAGCTATTGCATTATATCGAGAGCTTTTGCTAAAATGGCTGAAAAGTTAGTTTCCTTGAGTGAATGTATTTTTATGATGAACCATCAATAACCATTATTTATTACTTATTTAATCCTGTGTGTCTAGTGAATTCGATTCGCACTTATGAGCACGACAGCTTTTGCTGTGTATGGTTGTAATTTATCTATAACTGGTTCACAAAGGAAGGAGTTCTAAGGTTACAAAACAAAAATAATTGCAAAACACAATGTTTAATTTGCGAAATATATATACCCGTGGTCCGTGTGGTGACGGATTAAGAATACAGTCACCACCCATATCCACCCCATGGGTATCGTAAGAGCGGACTAAGGGAAAAAACTAAGCAGAACAACAGCACTGGAGAGAGAAGGAAAACTTGACACAAATCCTATACCAACCCATCTGGCCAGCGTGGTATAGTATAGGCCGATACCTCCTTTCTAAGGAGAGGCTTATATCCAGACGTGGACTGTTAAAGGCTGTTGATATGTGATGTGATGATATACCCAGACAGCTACATGTATATTTCTAAATACGTATTAGGAAATTCTTTTATTATTTATAAAAAGTATAAATACTTAGTTTTTGGTCCCAATTTAGGACATCTGACACACAACGCCTTCTAGTTTCAAACTAAGTATAGCCGGTAATATGAAAGTTCTTTTGACTGATAGAATTGGATAGAACACAATTGACGATACCGTTTCTGTAAATACACACATTAATCATACACGGAAAACCTTTAATTTTTCTTCTTAATTTTAGTGTAAAAGGTTTAGTAGTTTAATACAATAAAAAAACGAGTGTGCTTTAGACCACACGAAAGAAGTAAAACTTCTTGGCTATGAGAGAAAAAGAGAAAGCAAAAGGTGTGCTCGCACCCCTCTCTCTTGCCCCTACAGTAATATACGAAACGTAACTCTCTCTTTTTATCTTCACTAACTTATATCTCCCTCTCAGCTTCCGTTCGCCTCGCCCGATCACACTTTTCGTAACGCTCTCGTCACGCATTCACCAGCTTTCTACACGAGTCAAGCGTGCGTAAAGAAGTTTTACTTCAATAAAAAAAAATCTATAACAATAATAGTAATATTTTGGTTACATGTTTCTAAACTGTGTTATATTTTGTGTATGCTGTATTTACCTGTAATTATTTTCATCACTGGTTTATGGTCTGTGTTGTATGTGTGTTGTCAGACTAAATTCTAAATCAAATAATAAATTAAAACAACTAAAACTCCGAAATAAATATTTGCAGATCATACAAACATTTGGTAATACACCTTGGTGGTCAGTTTATTATTATTATTTTTCTATAATGCATTAGTAAATCAGTGACCTGGTGCAATCTAAAATAATAATAATTTTACACATAAAGTATCGAAATGTCTCCAAATGGACCAATTTCAGTATTGCCAAAAGTTTAATTTGTCTAACTTTAGATATTAAACATTGAGATCCTGTAACTGTTTTAAATTTTTAGTACAACTACAGCAATAATCTTTAAAATTTCAACACAACTTCATCACTAGGAATATATCCTGTGATGGAGGGACTTTACAAGCATTCACTCAAACAGGCACAAAGAACACCTAGACTCAGAACAACAATTTGTGGATCACACAAAGTGTAGTCCCATGTGGGCATTGAACACACTTGAATTTAATTGAAATCAGCGCAGTAAGAAGTGGTGAGGCTAAACGATCATGCCAACCATGCAGTCTATTAACATTAGGAATTTATAATACATTAGTGATCCACCCCCACTTCGTACGGGTGCAATGTAGATACTACTAATGAGGGGTCAGTGGGGAGTAATTAATAATACTATTATTATGATAGGACTAGACTACAGAACATCTTTATTATGCAATATTTAGACCCCGCTCATGCCAGCCGTTGCCACCTGAGACGGCAGTATGGCCGGACGCGACGACTCGGAGATGGCCACTTTGCCCCTGTATTTTACACCTCTAATATTTTCTAAAATATTCATTTTAACGATATCCTATACCGAGCAATTTTAATCTACATTGAATGCACAGCATATCTAATTTCATTTTATTTATTTTTGTGATACATAAGTGGTTACAGATGACACTCTGATACTTGCTGGGGGGATGGCTTCCAGGAGGTCCTGGCGCTCGCCGTGCTAGGGGTGGCTTGTGTCGTCCGAAAGATCAGCGGTTTGGGTCTAAGGGTTGCACCTCATAAAACGGAAGCCTGGTGGTTCCAGAGGAAACGCAGAGGTGCAGTTCCTACCCGCTCGCTTATTAAAGTGGGGGGAACTGAGGTCGAGGTCGGCTGGCACATTAAATAACTCGGCCTCACCCTAGACAGCCGCTGGAGCTTCGAGGAGCATTTCGAGCGGATGATCCCCCGAGTTCGCAGGGGTGGCGGGCACCCTACAGAGACTGTTGCCTAATCTAGGGGGTCCGCGGGACACCAGGCACTTCCTTTCTAGGGTATACCTGGTTCCCCGGCTATTAGTACCCGAGACGGCGTGCGGTTTTAGTCGGTTCGAGTCCGACATGCCACCGATAGGTGGTATCCGAGGGGATTTCCGCACGGAAAAAAAAAGAAAGGGGGTCCGCGGGAGGAAGTTCACTGCCTCTACTGTGCGTAGATATGGGACAAGCGCCTATCGGCCTCCTCCGCTGACAAGCTAAACTCAATAAAGTGCAGCGGGTAGCGGCCATTCAGGTCGTACGGGGATACCGCACCATTTCGTCGGAGGCGGCAACAGTCCTGGGCCTCAATTCTGCTATTTTATGTTTACGCCAAGCCAGTGTTATACCACTGACACGCTATTGAGATGCCATCGAGTAGCCATTGGCATCGGTATAAATATCGGTAGTTGAAAATATATAACGTTTTTTGAGGAAATGATTTATTTGTTTTTATTATAATAAATTATTAAAAGAAATAAATAAATTAACGACATTAATGACACTGGCTTGGCGTAATAGCAGAATTGAGGCCCAGGTACGTTTCCCGCCTTTTGATATCCGCATTTGATATCCTAGCGGATGCGAGGGTCTATGACCGGACTCGCACGATCCGCGGGGGTGAAAGCGGGGAGAACCAGGACGAGCTCGAAATGCGGCGGAACGCTCACCGATAGGTACTGGTGTAGTGGCGCGCGCGGCTGGAGCAACCGCGGAATTCACGCCAACGCGCTATCGGCGCCGTTCTGCCTAGCCTCGAAGCTTGGGTAAGTAGGGAGGGAGGCCACGTCACCTAAAGACTGACGCAGGTACTTACTGGGCATGTCTGCTTCGGTGAGCACCTGAATCGGACGTATCGGAGTACCTGGACGCGAAGAGACAGCACAATGCCAGCACTGCGCAGACGACTGGGACTCCGCCCAGCACACGCTGGAAGACCGCCCCGCGTGGGCATCGGAACACGAAGACCTGGTCGACCAAATCGGACGAGACCGGACCCCGCCAACAATTATTGCTGCCATGCTGGCGGGTGAGGAGGGCTGGGCCGCAGTGGTCTCTTTCTGTGAAGCTGAACGAAATCGGGAGAGGGCCGATCCTGAGCGTAGAGGACGTCGGCGAGGATACCAGCCGTTGACGGGGCCGCAGGCTGCCAGAGGTAGGGGACCTCTGGTGGCACTTTAACTGCTGCGGTAGGCGATAGGATGGCGGTTTGGTCGCAAAAATTGGATTTTCCACCCCGTCAACAACAAAAAAGGGAGTTACAGATGTCAATTTTTGTATGTACAAGCTATGTCCCGCCGAAAGGCATACAAAATATTACGTACATTCTTTAAACATTATACCAAAATAAATGTCAAAACGAAATCGTTAGATCCCTTTCAAAAGATAAAAATTTATCAGAGCTCGACTCACAGCTCCACTTCCACAAGAAATTCATGATGGGTACGCAGTCCAGTAGAGTTGGATTGGGAAATGCTAGAAGACACACTGACAAAGAGATAACAAAATCTTTATAATATAAATACGAGACGATAAGATTAAAAAAACCGGTCAGGTACGAGTCGTACTCGTGCGCTGAGGGATCCGTACCTACCCAGATTTTACGTAGATTTGCGCGAAAATTTGTAATTACCAAAATTTATCTGAATTTTCAACTTTTTTTATTTTTTGGAATTATATCTTTATTTGTGCTGTGAGACGTTTCTTTTTGCAAAATTTTGTGATTCTAGGTCAATAGATTTTCGACCCGAAACCTATAGGATACTTCCGGTTGACCTAGAATTGTCAATTTTGGTTAAAAGCAAGGTCTTACAGCACAAGTAAAGATGAAATTCTAAAAATTAAAAAAGTTGAAAATTCAGGTAACTTTTGGTACTTACAAGTTTTCGCGAAAATCGAAACTGATTGACTCAGCACCTTGATTTTTATACAGCTTATAGGGACCATAGACCTTAGTATCTGGTATAAATGGGCCCAGCACCCGTACGGTGAATACTATGTAAACATATAACATTATCAAAAAAATGAAGTGAGAAAGTGACTATCAATTAAAGTTTTATTACCATTACAAAATGACTTTAATATGAGTTATAGGTATAACTTATCTCTTCTATTACCTTCTAAACTATTGATTTCCTGTCAACTAACTTTAATAATGAAGCAAATTGTTCATTTGAAAAGGAAAGATGAGTGCATTATCTATAAAACTACCAATTGACAAACCTAATCCTGATTAAGTTGTATTCTTTGTAGAATATCTTCTTCAAATTTGAATAGAACCAACCTCAAGAAAAACAAATTCATAAAGATTAAAGAATTAGAAAGAGTATACTTGCTTCAAAACAGGAAAATTAAGACCCTATTTCTTTCTGAAATTTATGGATTTTCTATGTACCGTTAGAGTATTCCACTCACTTACTTATTGTCTAGAATAACCTTAATTAATGTGTGTTTGAGTTTTTTAAAGCTGGACTTTAGCAGTAATTTTTTAGTATTATTAAAATTATAACATACATAGCTTTTAACAATGAGGATAATAGAGTAAGTAAGATCTTACCTGGCCTCGCAATGAGAAGTGGGTCTGTTTCAATTAACTCTATCACCTCCTGTTTAAATAACTTTAATTCATTCTTGAATTCTTTAAAACCCTGTTTCATGTGTTCCCAATTAGACACTTTCTCTCCTGTGTCGTAACCACCTTTTCTGTACCTTTCAAAAAAGAGCCATCGTTGTGAAGTTATTAAATATTGATTAGAATATTTAAAATAATTAGTTTTTCTAGCACTTTTACACAAAGTTGTGAATGTGCGATTAGTGCCAAGTAAATTAATAAATGTGTTAATTTTGCACAGAGCCATTATATACTGTATTATGAGAAATAATTATTCAGCTTCACTTTAGAAATAATATTATTTACGAAATAAACAAATCCAGCAACATACATGACATTACATAATGAAACATATCATATGTTTGACAAGAATGAATGACATTTGACAAGACCGCAGATTGACATGTAATTGTTGCCCGTGTTCAGAACCAATAAGCAAATTCTAGAACGGAATTAAGTAGACATGGGACCAAATCACAGCGAACTGTGATTTATCATTTGATTTTTGAGTACATAGGTTAGGGTTGCTGGGTAAGTAGGTTAGACGCTATTTAACAGTATATGTAGTATATTTTAAATGATTATCTAGGGAATGGCAGCTATTTATGATAATGTAATTACTAGATTTACTGTCAAATATTCAAAATAGGGTCAGCTTATTGACAACAACGCGTGAGTAAGTAGTAACCCTAACGAAAAAATCAAATGATAAATCACCGGTCTTTCGCAGTTCACTGTGATTTTGTCCCATGCCTAAACGGAATACACTCTTAAATTTCTTCATGAATACAATCACTTGTTTTAAGTAGTGATCATCACGTGCTTTCACATACACAGGATTTAGGGTTGGGCAAATCGGGGCACTCGCCCCGAGCGGCAGTGTAAGGGGGTGCCAAAATCATGATATAGTATGATTAAAAATAAAAAAAATTGCTCCACAAAGCGTAGCCGCACCCCTCCACGAAGCGTAAGCGTGGCATACGGAGACTGGTTGGCATACACTATTAGTGAACTTCTATATTTGAGAGTTTTTTTAAGCCCCTAATTTATTTCAAACGCTGGAGAGAGGGGAGTCACTATCAAGTTTCTTTACAAGAGGGGAGTCACTTTCAAGTTTCTTTACAAGAGGGGAGTCTTTTTACTGAATTATTTTGTACACAACGCTAATCGACTTGTCTTGCTAAATCGACCATAAAATAAATTTGCAAAAAATTGTAGTCACTGCAATTATATTTTTTGCAATTTTCTTAATTTTTTAAATGTGAGAACCTTCTACAACGTATTAGAAAACGTTATAGAAAAAGATGATTGAAATCGGTAAAGCCGTTCTTAAGTTTTAGCATGATCAGGAGAATAGGGGTTCATTGTTCTTTATATAGATAGGTTATTGTTCATTTTTATCAAGTTTTTTTTTTCAAATAATTAAGAATTTCTTCGATAATTCAAAATTTCATTTAAAAGAACACACAAAATAAAAGATTTATTATTATTTTTTATATTCATATAACGTTATTGTGAGCGTACCAACTTTTTTTTCATATGGGTACCAACTTTTAGAGCCTTTTAGCGACATCTGTACCAGCTTTGGCTCACCACAATCCAACATCCCTGGTAAGTGGTAGTTGCCTCGTTTGATTTTTTGTTGGCCTTGTCCGGCAGGCTATTATAAAGATTAGTTCTGACGTGTTTGTTGTCAAATAGTTTGACTTTCACTATTTCAAATTCCTCTGATATTCGTGGACGTGTTTTAATCTCGTGGCATGGTGATCGTAACGTGGTGCTTATTTTTTAATTTACAATTATGTGCCAATAGAGACGTTTAATCTTGAAAATAGTGACAGCGGAAACACAAATAAAATGGGAATGGAAAAACTCAATAATATGGTAAGATTTATAAAGCAGACTATTATAGTTTTTAAACATACTTAAGTTATTGATTTAGGTATGTCCTAAGCAAATTAAAACTTTTTTATTCCTGCAGAAATAAATAAATGCGGCAAGTTGCAAACTTTTTAAAATATTGTAAAGCTGCTCGTATTACAATATTTAAGTTATACTAATGATACTTCAATATAAATTTCGTCACTGTGCCACTTAGTATTTAAAATAGTATCAGTGAAGTAGATAATATTCAGTACACACCAAGAAAAAAAAGAAAAGTTTAATCTGACTGCAGCATATAAACAAAAAAAATAAAATCATAAGTATGTTTAAAGCGAAGAAACAAAAGTTCATTGAAGAAAATAAAGAAAATCGCCTCCTACCGACATACCTTCTTTTCAGTTGGTTTTGTGGCTTTCATTCTCAAATAAAGCTTTTAGTGTAATTTTCATAAAATTATTAATATCAAGAAAATTACACGCAAATGCAAATTATACGACATTAATAATTATATCAGATTTATTGATAACTGATGGCTGATGATAAGATTTACTATTGTTATTGATGAATCTTATCCATTGAAATAATGTAGTTACTGATTAACATTAACTGTGCTGTGCATATCAGCATATTGTTTCTCTAATATTCTTATTTATATCTCTTGCTAATCTTAATTGATTACTTGAGGAGCTAGAAGCCAGTTATTTTAATGAAGCTGAAAAAAAGTTATATGTAGTAGGAGAAAGCGGGTGAGATGTTTGAGATGTCTTTACATTGTCCAAGAGCAGTATGAGTTAACACCATATTTGTTAGATACCTAATTTTGAAGAGGTTCTGTGTTGTACCAAAACCTATAAGGTAGTGAGCCAAGGCATGTCAGCAAGGCATGGCAAGGAAGTGGTGTCATTAATGCATGTGTGTGTGTGCATCAGGAATCTGCTCTACTATTAGGGACACTGGCCCCACACAGTCGTCAGTCAATGTCGTGTGGTGTATCACAGGGTCTCTTCTTTTTTATGAGACTAATCCCTCCCACACACCCCCTGCTATGACCCCTGTACTCCAGGATCAATAGCAGTGTCCTACCAAGATACCGAGTTATGATACTCAGGAAGTCCCAGGAAAAGTAAACTGCCTTGGAACCCGCAACAATGTTAATCAGAAGTAAATTGGAGGAGTTGAAAATATAATAAATCTACTTCGATTGTCAAGTATAAAAATGCGGGAGAGTGGACTTGGAATATTCCTGTGGAATATGGGATACTGAGGCCTTCGAGGTGATTTTCACCAAAGACTAGACGTAATCTGTATGCGAAGTACACTTTTAATGGCTCTGGGGCGAACTTTAGAGTGTCACCAAGCTTAACCACCAGGGATATCAGGCATGTGCAAGTTGATTATGGGTGACCCTTATTTTCTTTCTTTTTTTTTCTATCCCCTCGGATACTAACCGCCGGTGTCTATGTCGGACTCGTGCCGACTAAAAATCGCACTCCGTCTCGGGTAACTGTAGCCAGGGAACCAGGTGTAACCTAGAAAGGAAAACTCTGGTGCCCCGACGTACGTGGGGCCATCTACAGCGGGTAGATGACCTCCTCCTGTGTGGGAACCCCCATGTTCCCTTTGTGCTCCTGAAAGGGAGCGCGAGCTCTGGAGCGCATCTCGCCGCCACCCCAGCCTACTTCTGCTAGGGTGACAACTGTCAACTGTCACCCTAGCAGAAGCAGGCAGGTCAGGCCTTATGGAGGACGGAGGTCGTTCTGCAACCTCCGGCGCCTGAGTCGTCTGCGGTACCTGGGCCGTGTCCGGGCCTGGCGGGTCGGGAGAGTTCTAAACCTCTCCCGGTCCCGCTCCGCCATCTCGCAGATGCTCTTGCTCGCAGAAGGAGACGGCTGAGTTCCACGCACTCTCGCTCTGCACCATGGCCGCAATCATGTTACCGAGCGCGAGAACTCCCACCCCGATGGCCTCCACGCCACGGCCACGCCTCTGCTCCACCCATGCCGGGCATTCTGCCAGCGTGTGGAGCGCCGTGTCCACGGTTCGGCTGTCGCAGTGGTGGCACTCAGGCGTTAGCTCCTTGTAGATCGGTACAGGTGATCCCCGAAATATCCTTTCCCAGTGATCACCTGCGTCAGCCGGTATGAGAGGGTCCCGTGATGCATCTCGAGCCAATCCTCCATAATGGGTCTTACCGCCGCAATAACGGCGTGCCTGGCGCTCGGTTGCCCAAGTAGTTCCTTCCACTCCTCTACGAGAGGTGGAGTTGGGATTTCTGGTCCTTGATTTCTCGAGTCACAGGACTCCTACCCAACTCCGGCGCCTCCTTGCGCCACTGATAAGACCCGCAAGGGCCCTCGCCTCCAGGTCCCATGGTGGAGTTCTGGCCAGGAGACTCGCAATCACGCACACTTGGCGCAGCCGTGCGATTTCCGGCGACCACCAGTAGACCTGGCGCCTCGAAATATTCAGCTGAACCCTAGGCATCACCGCATCGCTGAACTTATTCGCCGCATAGTTAATTTCCCAGACACTGTGTCTGGGAAGTTAACTAGAGTCTTGGACCCTCCTGGTTAGATTTTTTAATCTCTTTTCCCATGCCATTAGTTTTTTAAGTTTAACGTCCTTCGACGTGACGCCTTGTTCGCCACTGGACTCCCTCCATCGACTCAGCCCCTTGCCAGGCGTCAGAGGTTTACGTCCTCGCGGATCCGAAGAGCCACCGGTCCTGTCCGTTCAGGATTACGGCTGAGCCGGACGGGGTCTGCACCAGACTGGGTCCGGCCGCCCCAGGATTTTTTATTATAGAGGTTGCCTTCCTCGTAGCCGTCGAAGACCCGTCATTCCTGACTGTTGCCAGTCAGGCTTACGACTTGGCCGGACGGTGGTCCGTCCGCCCCCTAGCTTGCTCTCCACTATGCCCTCCGCCAAACAGAGGGCGGATTGCCGAACAACCCATGCCAGCGCCTCAGGGTGCATTACACGGAGGTTCCGGACCCCGCACCCCGGTGTTATGGGTGACCCTGTAAAAGACTTGAAACTTTTATGCTATGGGCCCCATCGTGGTTCACCCTCTGGTTCCTCCATCATTGTCAACTGTGACCTACGTTCAGGCTCAATGGTTTTTACCACAAATTATCGTACATATCTCGTTAATATATCATGTACGTTTTAGCGAACTTTAAAGTAAATGTTTAAAAAAGGCATAATTAATTAATGACTTATAAATTTATTTAGGATGGTAAACCATCGGAGTATCTCTACGAGCCTGAGATACTTAAGCGACTGGATTTCAACAAGAGTCCAGCACAGTTTAAACCCAAGATCAGTGCTGCTAATCCTGGTGAAGACTGGATGGTAGTAAGGCCTTTGCAACGTTCCGACTATGACAAGGGCTTCCTGCAACTCTTGAGTCAACTAACAAGCGTTGGCAATATAACACGCTATCAATTTGACGGTAAGTAACAGTGTTTAGGGTAAGAAAATTTCAGTGTGTAATACCTATTAGGTAGGTAAACTACATTCCTAGATCTCTGAGAAACTCGCAGGTGTGATCTCTGAGATACTCGCAGAAATTTTATCTTCAATTCTTTGTGCATACACAAAGTGCCGTGTAATTTTGCAGTAATTCTAAACAGATGATATAAAATATCGTTAGTCAACAAATTACCTAAGTAACATTGCATTTCACAACTTATTGCAGTAGGAGAACTGTTTTTAAATGAGTGGCTGTAGTAAATGGTTAAGAAGTTACCAAATTATATTATAAAAACTTTGTATATGTAAACAAATTTTATTTACTGAGATGATAATCGCTTAAAGGATTGGTTTAGATGGCCCATCCCTGGATGGTATCAACTTGGTCATATCTTCTCGGCTATTAATTCTACAAGCTTTCTCTCGATTCTCACGACTGGGGCTGGCTCGACATGAAGTTATTACATTTTTGTTAAAAGTATCCACAAACTAACAAGGCTACTATGGCGTTATCGAGTCAAGTTTACCTACTTATGTAAAATTAGAAAACGTGGGAAGTTTTCAAGGATTACTTTAAATTATGAAATATGTTTTTCCGGTCTATTGTAATTTGATTTAATACACATAAGAACTGACAATGAGCAATGCAATATTAAAATTACTCAAGTTTCCCATTCAAACAGCTGTTACTCGCATATATTTGTATTAAATATTATTACATTATGCACCCTAGATAATAATAAGAACCGGACACATCTCACACGGCCGTCTGATCCCAAATTAGGCCAAGCTTGTGCTATGCTGAACCGTGAAAATTGATATAATTAAAGCAATTACTCCTCCTAATTTATTAGGAATAGATCGAAGAATAGCATATGTAAATAAAAAGTATCATTCAGGTTGAATGTGAACAGGAGTTACAAGAGGATTGGCTGGAATAAAACTGTCTGGATCTCCTAATAAATAAAGATTAGTTAAAGTTAATAGAATTAATATAGATAATATAATAATAGCTCCAATTAGATCTTTATAAGTGAAAAATATTTTAAATACATAAATGTTATAGATCAATTACACACAGACAAACACATATCACACAAAAATATTTGATCTGTGATGGAATCGAACCCACGACATCTCAGGCTTAGCAGTCATTGACCTCTAGAGGATCAGAATTGTCAACTATAATAAAATAACTTTGTAACATAGTATTTTTCTTTAAAGTGAATTATTTAGTGTAGGGTATAATGATATATAGAGTAGTAATTACGGAACTCAGGCACATCTTATAATCGAGTCTGTAAACACAAATCCTAAATTGCGGTTGTAGTCACTAAATATTTAAATGAAGTATTTTTTAAATGAATGTAATTTTTTTGAATTATGCATGAACTTCCTACAGAGACTTTGGAAATAGTCACGCTTATGTAATATTCAATCATTTAGTCATATGCATTGACGTATACTGTTGTGGTGCTATGGCTCTTAGCGTAAGCTATAGCTATAAATAAAATTAAAGTGTCTATTTGTAATGTCAAAATAAGAGGTTTTTTTCATGCCCACACGGTTATTTGCGATTACGATACCTATGCCCAAAAATCAGTTTAAATATTTTTCTCTGTCTGTCTGTTTGTTCCCGGTAATTTAAAAGGTCTGGACCGATTTTGATATTTTACTACCAGTTAGCTTTCTATATAAGGTGTAACTTAGGCTATTTTTCCTCTTAGAAAAACCCTCTAAAATTGCCCGGTCCGGGAATCGAACCCAATACCACCACCACAAAGGCAGCGCTTTTCAAATTCTACGCGAATGAAGTCGCGTTTTCCTAAATCTCAATAAACGGGCTCGGTAAGGCGATAACTTTTTATCCTTAGCTCAAACACAGGAATACTTCGCTTGTTGAATATTCAATCGAACTCAAACAAGTTATGGCAGAAAAATTGTCTCTAGGCAAAGTTTTATTCCTAAAACACAATTTAAGGGTACTTTTTATAACAATATGTCGTAAATATGTAAGCAATAGTTATTTGTTTGAGTAAACAAAAGTCCGGAAATGAATGAAAATAATTTCTCGATAAAGTATCCGAGGTCTATTTTAACATAATTGTGAACGTGGAACGTAGATTGAGTTTTGAGATTCTGTCCTTTCTATTTCAAACTTGAAAGGATAGAATATATCCTATAATTACGAATGTGAGTGGTTACTAATAAAATTGAAGTTTAATAATTAGGAATATAAAAACTATTATAAGTACCCTAAATATAACAAGTAACATTATAATAGCAATAGTCCCATCTAGTCTGTTTGAAGTCGGTGCCAAGCCCGATGCACTACTCGTATAAGTATGTAATACTGGTCTATGATGCTTTATATTTGCACTTTAAAAAATCAAGAATACAATATAATTCTAATGAAAAATAGCAGATTTGTTAATTAAAAAAAAACAATCAGAACAATTACGTGGTCAAACTTATAAATTATTTAATAAAAGCATTCACAATAAAAATATCATTGAAGATGTGCGTAACCCACTTTAGCTCGTTCAGCATGTTTTGCGCAGCAAGACTATTGCGACATTCTAAAAAGCCCATCAAGCATCTATTTGGCACCGACTTCAAACAGACTAGAAGAGACTATTGCTATTATAATGTTTATGTTACCTGTTGTATTGAGGGTACTTATTATAGTCGGGCACGCCGTCATCGCGGCGGTAAGAACCGTTATGGAGGATTGGCTCGAGAAGCATCACGGGACCCTCTCATACCGACTGAACGCAGGTGATCACTGGAAAAGGATGTTTCGGGGCTCACCTGTGTCTGATCCGCAAGGAGCCAACGCCTGAGTGCCACCACTGCGATGGCCAGACCGTGGACACGGCTCTCCACACGCTGGCAGAGTGCCCGGCGTGGGTTGAGCAGAGGCTCGCGAAGGAGACGGCGAAGCGGGACCATTAGAGGTTTAGAACTCTCCGGCCCGCCAGGCCCGGGAACGAGCCAGGTACCGCAGGCGCCGGAGGTCGCAGAACGATCTCCGTCCTCCATAAGCGCAGGCCTGGGGGTGACAGGTGAGGCCATCTGTCACCCTAGCAGAAGCAGGCCGGGGTGGCGGCGAGCGCGCTCGCTTCCAGGGAGCAGAGGGAGCATGGGGTTCCCACACGGGGGGGTCGTCTACTCGTCTGTAGATGGCCCGAGGTATGTTGGGGCACCAGGGACTTCCTTCCTAGGGTATACCTGGTTCCCCGGCTATTAGTACCCGAGACGGCGTGCGGTTTTAGTCGGTTCGAGTCCGACATGCCACCGAAAGGTGGTATCCGAGGGGATTTCCGCACGAAAAAAAAGGGTACTTATTATAGTTTTTTTACTTAGATTTGTAATTATTTTAATTTTGACTGCACGGATGGCATAGTGGTTTAAGCGGTCACCTCGCCACTTACTACTGCGCGAGTGTTGTGCGTCCGATCCCCACATGGGACAACACTTTGTGTGATCCACAAATTGTTGTTCTGAGTCTGGGTGTTCTTTGTGTCCGTTTCATGTTTGTTTGTAAAGTCCCCCGAGACACAGGATATATTCCTACTGCGGGAGTTGTGAAATTTAGTACTCTTTGTCACTATTGTTTGAAGTCGGTTCAACTTTTTTTTTAAAGATTTATGTTAGTCAATTATATTACAACTCATCTATACACATTAGAATTCAAAATAGTCGGTAAAATAGTATGTTTCTTAGCTTTGACAAATTTAGTGAAAAAACAAGTCTGGAATGCGAAACATATTGGCATTTAAGTATGCGACCTTGGCGAAACCGGTGCAGTGATAATGACCTTTCTATAAGCCTTGTAGAGTTCCTGCTTTGTTTACATACATAGGCGATAATATGTCTTACAACCCTTTTAATTAAATTAAATAAGGATCATATTTGTACAACGCCTACGATTCAGGTGTAAACGCGGTACTTACTTATTATTATAATTTCCGTGGCACTACAAATACTTTCAACACACCTGACAGTATCATAGTGTAAATAAATATGCCAAGACAAGGCGGAAGTCGTCTATCCTTACAATTTAGGGCTTGCCCTTGGGATAGGCACAGGTTGCACTTAATAACTAGGACTCCATAACGAAGATGCAAATGGTTTTCGTCGGTTCGAGTCCGATATACCACCTTCTTGTTTAACCTGGTAAGCTGATGATTGGCAATATTTACTGGCACCGGTAATCTGTCCTTTATCGGCTGTCTGCCTTTTTATCAATGTAGTTGTATGTAGTAGATATTTTTTGTTAATAATGTTCGTTGCTGAATGTGAAGGTCCGTGTGGGGACGGGTTAAGAATACGGAATGTCACCGCCCCTATTCATCCCATGGGTGTCGTAGGAGGCGACTAAGGGAGCAAGCTACGCAGAACAACAGCACTGCAAAGAGAAGCAAAACTTGAAACAAACCCTATATGAACCCGTCTGGCCAACGTGATATAGTAGGCCAAAACCTCCATTCTAAGGAGAGGCCTATGTCCAGTAGTGGACTACTAAAGGCTGTTGATGATGTGATGTGAAGTACTAATGGGAGTACATCTCACTCTGTGATAAGCAACAGTTTTTTTATTCCGATTCATCATCATCATCAACTTTTCTCTCTCACATCGAAAATGTAGTTAAAAAAACATCAAGAATACTTAGTTTGTTATCAGGAATGTAACTCGTTTCGTGGTCTGGTCGATGGACACTGTGACTCACTTAGTAGGTTCAGAACTGCTATTTACAAAGTCTTGTAAAAACGTCTGTGTTTTTGGCCTGCTATAGTTCTTTCGTAACTTTGATTTTTAGTATATAAGCCATCATTATGTTTAGTGTCTAGGATTAATGTAATTTCAAATATTTCACATTGTTAACAAATAAGTAGTGCATGATGTGCTTACCTATAAAAAATCGTTACACTATAAGCATATTTAATGTATCTAATGTCTTTGTATCAGTGTACACAAATGTTGGTGACATAGGCCTTTCTTTAGGAAGGTGGTCTTGGCCTAGTATACGACGCTGGCCAGACGGGTTGGTATAGGTTTTGTTTGTGATTTTTATCCCGATTATTTTTTATTTTTTTTATTTACAGAGAGGTTTACAAAAATGAAGCAGTCCGGAGGCTACTATGTCACAGTCATCGAAGACACACGCATTTCGAAGCTGATTGGCGCTGCTACACTCACAATCGAACAGAAATTTATTCACAACTGTTCAGTGGTATGTTGTTCATAACTAACTCCGTTGACGTAAGTGTACCACTTTCTTAAATATACTATTGTTACTTGACGACTTGTAACGTAACGTGATACTATTGAACTCTCTGAAACAAGGATTTATCCATATTACTAGAATAGTTATAAACTTATAACATGGCAATATAATCATGGCAGAGCCATGAGTCGGCACATCGGCCAGCTCGGTCGGCATAATAACACGGCCTCCCAGAAAACCGGTGTTAAGCAATTTTCAAGCTGTTTCTCGTGCACTCAACGTCCACACGGAATTAAGAAAAAATTTTTTTTTCTATTTTCAGCGAGGTCGTTTAGAAGACGTAGTCGTGAACGACACGTACAGAGGCAAACAGTTGGGTAAATTGTAAGTATAATTATGTATAATGTATGCATGTTGAAATTTTTATGCAATTTACTGATAGATCGCAAATGAAATGGGGTACGCTCTGAAATACCTACACATATTTAAATATTATGTACGTACGCATATATTCATGAGCGAGCCACTGGAAAAAAATTAAGTGACATTAAAAACCAAGCTTGCTATTCCTCAATATTAATTTAATTTTAAATCATTAGCAACTTGTTTATGTAACGTACTTCTGTATTACATGGGTTATGATAGAATAGTCTGATTTCACTTATGGGAATAATATTAAGGGTTGTCAGATACGTAATGATATGGTTATATAAACTCATTATTCGAAATAAAATAATCATTTTGTTATTATTCCCAAACAGTACTTATAATAGCGTAAAAATGTATGCAAGGTATGTTTAATTCTCTTCAGTGAAGGATGTAAAATTAAAACATAGATGAATATAAATATTGCAGAAAAACATTGAGCAAAGCAATTTAACCTTCGACAAACTTGCTTAATTGTGTTTTGTTCTTTTGAGACTTTTGAACTTCTTTTTACGATCAAAGCGAGCGATCGAAATATGCTGATAAACTATCACATTCTTGCAGCAACCTAACACGGCAACAATATAGGTACGCACAGTATATCAATATGTGTATAAAAATATCTCATGTGGATTATTTTCATTATTTTTTATCAGTTTTTTGTCGTGCCTTTTTTTTGGAGTTCAATTCGAGCATCCGTCAAAGATAAGCGTATTTTTTTATGGTATAAGGGGGCACACAAGCAGACGGGTCACCTGATTTTAAGCAACTACCGCCGACCATGGACACCTGCTACTTAAGTCACAAGTGCGTTGCCGCCCTTCGACTCCCTATATACGCGTATATGCATTAAGTATGAGAATCAACCAGCGAAACTTTTAATTAGAAACAGTGTATTCTAAATCCATATAAAAAGAGTATTTACTTATTACACTTCATCACCAGACGAAGATGGAACTAATCTATACCGAAAGAACTTATTTACTGTTCGTTAATAACGAAGACCCATGTAAGATCTAAGCAAACACGTCTCACACACGGCCGTCGGATCCCAAACTAGGCGGAGCCTGTACTTTGGTCGCCGGGTTGCTAATAAACATACTTATATAGACTTCTAAGTACATTTATTTTATAGACAAATTACATTATATGTCGTAGGTGGGAATCGAACCCTCGACTTCAGGCTTGTCAGGCCCCTTTCAGGACACCAACTTAATGTGTTAAGATCTATATTGATTAAATACATATCTTATGGTTTTTTCTTCCAGAATCGTCGTGACTGTATCGTTGCTGGCGCAAGAGCTGGGCTGCTATAAGATGTCCCTAGACTGTAAGGACAAATTAATCAAGTTCTACGAAACTTTGGGATACAAGCTCGAGCCTGGCAACTCTAACGCTATGAACATGAGGTGCGTATTACACTTATATTATAACGGCGAAAGTTTGTGACTGTGTGGCTTTATATCTTCTTCACGCTCAAATATGTGGACCAATTATGATAAAGTTTGGAATGGAGGTTCCTGAAGGCGTCAGCTTAACACGTAAGTTACTTTTTATCTCGAAAATGTAGTGTTTCCTTGGGACGAGGAAGGAATTGAGATATGTTTGATAAACCGCAGCGGGCGCAGCTAGTTGATTGATAAATAACTTTTCCTTTCATTGTATGGAGTATGTCGTTATAATATTTCCAGGTACATTATCAAATGATTTTACGATGAATTGATATCGTACCTAGTAGTAGGTGAAGCACTAAGTTAAATTTGGCTTTAGGCTGGCATAGATAATAAACGCCGAGTTAATAATAAAGTGCATTAGAACCATTCGTCATAAAAAATACATTTATCTACTGGTCAATAATGATAGTAATTCAACTATATCAACACCACTATCTTTCCCCAAAACGTCTAGCTAGATAAGCGCGATCTTCCCCTTCTTGGATTACTATATTTCAAGGGTCATGGATGCCTAGCTATCTAACCAGCAAAGATATCTGATCATATATGACCATATCTCCAGTTTTCGTTCTCAGCTAAGATGTTACCTATTCGTCAACGCAGGAAAATGCGCGCACTCACAATTATGTACACTATCCTCAATTCCCCTTCCTCTCCTACTTACTTAACAACACAATTTCAACTGTTATGCAATAACCTCAACCGAAACCATCGTTCGGCCAACAATCTCCTTCTACTCTGTCATTCTCACACCACTGGGTCTGTCGGCTCTTCGTTCTTCGTCCAAGCTGTCCTCTCGAAGTCTGGATGGCCACAAATTGGTACTCTTTTAGGACGAAAGTGAAAGAGCTTTTGCTGGGTGAAATAGCAGATTTTATTTTTATTATATATATGTGTATGTACGTTTTTCGTTATACACACCTCCCATAAATGCACCTACCTCGTTCTTTCTCAGCATCGCCCAATCGGTCGACTGGCAGAGAATGTCTTAGGCATTAAGTCCGCCAATGCATGTACTTGTGCAATAAGTTATAAAATAAATAAATAAAATATATTCTTTTTTTCTCATAAATGCGAGTCAGTGGGGGGTGTTCAAAATGGCTGACTTGAAAGCGTCGACTGCTTCTTCACCGGACTGGAACCTTTGACCACGAATACTTTTCTTAATATTAGGAAATGTGAAGAAATCGTTATTGCTTAGGTCAGGATTGTATGGAGGATGGTCAAGAATTTCTCCTTTTTCTGCTTCAAATACTCAATCGTTTGACGATCGCTGTGTGAGCTTGCGTTGTCGTGGTGCAGGATGATGCGTCGCTTTGAGTTAGATTTTCGAAGTTCGGCGATGACTTGTGGTAAACGAACTATGGTATTTCACTCTGCGTTAACCGTTCTACGATCTTCAAGTACAATAGTCGCAACATGGTCGGTTTTTCCAACGAACGTGGCCACCATCTTCTTTGAAATGCTCCGAGAACGAACAACTTTAGTCGGCTTTGGCTCGTCTTGAAAGACCCAGATTGTAGATTGTTGTTTGGAATGAGGATCGTAGGCATAGATCCAAGATTCGTGAAGGCGGATTTTGGGCATCCTTCGCGAGATTTGTCACTAACACTAGTATGTCCACGCTGGAATTCTAAATACCAGCGTTCGACAGTCCGCAGACATGGGGCTTCATCACTGAACACAGATGTTAGCTCTTCAAAACACTGAAGCCGTGTCAGGTCTCTTCTAAAGTTGTAGAAAATTATTGCACGAACATTTTCCTTAGAAAGATTCATTTTCGTACGTAGCCTGATAGATTCCAATCAACGCTGCGACTAAACAATAGCATTAATTCTAATACTTTTAACTGTTTTGACATTCAAAATTTAAACACATTCGAATATAGAACAGTTCCAAATTCAAAATTACTGGTGAATATGGAAACTACAGAACTTAAAAGGCATGCCTAGTAAGATAATAAGATTTACAATTTACCTTGACGTACCTATTAACGGTGACATGCGTCTATTTGTTTTAGATTCGATGAGCCATCTTGACAATTAGCCGCTGGGGCATCCGAGCTGCGTTCCAAACTGTAAGTACGCAAGTAGCTGAGCAGACTTCACAGCATATCCATCAAGCAATCGCCTTTCATAGATCCATGTTCGGATTACTTCATTGGAAGACCTTCGGATACATTTTGCATTCAAATTATGATATTGTGTCACCAATCGTTAGAGAATAAACGTTTTGTGTTAGTCAACTCATGTTCCTCTAAATTATTGTGTTTAAATTTACATTAACGTGCTTCTTTTTAGTTTAGTGGATTTTGTTTGTGATTTCTGTTTGGTTATTGTTGGCCGCAGTCGCAGGATCAATTTTTATATCCATCAAAAGTGTAGATCATAAATTGGTTGTGATTTAAGCATTTGATGGGGTGATTAATTGGTTATGGATGTCTTAGCACATAATCGTAGAAGAAAATTTATGCTATCCAATTATTATTTTTCAAAAGCTTTTAATTGTCTTGTGTGTATTAACTTTGTAATAATAGGGTAGTTACTTGACAATATACATGTTATCAGTTTATTTAATAAATTGATAAGCCCTGTATAATTTACAATGAAATTATTTAGATCTAAATAAGGTAATTGTTTTTTCCTACTTCGGTAAAGAAGTAGTGGAGGTAATGTTCGTAATGTTTATTCACTGATTTCACGGAATGACATGAAAGGATGTCTGAGACATACCTTTTATAAAACAATTATCGCTATTGAGGCATTTAGTTTTGAACTGTGGCAAAGGCCTTTGTTATGGTTCTCGTTAGCGAGAATTATAAATCGAAATGGAATATTTTTAGTACCAAGAGCTACCCTATTAGGTATAGATCAGCCTACTAATAATATATATTTGCGCTTTATTAAAATAGAAACCTAGCCAATAGGTTATAAATGTTTATTTTATAGCTTCGAAAGTACTTAAATATGTATATAATAGATTTATCAATTTGTCACTAATATTTTGTAATATTGCGTTATTAAACCATTTGCTTTATATTTAAGTTTTATTTTAAAGTCATAAAAGTTCACCATTATTTTAATTTCCAATCAATACAAACCATAGGAACCAATTGACCATGGGTGATTTCAATTTGTAATCAATCTAAAAAATTGTAATTGATTTGAAGCTGCCTTTGCTAGTTCTGATCTATGATTGGTGAAAAATACTAAAAGAAAACAAAAATTTGGGCGTTAGTTTTGGGTCCTCACTACTAGACATAATGTTAACTGTGTGTAACTATCACGCGATGGACCTGGCACCTACGGTGAATCCATGGAACGCTAAGAAATAAGTACCCTTTACTATGAATACGACCCTTAAGGTAAGTTTTACGGGTTATTCTTAGGGGGATTTTATTTACCTTTTTGGATAGGTATAAATGTGTAGATGTTTTCTTAATAATTTGTAAACAAAATTGACTAGTCTTTTTTATTATTTGTTATTAAAAATATATATTTTTTTACGATATGATGATTTTATAATTTACAGAGATTGTCTGTAGTGAATTTTTAAAGGAAAAATGATTGCAAAGGACCTGCGCTATGATCGTTTAAAAAGGTCCGGTATAATTACCAATAACCCTGTATATAGGTATAACACGGAGGATATAATACATGAGCCGACTTCTCTAATCCAAATTATTATTACTACTAAAAAAAACTATGTAGAAAAATTACCATTATATTTGACAAATTTCACCAAATACATAATAAAATGTAAAATAAGAAATTAAGGATATTAAGGAGTAATAAATCAAAGACTGGCTCAGTCTGATAGTTAAATACTATTTACATAATAATTATACTGTATATTTATAATAATACATATAAAATAGCTTTTCCTATCCACAACAACGGTTTAATTTGTTCCGTATACTTGAAATTTTACGGTCTATCAAGCAGCAATACAAAACAGTATTTAACACTGGCACATGCAAAATAGACTAAGGTGACTGCATTAAACTTCAATGCCTTACAATAAAGTTTGTTTTCGAAAAAAAAAGATGTAGCGTTCAGCAGTCAACAATTTAAAGTACAGGCCCCAAATCGATATACACGCACAATCATCAACCGAGAACTTAAAATAAATTGACACCCTCATTTGCCGATTGCACAAAGTCCTAGAATCATCACAAAAAGCATTCCTATTATCCATTTATTTTGAATTTATACGCATAGTTACAGGCTAGATAAAACATGGCAATGTACGATAGTGACTACGACTCGGCAATCTATGTCCATCTAATAAAATATACCTTTAATTAAACCCATAGTACGGCTCTTGTATTCATAAGAGCGTACTCCTCATGGGCGGCGGCAGTCCCTTTCCATCAGGTGACCCGTCTACGTGTTTGCCCCCTGCACCATAAAAAAATGCAATCTAAGTGTATCGCCGCCGCTATGGCAGCACTAAGGAATCCGAAGGCTGGCATTCATAGCATAGCTTACTTGTATAATAAATGCACCTATACTATATCGTTCTGCCTATCGAATACTATTGTATGTTATATTGAATATTTTTTATTGAATCATTTTTTATTTTTTATCAGCATTAAGTAATTTATAGAGCTTTTGTCATCCACAATGGGGATTGGTTTTACACAATACTAGGTGTCTTTATCTTCGTACAATAGATAATAGGAAGATAAAGACGTACCTAGTATTATACTTTAAATTATAGATTTGCAGTGTTAATTACGTACGAGAGATCTATATTTTAATATCTTGAAATTTAACGCCATTGCATTCGGTTTAAAAAGTAAAGTAAAAAGTATAAAGTTTTATAAACCAAATATGATTCAAGTTAAAAATAGTATGTAACAAGGTTTTATTAGGAAGCTAGAAATGAAAAAAATATATTTCGAGGTACATAATTAAGTACTGTATAAGACAAGACGGAGACAGAAATGACAAGGTCAAACAATGAAGTTAGTATACCTTCAGGGGAAAATTCGACAGTATATTAATACTTAAAGTATACCTACAGTATATCTCAAGTATACCTGAGGGCCAAGTTCGAGTTTATTTCACTTCTACTCGATCGACACGGTGTCCGCGTTCGGCGTTACGATTGCCCCCACTGAAATCTCCACCAATCACAACGCTAAACGCGCTCGACATCGAGAGCGATTCGATGTGAAATAAACTTGCAATCTGCACTCTGTTGGCTCTATGCTCGACTTGACTTGATTAAGCTAATTACATTTTTAAGAAAATCTAACGCGCAATTGTGCTTAATTTTTTTGGAAATTTGACCTGATTCTTGGTTCTATACCGATATCATAATTGGTCCTGTTCCATCTTTCGTCTTGATTATCGTCAAGAGCAGCGAAACTTATTAAGTCCTTTTCAAAGTGATCATGATAAAAATAAACTTCAACAAAGAGATATGCAATACATATATTGTCCACTTGTGTGTTGCTTACTTTTTTTAAATTACAAATTCAGTATCAATAAATTTATTGCTTAATATTTTCATTTTCATGCGTTTAAGTTCAACAAATATCGACATAATTTATAGCGACTAGCGTCTCCCTAAGAAAATTAAAATTTTACATTACTGCCTTAGTGGCGTCTAGTCTCACTTGAGTCCTCTATTTGGTGCATTTCAATTAACAATACTTGTTCCCTAATGCCATTGAACAACAGAACTGAATTTGGCGTTGTCTTCGCTTTGCAGTCGATTGGAATGCATTTTCAAATATAAGGCTGTGCCCACCTAGCGATCTACGGGCTATTCTTCCTATAATTGTCATCGTATCCCACTATTAATTCAATGTTAGCTAAGAAGACAATCGTAATTTTTTGTATCGGATAAATTATAACAATATTTAATGTTGAATGAGCTTGAAGAATGAAGGGTTAAGTATTATAGAAGATCTTATAAAGCGCGTTGTCATTGCCTTTATTGGATTGAATTTTTTGCTGGCATTTACTGAAGTTCGCTGTATATTTACTTGTTTTTTGTAAAACAACAGCTTGCAATCTCCGATCAGAGGAGCGGAGTGCGCAAGTCGCTATTAACTTATGAAGCGTTTGTGCCTCACGTTTAGTAGAAGCCAAGGATTTCAGAAACAGCTCATTCGGTTTTCCTAAGTTATATCTTCACAATGGCCTTTTGGACATAAAAAAGCCGAGTTACGATGTAAATATTAACTATCGCCAAATGGACTGTAATAATCCAAAATCGTATCACTTTTGAAAACTGTAAACCTATTTCTATTAGAGCTGATAGATTTAAGAATAATACATTCAATAACGCGTCTAAGCAATGAATTAAATAATAATAATAACGTAGTCTAATCCCAAATACATTTTAAACAAAACGATTACATTATATTGGCCTCGTGTAAATAATATCTATGGAAATATTAAAAGATAAATTTTCTTATAAAGAGTTTCATTGTAGCAGTATTTTCCAAATTTTGGTCGAAGGTTGAACATCGATCATCGCGGCGTACAAATCAAATTCATTTACTTTAGGACATTTATGAGCACACTCACTAATAATAAGCCCGTCGAATATGTTTGATACACCTTTTGATATTCTCACTTTATGAGACTTGATATCCTGGGTCAGGATCAATTTTAGCCGCAGTCGAACGTTCGCGAGCGGGGGAACTAGAAGGGTTGGTTGGTGGGCGCCATCTTAGTGCCGAGCTTCATGGGCCCCTGACCCCGCGCAGAACGGCGAGCTTCCATCTCGCGCTGCCTCTGTAGCTTTCGCTCTTCACGTTTGCGACGCATTTCGTCCATTTTTGATGCGTTGTTTTCTGTGGAAATGCAAAGTAACCTTTGAGTTGATGTTGTTTTCTTCAATTCCTTGTATTTTTAGGTCACCATGTACTAAATAAGTTAAAGGCACGGTTATAAGATAAAGAAATTCTTTTTTTAATGTATACTCTAACCAGGTTTTAACTTAAATCAAAACTTACATTAGATTTTTTTCTAAAATCAACCTGGGTCACATATTACTATTATTATTCTTGTTGAACTCTCCAACTAAGCAAAATGCTGGTGTTAGGAGTAGATTAAAGTCGGTAGTGTACTGTACGGAATCGAAATCGCAACAATTTGATCGCAAGTCCGACGGTTCAGCCATTACGCCACTTAATAACTCAGAGTAATTTCGGATAATAAAAGTATTAAATCAGTTAACAAAGTACCATCGACATTTTCCTCGATAGGTTCGAACTCGCCGTCCTCCCACCCACCGAGCGAGTCGTTACTGTTCTGATGCGCCGTGGGCCTGTGCTCGAGGCGGCCGCCCCTCACGTACGTAGCGTTCGCGTTGTTTAACGCTGGGTCTATCCACGCAGTATTATTCCACGTTTCTGACGGACTCGCCAGTTCCGCTTCTGCACTCTGTATGATGGCAAAATTAAAATTATACCATTATATTTTAAAACAAAATTAGTCTTGAGCTCTTATTTGGTCGCAACAACAAGCTATCGACATATGGAATTTACAGAGACTTCGATATCGATCAGAGGGTTGAAAAATGTAAAAAAGTATAAGTTCCAAAGCTATCGAAAATTCGAGAACATTTTCTTCACTTCACAAATATAATATGGATCAGAAAAGTTCTACCTACCAGACATCGTTATAGATGTGTGAGATATATATTAAATAGATACATCTTGAATTCCAAAGCACGTTTAAAACGATGTCTAGTACGTACAACTAGCCCTAAGATTAGCATTCTTTAAAATGGACCTCCAAATAAGAAACAATACTCGTAGTCATTTAACGTAAGGTGAAGTCATTAATATTTTCATTTAATCTTGTAAAAACAAAGCTGTTCAACAATCTTCGGTTCTATTTTCCTTTAAAGAAGACAACCCCCGCACTAAGAATAAATCCTGTGTCGCGGGGGACTTTACAAACTTGCATGAAACTGACACAAAGAACACCCAGACTCAGAACGACAATTTGTGGATTACACAGTGTTGTCCCATGTGGGGGTCGAACCCTCAACACTCGGCGCAGTAGGAAGCGGCGAGGTGACCGCTTAAACCAGTACGCCATCCGTGCAGTCATACCTACCTCATAGAGCTAATACAGTGCTTATGTTACCGGTTGTTCCTGCAAGGTGCCCCACTCCTCGTTGTCCCAGTCGTCCTCGCACAGCGCGGCGAGCGCGGGGGTCGCGTGGGCGCTGCCGCTGCTCGGGGGAGACTTCGCGCTCACACTCGCGCCCGTTCCTATGATAAAATATGGCGTTTTTTTTTACGGTACAGGTGGCAAACGTGCAGTCAGGTCACTTGATGGTAAGTGACTACAGCCGCCCATGGACACCCCTTTGAGTTTTGAGTGCCCCTCCCAGCAGAATTCTTGAAATTTTTGCCTGGGCTTCACGATAAGATTAACAGTATAGGCTAGTGGCATAGCTTTACATTATATTTAATCTCATAACCTATTCACGTCACTGCATGAAAAAGGGAGTGTAATTTTTTCGATGTGTAATATGTTAAAGTTACAATTTGAGGGAATTATAAGATGTTTTATATAGTTCGTAAGTTTAGCTTTATTCCGTATGGGTCAGTAAAGATTAAGTTCCAATTTATATTATTTAACTAACAATTTTCAATAATTGGTTTCAGGTTGGCATCCCCGAGGAGTGAAGATGTAGAACAAGCCAATACCAGTGATAATAAAACCTAAATATTACATTGTATATATTTCTCTTGAATAATTTTTATATCTTGCACAAATAATCATGATAAAAGTTGAAGGCTTGTATGAAATTGGCATACTCTATTTTATAAGATTAAAGTTATATCAGTATCATCTTAAGCTCGTAAGTACCCTTTTGATAGACTCGTGAGACCCACTTAAAATAATCAGCATAACCTTTTGTTTATTATTAGTGAAGGATGAAATAACTAGGGTGTCCCTCTATTAGGCTCAAATTTGCAGAAGAACTGCAGTGCTATTCTCTAAGGAAATAAATAAGAAAATAAATAAGCCTTGCGTACTTCGACGTTACATTATTTACGCTTATTTCAAACGAACTTAGTTTGAAGTTCGACGCTGTGGCAGCGCTGTGCGCAAGGTTTCCTTAGAGAATAAACTGCTGTTACAATTGTCTTTTGGACCTGTGTGAAATACAGAATTGGGAGTTTAAAAGTAGTATCAGTGTTTTTAACAGACTAGCGTCTAGTTATGCATAACATAGTTAATAGATTGACGACAGTATTTTGTAAACAAACCTGCGCTGGAGTCGATGTCGCCCCAGGCGGCCATGTCCCAGTGGTCTGGGTCATAGTCAGATGCCGACTCGCTGTGTTCTAAAGAGGTCATGGAGGTGACGGACGACGTTGTAGTTGACATACTGCTCGACGATGGTTGCTCTGTAAACAACCGAAAAATATATTATCTAAAACTGCAATTCATTTTCTTATTCCTTATGATGGCAAGCGGGTAGCGTTGCCTATAAATTACAATACTGTTAAATGTATACTAGTAACCCCATCACTTTATGGTTCTATTCTAGAGCGGAAAAAACACTAGGTATGGTACTATGGTTGACTAACAGGAGTTTTCTGTAAGTTGGAAGTAGCTCTTTATAGAGCTCTTAATCAAATTGTTTTGATTTAACGGGCTTGGGCCTTAACGTCTCCCATGCCAAATTATTCATTTACAGTTCTACTGATTTTCAAGATCAAATTTGCCAATGTTAAAGAGAAGATTTGTAATTGAATATCATTACACCATATCTTAATACTTACCGAGTGATCCTGGCTTGGACAGCACCGACTTGGCCGGGTGCGCAACACGCGCCGTGTCGGAGTGCGAGCGGTAGAACTTGGCGGTGACGGCCGTCACAGCCCAGCCCGCCCACGTGGCTGCTGCGTTGCTAAGAGACGGCGTTGCGGTGTGCACATCGGCCTCTACAATAATAAGTTATAGTTTAAAAAATAATAATAACGCTTTCGGACATCTGACACACAACGCCATCTAGTTTCAAACTAAGCAGAGCTTGTACTATGAAAGCTAGATTGACTGATAGAATACTTTTTTTTTGGAAATACATACGTATTACACAGAAAATACCAAACTCCGAAGCAAATCTTTACAGATCATACAAACCATGAAACCTAAAAGTAATATAACTATAGTCCTTCTAATTTAAGAGGCACCGTTTGACGTTTCATACTTTTCAAGCCGTAACAACTTTGTATTGGCGTAACTTACACAGTTTAAATATTTTTTTCTGTCAACCACGTTATTATGCCCATATGTTCCTGAAACTAGACCTTGTGTTATTTAATTGTCTTTACTTATGAGTGTTCAATTGTTTTTTTTTTTAATGTTCATTCGTTTTTACCGATCATCATCACTTATATAGATTTACTAGTCTAACCTAAGATATACTCGTAATAATATACGGGCTTATACAGTAACATATATAAATCTGTAAAAACTGTATTCGATTTGTAAATATAAAGAAATGATATTGATATCTCTTACGAATTGGATTTTGCAATCGATTCCTTTGAACCCCTTCTTATCCGTCAATATGTCAGTACTGTCAAACGGTACCTCTTAGATTAGATGGATTATAAAAGAAGAAAATACTATCCATCTGCTGGCTCCAACAGTAAAGCATCTTTACAAATTTTAATCTGTTGTATATCCAAACTTTCCTTTCGATACACCAGTAAATAAGACAGTAAGCAAGAATAAAGTTGAATTCAGTTTTTAGATTTCTTAACATCAACTTAAAGATTTAGTTCATTACAGCTAAATTAACACAATAAAATATAATTAAAACGAATTATCGTCACTACAAAATCTTTGTGACAGCAATACTATCATTTTATGTAATAATATATAGTATTAATACTGTCCACAGTTTTTAAGTATTACAAGCTGGTTTGGGATAGTAGTAGATAATATATTTTACAATATTATTAATATAAATATTAAACCTTCAGAAATAGTTAAAGCTACTGATGCAATATTAATTATTTTAGTGGTGCCTCTCTTATAAGTAGGTGACGTCTTACCCATTCCTTCTTTTAAACTTGGGTCTTCTGAAACCTTTTCCAGTTTTCCCAAAAATCCTTTTATAGTTCTAAATGCTGCGTCACGGACCTTTAAGAAAATGTATTTTTAAACAACTTTTAAATTTTAAAATGAGTTGAAAAAGTAACGTCATTTTATTACTATAATTAATTCATTATGAAATCTACTATATCGAAAAAGAATTTCCTATTGTTACTTTCTCTTTAAAAAAGGTTCTTGAATGGAAACACGTTTGGCTTTATTATTATTTCATTAACGCCATTACAAAGTAAATAAAACATTTTATATTAAAAGTAAGGTAATGTTAGACAGTTCAAATAACCTGTATTCTTCATCCCTCATTTTCCATCCAGGCATTATTTTGGTTAAATTTAAATTATAAACCTTGACTATAACCAACATAATAAAAAACAAGAATTATTGAAATCGGTTCTGAATCCGCATCCAAAAAAAAAACTCTAATCGAAAATCACCTAATTTTTAAGGTTGGTTAAAAATATTTATTAGTGTTACATTTGAAGTACCGTCAATTACAAATGATGCCTTGCCTATTTTATATTGCATTAATTAAAGCAATAAAGTAAAAAGTTGGATAAAGCTTCAACGACTTAATCTTCTAATACTTTTTTTTTTCCGTGCGAAAATCCCCTCGGATACCACCTATCGGTGGCATTTCGGACTCGAACCGACTAAAACCGCACACCGTCTCGAGTACTACAATAACAGGTACACGACCCCCTCCCGTGTGGGAACCCCATGTTCCCTCTGCTCCCTGGAAGCGAGCGCGCTTCGCAACGCGCTCGCCGCCACCCCGGCCTGCTTCTGCTAGGGTGACAGATGGCCTCACCTGTCACCCCCAGGCCTGCGCTTATGGAGGACGGAGGTCGTTCTGCGACCTCCGGCGCCTGAGTCGCCTGCGGTACCTGGCCCGTTCCCGGGCCTGGCGGGCCGGGAGAGTCCTAAACCTGTCCCGGTCCCGCTCCGCCGTAATCTTCTAATCCCTATATCTCGTGTCACAGTATTTGAGGTCGTAAACCGTCGAAACGTCTCAACAGAATATAATGTTTTTTTTTGTATATTTGGTAGGTATGAGAATGGGTCGTAAAGTATTTTTCATTCTCCTACACCCAACCCCCCTTTTTAATCGCGATTTTAAATGGCAGAATAATGTTTGCCATGTCAGCTACTATCCTATTTTATTCATACAATTAAATGATACTGACCTGCTTTTCTGGATCATTGGTTAGTGGACAGAGAGCTGGCAACACTCTGTTAGCCACTTCAGCTAACAAGAAGTATTGTTGTGTAGCTGCCAATGCTAGTACGCCCGCTTGTCGGGCAGGGGGGAACACGTCACGAGTCGAACGTACAAATGCCGATACTAGGACCTTCTGGCGAATCTGTGGGTGAAGATGCTGAGCTATCTTGCCGAGACATACTGTCGTGTTTGTCCTGAAAGTACAATAGATAAATAAATAGGAAAAAAGAAAATATAATAAGAAATGACACATAAAATCTGTGTTTTTACTGTAGCATCTTCGCCATTAGTTAACCAACTTCAATAATTCAATTGTTTATTGTGTTGGTTGTACTCACGCTTCGTTCAATTTAAATAAGGAGGTGAAATATTTTCTTTCTTGGTTGGTTGAAACATCACAATTTCTATGCATCAAATAATATATATAATATATATAAATAAATATTTTTTTCCAAAAACTAATTATTATCAAGTAGCGTTAGTCTTTGGTCATAAAATATTTATTTTACCTGATTCCACCCTGATCATCCTTAGCCTGCAATCGAGCGAAGTGTCGTAGTACTTCCACATTCAAATTGTTGTAGTTGAGTTTAGACGAAAGGTGTACTATTGACTTGACAGTCTGTTCTCTGATAACAGGGTTCGTATCCAAAAAACCGTGCACCACTTGAGGAAATATTTGGTCATTGACCTACAAACAAATGTTCAATTATTGATGACTATTTCAAGGAAGTATATTATTGTGGCCTATTAAACGTTTAATGACCTTAATAAGTGACGCTATTGCGACAAAAGTTTTATCAATAGTTTTATATTGGACGACACTGATGATAAAATGTATTTCTGAGTAATGCCTGGTTAAATTAGTATATAATCATATGTATGTAATCATGGTATGTCAATTTCCGCTAGCTTTAAAAGGAATCGACGATAATATTCTCGAAAGTTATCTAATTCTGGTATTTTTTTATAGCTGTTAAAAATCTGAATTAGAGATATTTATTTAACCATAAAGAGCCTAACTTAATGTCGTCTGTTGTATTACAGCTGCATGTATGTATATTCACCAATAAACGTAACAGGGTGTGATACTTAGTGGATATAAATTTATCACAAACACAATTTCTCGATCTTTTTTACAATTTACAAAGAGACATTGTAAATTAATATCAAGTTTTTATTCGAGTATAAGACTCATTTTACTTATATCTTACATGATTTTTATACCGAAGAATTATAATCGTGAACATGATTTATCAAATTGCATCGATATTGTTATCGAAAAACTGTGACGATACCTTAACCTTAATAATTGCTCAAAACATATTTTTAAATAAAAAAAATTGATCAACACTCTCACGGCAAAGATGAGAAATTGAAATTACTTACAGTAGAGTTTTGCAAGTGCATTATAAACTGATCAAGTTGTTGTAGCAGCCGCGACCGCGTCGTCCGGTCATTCGACGCGAAAAGTTTGACTACACATGGTACTATTTGCTTTTGGTAGTCAGCATCCTCTAGTAGTTTACCCAACTGGAATTAATAAAATGAATCATTATAACAAATTATCATAATAACTTTCCAATTGACATGTAGTGAAGTAAATTGCAATATTAAGTTACCACATATCATTTTTTTTTTTATAATAAGTTCAACTGCAAAGTGTTCAGAAGCTAAGAGTTCCCAAAAATTTAATATGAATTTTGTTAATATGAAGTTTTTTGACACAAAGTATACCTAAACTCAGAAAATACCTTTAAAGATATAACAATTTGACTGTACAGGCAAAACAACTTTACGTTCTATGTCTATATATGTACATGTAAAAATTATCTCCTTAGGGGTTTGATATAATAATGACTAATTAAATAAAATTCTTATTTACTATAACTTTAAATTATGATTAGGTATTATATGTTTAAGCCACAAGCCAGCGGTGTGACTGATTTCATCACACATAGGCAAGAAAAATGCAGTACTGTAGGTAGTAGAATGATCAACCTCTTTCCAAAAACATTAGTCTTCATTTTTGTTAGAGAATTTAAATTTTATTTTTATTTATTTTAAAAAGACAACTCCTGCACTAGGAAATTATTTTGTGTCGCAGGGGACTTTACAAACATACATTAAACGGACACAAGGAACACTCAGAATCGGAACAACATTTGTGAATCACACGAAAGTGTTGTCACATATGGGAATCGGACCCACAACACTCAGCGCAGTAGGCAGCGGCGAGGTGACCGTTTAAACCACCACGCCATCCAATAAATTCATCCAATAAATTTTATTTACTGTGAAAATTGTACTAAAACTTACCTTGAACATGGGCGCTAGAACAGCTGATCCAGCATCACCATAATGGAAAGCTGTTAGTAGCTGTGGTAATATCTTATGAACACACACTGCTTCCGGGAAATTATCTAAATAAGAACTGAGAGTCGAGAAGAATTTTCCTTTTTCCACTTTATCTTTTATCTGTATCTCTTCAAGGAATAACATTGTGTCTATCAGATCATTTTTAAAGAATCCACCCATTTTTCGACACCTAAGGACATAGCATATACCTATATTTAGTAGAAGTATGTTTTGGTCTTATCAGTGAATCAGTCTAATGTTGTAGAACACTGGTCTACTTAGTAAATATAATTTACTTTAATTTTACCACTGAGAAATATCTACACCAGAGATTCTCAAACTATTTTGGGTAAGAGACCTCTTTTCCAAAATGAACTGAGAGTTCAGGTCCCCATAGCCAAATTACCTTAAAAACCCTATCTCTAGTTTTTTTCCTATTGATACAAAATACTTGATGATTTCATTGGTGTCAAATCGCATATATGCATCAAATACAGAGCATATCAAAACATGTTTGAAAGTCTTGTATGTTCGAACTCATTTTCTAGCATAAACTTGTCCATGCTTAATGACTTGCTGAGTTTTTCATTTTATCGACTTCTTGAGTTTTTTGAAAGTACAAAAATGATACTTCCTACTAAAATATTAGTCATTCTTATAACAATCAACAACATTATAATTAGTGGTTACCTTGCAATGATATCAGCAGGATTGGGTCTTGAGCCAGGATTGGCACTCACTAGCTCACAATACAAAGTGCAAAGCTGCTTTGGTATATTATCCACTGTTTTAAGTGCAGGCTGATTTTTGAGAGGGCCATTGTATGCTTCCCATATTAGACAGCCTAGACCCCACATATCAGATGAGCTGTTAAGTTAAAACAGTTGAATTAATAATCTTAGAAAGTGGTATAACTATAGCATAAAAATGGTTATACTGCCATAGGAGGGCCATGCTTCAGCATATTTGGTCCGGCTCGACCCAAGGGATACACTTACAATTCTTTTGTGGCTTTTTATCGAGTGAATGAGGTTACCAGAGGCCCAACGAAATATAATTCTAGGAAGGAGGTACTCAAAGTATACTCGTGCCTCTTGAGCTTATGGACAACTTACCATCAGGTGGCTTATGCTATTGTTTGCCCACTATAATAGAAAAAAACTTATATAACAATTATTTTAAAGTAACACATACCACTTAGTGACAGTTTTAAGCTTTGTGGCATCTTTCTTCTCAGGTGGATCATATATTTCTAATGCAGGTAATATCTTGATTGGAATAGGATTTGCATTCTCCTGTCCTTGTGAAGTGAGGAACTCAAAACCACCCAATTTCCACTCTCCAGCTAGAGTTACAAATACTGAATACAAACACACATTATTGTGCCTCATATTGCCATCATTATTTAAAAATGATAGTGCTCTCTGAAAGAAAACAAAAGCTAATATATACTGAAAGAATTTTATTTTAGGTTCTTTATACATTATAATATACCTCACACATCTCACACACAGCTGTCTGATCCCAAACTATGTGTGTTTATATGTTTGGATTTTAGTTAACAGACATAGGTTATAATTATGTTGTCATCAATACCTAGTTAATGACTCATAATAACTTACAAAAATGAATGTCATTTTATTAAGTCCTATCATACTAATGTTTAGACATTTTATTAAGTTGCTTTAAACCATTAAATCAAATCTAAATATTAATGGTAAGAACTAATCATTGTGAAGCAAACTCTTGAAGAATATTATGTCCTACTTACAGTTATTTGGAATATGCCCCAAGCTAGAAATAATTCCTTTTGTGGGCCCTCTAGTTTCATATCCTCTATATGCCTAGATAATGGCTCTACATACTCTGTTGCTACATATAAAAATTTCTCAGTTTCACAGCTATCTAAATAATGTAAAAGGCTTGGATGTCGCATAGTCTTTAGTTTCTTTAAGGACGCCTTGGCTATGTCGAATAGTGTTTCTGAACTTTTCTGAACATCGAATAAAAATATGGAGACTTCTTCTTGTGTCCCTCTTTTTTTGCCTTTATGTACGGTCCAAACACTTCTATCTTCTAAATCAGGTACAGGATCTCCTACTTCGTAGGGAAAATCCTTCGTAGGATCACGAGAGAAAAACGACCACATACTGTATTTCAATAATTATTTACGACGTAAATACATAATCTCTAAGACTAATTAACTTAGAGACGCATGAGTTATATGAAACTCATTTATAGTATGTAATAAATATCATATGTAATGTAATACGTGTACTAAACAAAAAATAAAAATAATTTTCTATTCACTATTCACCAGTAAGTAGTACTGACAAATTTGACAAGTGACAACACATTATCATTTTGTATGAAAAACTACAGATTATACTAAGAATTGAATGAAGATTGGTCAAGGAACCTTCGGCATTTATGCCAATTTGGACTCTTGCCCATGAATTGACAACATAAATTAATTTTTAAAATACTCAAAATAATAATTCATATTATTATATTATCTGCATTCGGCTCACTTGTGAAATTGAGCGTTATACGCAGCGGCAGAAACAAAAGAACAAGCCTTACAATATTTGAATCTAATATCTCACCTACCCTTTAACGGCCACCTCTAGTTCACAGCTTGCTTTTTGTTCAATCACATAATGAGTGCGTCCCTGGCTTCCTGCTACACACTTTAAGTCCTCTTTTTCAGCTAAAAGTGAGCTGAAAGCTACTTTATATAATCATCAATCATCACACTGTTCCTTGGCAATGTTTAACCATTTGAATTCTAGCAAACGCTGTCCTAGCAAATTATTTGATTATTGACATTTTCTAGTCACATTCATGACTTAGGCTTGATTATCTGAAGGCTTTGAAATCCTTCGGTTTTGCTTCTAAAAGTTATTACAATTAAATTGGAGGTTTGCTTAGGCGTAATTACTCATCTGCTAATATAGTGTGCATTCAGAGAATAAGTAGAATATGGCTAAGGAAAGTAAATAATATTTTCGGACATTGACACACAACGCCATCTAGTTTCAAACTAATCAGAGCTTGTATGAAAGCCTTATTGACTCATAGAATACTTAGAATATTATTATTATTTTTTGTAAATACATTCATACTATACATAGAAAACACCCAAACTCCGAAACAAATAATTGCAGATCATACAAACCATACTAATTTAAAGTCATTGATCTCAAATTAGTGCCATTAAATTAGTAAAGAACGGTTCTAAGACTTGATAAAATAAAAAAGTTAAATTCCTGATAACGCATGCATGTGTAATTATTAAGACTTGAATTCTAAAAGTGACATATTCTTAAGAAATACGTCAGGTTCTGCCTTGTTCAATAATTTAAATAGTCTCAAGCAGAATAGTTCTTTAGAAAACGTAGACAGCATCCGCATGTTTTGGGACGGATGTGGTGGTCAAAACAAAAATTCATTTATTATTGACACACTTATGTTCTGGTTAGCCAAAGAGTCACCTCCATCTATAAAATAAATTTTGATTGTATATCCTGTTCAGAGACATGGTTTTTTGCCCGCCGATCGTGTTATTGGGTGAATAAAAAAAGATCTCAGAAAAGTGACAATGATAAATACTAAAGAACAATATCAAAAAATAATATCTCAGCATGGCAAAGTACAATTTTTAGGTAAAAATAGGAAGTACTATGATATTAAAAGCCTTGATAGACATTTAAAAAAATGGATGGTATTAGAGATATAAAACGCAAAAAAAACATACAAAAGAAGATTACAAGAAATGGAACTGAAGCAATAGTTAACACTTTTCAAAACTTTAGATTTCAAAGTAATACAAAAGAAAAGAAATAAAATTGTTTTGTGTGAATCTATTTTTTACTTTTATTTTCATACTGAATGTTTCTTAAGACAACATTTTTAGACAGTGAGTTTCAAAAGGTGACATTTACATAATTATTGAATCAAATAGTGACATTTACAAGCTATTGGATCAAAGGGTGTCATTTGATATTATTTTTTTTCCAAATTTCAAAACCATCAAAATAACCTTATAATACATTAAATTTTATACAATAATTGACACATAAATGATTACTAAAAAATAATAAAAATTGCTTAGATCAACTTGAATATTTTTTTTACTCAAAAAGTTAAAAACTGGGAATTACACTTTTTGTTCCTAAACTTTCAAGCAAGTATAATGTGTTTTGTCCATAGAAATATATATATATATATATGAGCTCTGTGGTAGGCTGGGGAATATGAAGGGTTAATAAGCAGTATACCCCTTTAGGGGTATATATATGTTCTGTGAGTATATAGCACTGTATATCGCAGCCACTTACAGGCAGCTGTGCTCCGTGTTCTCTCTATAATTAAATCTCTATGGTTATGTCAGTACGTGGGAATTGAGAATGTGACAGTCTGTTTTGTTTATGTAATATATTTTAATAATTTACCAGAGAAGTGTGAAACAAATATTGTAAAGGATCATTAAACTTGACACATAAAAAAAAAGTGATTTTAATACATCAACATGTCGAAGTCCGTAGCTAGACTGAAGTCTATGAAAAAGGTTGCTGATAAAATTGATCACAGTTCTAAATTGAGAACTAATATACCTGCTGGCATGGCTGCTGCTGGACCTCCTTTGGGTCCTATGCTCGGTCAAGTATGAATCAAATGTTTGGTATGCCATAGGTAAATTAGAAATTCGTTTGATGTTGTAACTATAACCTCTACTTTTTTACTTCAGCGTAACATTAATATAGCTGCATTTTGTAAAGATTTCAACGAGCGCACGGCCAACATTAAGCAAGGGATACCTTTGCCCACAAGAGTTAAATTAAATTCGGACCGTTCATATCAACTTGTTATTCATCAACCACCAGCTTCATACTTTTTAAAACAAGCAGCAGGAGTGAGCAGAGCTGCTATGGAGCCAGGTCGGTTTTGTACTTAATTTTTTTACAATAACACCTCGAACATAACTAATGAGATATCTAATTATTTTTATATGTTTGTAAAGTGGGCTATATTCAGAAAATAACCATTAAAATATATTTATCATCAGATTAGCTAAGTTGTGTGCTTGTTTATTTTTCAGTTAGAGAAACATGTGGCAAAATAACATATAAACATCTGTATGAAATAGCAAAAATTAAACAACAAGATCCACCGCTAGAATGGAAGCCTTTGAAAGACATTTGTATTATGTTAATAGCAACGGCTAGAAGCTGTGGAATAGAAATAGTTAAAGAATTAGATCCAAAGGTATGTAACTGTACTGACCAGTAATGATGATAACAACTTCACACATCTTGCACACTGCCATCTGATCCTAAACTAGGTAGACCCTGTGCTATGGTTACCAGACTGCTCATAAACTTACTTATATATTTCTAAATACATACTTAAAATAGATAAATTACAGCTAGACACAGAACAAAAGATCAGGCTTATCATAATTTGTCCTGGGTGGGAATTGAACCCACTACCTCTAGTTTAGTAGTACCACCCACTAGACCAAGAAGCCCATAACTGCTAATAGTATTTGGATTCTGCCAAACATAAGTTATAAAAGTAATTTAGTATGATGAGGTACTAGGACACTCAGTTTTTTTAAAGATAAAGTAGGAAGGCTTAAAGTAAAATAATGTGATTGAAGTGTGGAAGAGCTATGTTTCAGCACACATGGGTTGGCTTGACTGAAGACCAGTGATAAAAAAGTCTTTTCTTGATTTTCACAAAGTGAGTGTGGTAACTGAAGACTCAAACCCTCCTGTTTTCACCATGTTGTTGGGGGTGCCCGTGTGCCTTGAGTGCAGGTGTTCATGGGCGCCAGTAGTAGTCTTTCATCATCAGGTGTCCAATCTAATCATCCTCTGCCATAAAAAAGTAAAATATAAAAAAACAACAACAGATTTTTTTAAATTAAAGATAAAAACATATCATGTACTTTACAATGATATCCACCTATTATCATCATTAAACAATTATTTAATTAATTATAATCATCATCTGAGCTGAAAGACTGCAACTGCTGGACATAGGCCTCCCCGAGGTTCACCACAACACATGGTCCTGTGCTGCCGCACCTTTTGGTAGTTTTTTCAAGCAAGGCTATGAAAATATGTTTCAGGAATATGGAGAATTTCTACAGGACAGGAAGAAGGTAGTGGAAGAACAAAAGAAGATGTTACAAGAGAAAAGAGAAGCTAAAATGTTAAGAACAGCTTAGTCCTCAATAGATATTATTACTAAGTTAGATACAAAATAGATGACAGTTAAAATTGGTAAATAATGCTAGGATGTTACCAAGAAATAAAAGAACATGTTTTACCCAAATATTGTTTATTAAATAAATAACAGTGCACCTCTCATTTAGATAAACAACTGAAAGCTGCTGCTATAACAATAGATTTCACTACTGCTGTCAAAACATTGTTTTTTTTCATATTGCATGTTGATTTGTCAGATCTACTTATGAGTAGAAGCAGTGATTGATTATTTTTATGCATTCATTCACCCATTTGTCATTACACCTATGATACACTGAAGAGACTATACAAGGAATAGTACTAATATTTAATATGTATATTAATTACATGCCAGCCTAAAAACAAGTAAGGTTAGCTATAACTAAATTATGTACACTATTTACCCACAATGCCTAAACCCATATATCACTTTGTGAGCACCTATGTGTCATAATTCCAGTAATAATTGAATATTGGATCATAATTATAAACTGAACAAGACATCTTACAAGGAACATTAACCACTATCAGTATCACATATAAGACAGTCTCATAAGAAGTTTCCTTAGAGTACAACCAAAAATACTTAAAATAAACTTTGAAATTTCTTTACAAAAATATGCATTATTACATGCCTCTTCAAATCCTTAAAAGTAATTAGGCGTTCATATTCTTACCTACACCTCAGAAAATAAATAGTAGTTTTAAAGCAACATAACACAAAGTTGATGAGGCGGATTATGGTACTTTTGTGGTAACTTATGTACAACAAAAACCGAAATAGCATCTACATGCTATATAAATACCAACATGCCAAAAAACTAATATATATTTGTACTGCAAAGTAAATTTTGTACTTTGGTAGAGTACTGTGATACTACAGTAAGGACAGAATAAAGGGCTCTCTGAAGCTTGCAATTACTTTGTTTTATAATCGCTTTCCTTTACTATGATAAAATCAGCATATATTTAATGTAGTCTCATACATTGTCCATGCAACCTAATGCAACTAAATTTGTTATTATTATTAAAGTTGTTATTATTTATATCAACTATTTCTTGGTTGGTTTGATATCAAATTTGAAAGTAGTTCAAATATGGATGTCATCGCAGCTAATACATGCTTTGCTTTGTAATAATCAAGCATTGCAAGAGCGCTTCAGAGGCAGAGGTATTTTTTTGGTAATTCAAAACATCAAAATTTGAAAAACAATAACAAAAGTAGAATATTACAGCCTCTATAACGAAATTATCAGCAGTTTATACCAGATGTGTGCGCAGGCCGTTTGAGTTTAGGAGAGTTTGGCAATACTTCTGGCAATTCTGTGACTTTATCTATAGTGAAGTCTGGTAAGTCTGACGACTCCATGTCCTTTTGAAACGGGATCCATACTGTGCCCCCTAACTCAGCTTCTTTGCCTCCCTGCAGACAAGAATATTATAATTAATTAATATTTATTTTAAACTATACTTAGGAACTTAAATTATGTATGTTCTTTCGAACATTATATGGAAGTAGTAAGTTATCAGACAGTTTTTATCGAAATTATGATCACAAGTATCTTGCCATTGAAATTGGTACAGTTCAGTATTGATGTCATACATAATTATAATAGGTATCATTTTATAAGTAAGTGCCCCCCTCAAAAGCGTTTCCCAGAAACAAATGTAATTCACTAAATACTGAGTTTCAGCTATTATTAAATACTTCTAACTTTATAGCCTGAAAGACATGAAAATAATAATATGTAGTTCTATTTAACTAGATTGCTGTAAGCAAAATACTTGTGGAGCAGTATGGTCATATTTTGTGCCTTTGATAATTTCCAACGGTATTAGTCTATGCTGTCAATATAAGAAACAAATAACCTCATATATCAGAGGACTGATTTAACAACTGATTGATTAAGTTAGTTCAAACTTTTAACATTTCAAGTTTAATAAGAAACCAAAGCAGCCAATGTACTATTTTAATATTAGAAGTTCCCTTACCTTGATATCAGTTTCTAGCTTGTCTCCAACCATGATGCACATACGAGGTTCGACGTTGAGTATCTTGCACGCTTCCAGGAAGATGTTCTGATCAGGCTTCTCCCATGGGAAGTCGCCGGAAACCAGCACGCAGTCGAAGTACTTGCGGAGGCCCAGCCGGTCAACTTTCTGCCACTGGGCTCGTGACGGCCCGTTCGTGATCAGACCGAGAAGGTAATCCTCCCTGTGCCACATTTATTACCCAGCCTTTTGTTAGTTCCAGATGTATGTTATGCTATAACTCAGCACATGATATAACACAAGCCAAATGATCTTGCACCTTACCACTGCAATTGTTAACCAACTAAATCTGTAGTAATATCTGTGTTACTTCATTACACAGTAAAATTACTTTGTGTAATGAAACCTTTTTTTTTATTAGGAATTCGACTATTGCAGTGTGTGCAAGAGAATTTCAGACAACAAAAATCATAAACGATTATATTTCAAGTGCAACTCATAAAACCGTTATAAATTGCAAAAAAAATATAATCTTACGTACTAGCTTTGTGCTGTGTTGACAGTTACATTGGACATCATTTGCAAACAAGACCTTACTTCCACACTTATTTTTAGAGTTTAATACCAAGAATACCAACAGAGCACAATTGCTTAGGAGTGTAAAAAGACAATGGAGAAATTTTAAATTCATTCAGCTATTTACTGTTACAAGTTTAAAATTAAACTTTCACGTTATCAACAAACATTTATACATTAAAATTTCTCCATTGTTGTACTGAATTTTTTGAGGTTCGAGTATTACCTTCGCCGTGATGTACTCCCTCATATATTTTACAAATACAATTCAAACCTAAGTGTTGCGCACGCAGCGCCCCGAGTTTACTCACTCGTTGAGCAACAACTGAACTGTAGAAAAACAAGTCATTTATTAGCAACATGCGCTCAAAGCCAGCCCAATACATTTGCAAAGGCATCAGTTTTAGCAGGTGTTTATTCCTTTTCATTTGAGTGTTTGCAAAACTACGTAAAGCTTGCAATTAATTGCTTATACCAGTTTCCAATAAGTGTTCATAAAATTCTATTGTTATTCTAGTGGTTATGCCTCCACAATGTTTTGGTCCTGACTTTGCTATGATATGAAGAAACCAAAATTGCGCTGATACTTATCCATAGTATTATGTGGCATGCTACTCCCAAAGATAAACGAAATAATAAGGTACTTTTAATACTAGTGATACATGTTTTGCGGGCGGATGATAGCGATGACTAACTTAGTATGAGAAACAGTTTGATAATAAAGACATCAATTTAAACCACATAACACCATGCACAATAAACAATAACAGATGATCTTGTTCTGAGATTGATTATTTCAGTTTTTTTTTTGTTATTTACGACGAATGAACACAGAAAAGCTTATGTTTAAATCTTAGAACAACTTCAATTTTCAGTTTGAATCCCTTGTTTTACAATTACGCAGATTGAGGAGACAATCCATGTATGAAAACAACGAAATTTTCATTTTAAAATTATGTACAAATTAGAAATAACATAAAGTATTACATCATGGAGAAATATTTGATGTGTGAGTCTTTTCTCTAGGCATCCACTAGTCTAAAATATTTCTTCATAATATAAAAAAGATTTAATACAAAATTTAACCAACGTACCGCAGTGTCTCCAGAAGATGTATTACGTCGTTTGTTAGAGCCAAACATTGAAACCTTAATTTTACCCATTCGGCTGATATATTTTCTGAAAAAGAAATTTGTCAGTTGACAGAAATTATAAAAAAAGTTAAAAACGACGATGTTGGTGCTACAGTTTCCTTATTTTTATAAACCTGCATTAATTTTCCATTTTAGAAATAGAACAGTCAAGTTTATTACGTAGAAGCAACACGACGACGACGAGTCATTTGCACATCGGATTCTGGAACTATTTTAGAATCATCGTGTCACTTTTTGAGTACAGTGAAATAAGAAGTCTAGAATGGAACTATAATTAATGTGTCTGTCTTAAATACCTTATAAGATACCTGTTAAACAGTACTAAGCCGCCTGTTAATATATTATCATGAGCGTACAGGGTCGTAACCAGCTTTTGACTTACAAAAGGATATCTTTTTTGTCGATCCTGAAAACATACATTAATAAACGTCTTTACTTTTCGATTAGGGTCATTTCAAATTATTAAGTAGGTAGGTGGGCAGTATCTTTTTACAAATATATATAGCTGTGCGGTCCGTTTATAAATTTCATCATAACGCCTACGCAGACCGTAAAACGGCTACATTTTATGTAGACGATGAGATTTCATCACACAATTATTTATAGGCTGGGTTTGTTTACATGAATAGCATCAATGACAAAGCAATTTTGCTTGTTCGTTGTAGGCAGTCGAACAGTCAGTGCACCTACGGTCAAAAAGCAGACGTTGAAGTGCATTCACGTTTTAGGCTCGTTGCCAAGTCTAATCGTAAAAACTGTTTAAACATATCCCTTATAGCCACAAACTACTGTTTGGCACATAGGTAGAATGTGATGGGACTATTAGCCGAGATTAAAATCAATACTACTATCGATACTTACTTAACATAATCTTAATCATATTTTCTTTAAAAAAAGTTATATTAGGAAAGTTAAAGTTAGTGGCATCATATTCTATCTCTGGACTTGAGAGACGGCTCCGAACATGATCTATAGAAAAATTAAAACTGATCCTAATCGAATTGTACTTACTAGGTACCTATTTTACAAGCATATTTAAAAGCCTTTGAGAAAAGTAAAAAAGTTTTGTGGTTGAATGGATGCACGTCAAGTCAATCCAATAAGCAGTAAATGCGCGTTATTGTCTATCTGTTTATTACCTACTTGTCTTACTATCATGATATAGTAAACAAAGCCGTTAAAAACCTTGTGCATTAAAATTACGTCGCAGCGGCGTATGATTGAGCAATGACTAATTAAATTTTTTACGAAGGTAAATATTTACACTAGGCACGTCTATCTAAATGATAAACTACGTGTTCTCATAACTATAGTTCTTATCTCGCAAGGATAAGAGGCGGAATGACCAGTTTGTTATGTTTTTTGTTGAAACGACTTCTTCGTCTTCTTCAGAGTCTTTTTCCTAAACTAAGTTGAGGTCGGCTTTAAGTCTACTACGATACAGCTGACTTTCATCAGACCATCAGACTTCCGGCACCCAAGTACTAGGTGATATCGAAGTTTTTAGGTCTCGGACTATCCGTAACGATTGCCACAGATGTTCATATGGCAACCAGGACCGACGGCTTAACGTGCTCTCTCTTTTGTTAAAACGACTATTGGTTATTATGTCTAATCTATGTCTATGTAGACCACGAGTACTATGGACAGTCAAATTAAAGCCTGTTAGTTATTTCAAGGAGGTTAGAGGACTTCATCAGCCAGTTTGAGTTATCTATGTGATCTTAACATTCTCGAGCTATTACTCACACTCCCCAATCCATCCGTATAAGCAATATACCTTTCCTAACTTTACCTGCCACTCTCACCAAGTTGAACTTCCGATTTTCATATATAATTCCCAGTAAAGTGAGCGGTTGACGGCAATAAGTGGGCATTTCATGCCCTACGGATACAGGCGTGAGTATGTTTATATTTTAAGTGTTTAAAATCTAACTTACAGTTTATAGTATCATTCGACTGAGATTTCTTAATCCCAATTCAAAGTTTTTGTTCTAGAAACACGGATAGATTATTTAAACATTAAAACAGCATACTTACTGGCGATATGTCTATACTTCTTAGGCAGACAGTTGCGCCATAGATGTGCCGGCCATTCGTCCAATGCGTACGTGTCATCATCAGGGCGGGCTCGAAAGGCGCGAAGAAAGTTGGTTCCACTCTCCACTGCAGCGTCTTGAGGGAGACCATATTGTTGTTGCAGTATCTCTATAATCTGAAGACAATTGGCATGTGTTATGTTAACAGTAAACATAGCTTCAAAGAACATGTACCACTGTGCGCTTTTCAAGACACTTTTTGCCTCGTGCCCTACCAACCTGTGGAACAAGTTATCGTCTGCGGTATTTCCGGACCGATACGACCTTCAAACCTTCAAGAAAAGAGCGTAATCCACAAAGCATAGCGTCTGTCTAGTGGCAGTGTTTTAATATATTGCTTTGCTTAGTAACTGGCATTAGGTGCGATATACATATATATCATTAATAGGATATATTGATACGATATACCACGGCAACTTCATAAGGATTATATTTATGATCATTAAGATTTCAGTTAAGTCTTGGTACAGGTACAGGGATTAGTTCATAGTGTCGGAGTTGTATTACCGATAAATATATACTTAGTGTGAATTCGGGAACTCTTAGAGGAAGTCTTTGGTCAGGAGTCCTCGTCCCATATTATTATCGTTTAATCTAAAACTTGCTCAAGTTTAATTTAAAATTGCTATGATTTAAAAGACGATATTTAAAAGAGAAAAATAACAAAACTCTTGGGTCTTAGAGACCGATAACAGGTGGTTGTGTACCTATAGAATGAAATTCCTTATGCACACGGCAAACCTATGTACCTACATGAGAAGAATAGTAATCTTAATGCGCTGATATCAGTAAGAATTTGGAACGTAATTTTTCTGTAGGATTACTATAACTACTAATATAACTTCGAAAAATGAAACTGACGCTTGCATCACCAAAAATTATAAAGTATTTGTACTTTTTGATGCTTTTGGCCTTCAATTACATTTTTCTAAATAATATATTCTAGATAGAACAGAAATTAAATTATATTTGTTTAAGTTTATCATTAGCAATCATTTTAGTGAAGTTCTGGCATTGGTTGGTTAATTAAATATGTATTTGTTAAATGTTCTACATGTAGACTACGGAAATTCCAATAATAACTATGTTTGCTACGTACATTGCATCTCAGAAACTGTCCGTGTATCCAAGAATAATGCGGGGTCAACGTTCTTAGTAAATGGTCGTCGTTCACTCACCTGCTACTGTTTGGCACACTCCCGAGCTTGGAAACTGATATTTAACTTCTAATACTGTCATTAATTTTCATGCTCAATCTATAGGAATTATTTGTACACTCTGTACTAGGATTTGATAAATCAAAAACAATATATAGGTTCACCTTAAAAAGTTTATTCAGTAACAAACAATATTAAGTTGGAAAAACAAAGTCAGCCAGACAAAACTATCAAACAAAGAACAAAATTGTTACTATATACAATATGTTTATGTTGCAGCAAACAGTATGTTTATGTTAGAGATTATAGGAACCATACACTTATTACAAAAACTGCTTTAAGTACATTGTTGTAAAAATGTATTAGATTGATTACAATATTCTTGTTAAAGTAGGCATATAATACCCACCTATTTTACATTATAAAATTTAATCACCAAACAACTTCTTGCCTAAGTCCATAAACCGGTGGTTTCTGCACATTTTTAGAGCACCAGCTTTCTTAAGTACAGGTATAACACTCTCATTTGAGTCTACTAGTCTACAAAGGAAATCTTCAAATGCCGACTTGACATTTGGTGGAAGTGTGCCAACTTTGACCTTAGTCAGCATTTCAGCAATGCCATGTGCCCAGCCACTCTCAATTGCAAACTCTGAAATCCATGGCACTATAGTAAGAACACCACTCATAGTCTGCATTCCTAGGAACCACAGATCAGCTATTTCATTCCAGTGTTCCTTGTAGCCCATTGACACAACAAGAGCACTGGGATCATTTGACTCATCAATGTTGTAAGCATCCCACAGGAATCTAATAGTGGATTGAATATATCTGCAAATGGAGAAGTCATTCTTCTTGACTTTACTCGCCTGTTGTTTAAGTAATAGTAAGCCCAATACTGCCAGATGACCATGGAGAACCAAGTTTTCAGGAATATCCTTCAACTCTGGTAAGTCATTAAAAATAAACTTGAGTAAGGTGTTGAATAACATACTATTTTCAACAACTTTTGGTGCAAGCACTGTGAGATTCATGAAAATATTGCATAGACTGACCATAGCTGCCCTAGAGTCTTTCATATCTTCTAATACTTTAGGGTCTAATTCAGGAGCAGGTTGGCTCTTAACCTTTCCTCTTTCAGATTTTGGTATGGGTGGCTTTTTATAGTGAACAATTGACCAGTGGAAACTCATGGCTTCATAAAGTATGTCTTCTTGTTTTAAGTTGAATACTATGGCTCTAGCTTTATCTTCTACAACTAAATGGCAGAGAGCTGGCAACATTAATCGCAAGAGGTCAATTTGTCCCATAACTGAGGTGTCTGTTTCCATAGGTTCACCTTCTGACTTGTTCTTTTCGGTGAGCTTCCTGGATCGGTAGGCATGGAATGAATCATTGGCTAGCGAGAACATAAATGGAAGTAAAGTATAAACTTGATCCCTCATTGCAGTTGTTTCTTGAGCAATCCAGGCAACTAAAACTCTCACCATAGCACAAACATAAACTTTCTCTGCATCAGGCAATTTATCTTTGTTCTTATCGTTGTGTACTTTAGTTAGCATTGACACCACAGCATTGAAAGCACCTTTCAGACCAGTGTAAACTGATTGCTTTTCTTTTTGCTCCAAGTCAAGCTGGTCTGTAGCCATGTAATTGATGGAAAGCTCCAGTACAATAAAGCAAGCAGTTACCAGGTCAGCATTAGCATAAGCTTGTTTAAAACTCCTATCTTCTAATTGCATTCTAACTTCAATGGCACATAACTGTTGCAGCAAAAGAAAGAATTTCTTGGGATTTTCTTCATCATTTAATGTCCACTCTATTCCTAGAAGGTCAACAATGTTGGCAGCCAGTTTGAGGGCAGGGTCCCTCTGGTTCTTGCCAATTTTGCTAGTGAGGATATCATGAAGAGCTTTATAAATGCTCTGTGGCCATGTTTCATCAGCTGAACCAGGAATCACTGTTGCTTTGTTGCAGCTATACAAAAGTGCACTCAAAATGGTAGCCAGTTCAAACTTTCTTTCTGACTGATCAGTTGCAAAATCTAGGGCAATTTTATTAACTAAAGCATGGAAGGGTTTTGGATCGTTACCCCAAGCTGCTGGGCCATATCTGCTTACTAGCTTGACAAGGATATTAAGAGCTTCATCAGTTTGAAAACTTTGATGAGAATAGATCTCGGACATTTTAGTGATAGCACCTACTTCAATAAGAGCTTTCTGTCCGGCCTCATGCTCAGCGATGCACTGTAGACATGTGTAGGCTTCACTAATGATAATAAGATCATCATCGTAATCTTCATGTTCTGACTTCTGCACTATTTCAAGGAATACAGGGATATTGGCAAGCATTTCTGGATGTGTTGCAAGCTCAGGATCATTGCAGAAGCATGTGAGTATTGATAAGGCAACTGACTTGTACACAGAAGGTGGACAATCATCTTCAACAGAGTTGTTCGAAAGAAGCTTCTTCAGAAACTGGAATCCGATTGCTTCGAAGAGTGCCTTCCTAGCTTGAGAATTGCAGTCCTTGCTCTTGACGAGTTTAGTCACCATAAACAACGCCGCGAATTTCTCCGTGTCAGTTTTCGCGGATTTTAAAATGAGTATGCATTTTTTTATCGGTTCCGATATATCACCCATTATTACGAAAGACACGCGATCACAAAGCGCAATACTGAGCGCTCTACTGAGCGCTGGGTTCGCGTTGAGAGTTGTTCGGGTAGCGGCTCGATCTACATCACGTTTATAATTAGCGTGAGTTCTCTTCCAAAATATCTAAATCTGGACGTCGAGCTCACGTTCTCCAACTATGAAACACTATTTTTAAACACACGCTGGAACGTGAACTGTATACACGCGGAGTGCAACAAGCAAACCAGCGAGTCTAACAAACGTCGTAAAATCTCACGATTGCGATATAGCACAATGACAGCGCGCGCACTACGTTCCGAACTACAAATCCATGACCGTGGCAATGTCACTATATTTTTAGCTAAATATTACATACCTTATTGCAGGCTCTGGTGTCTCCCTTTCTAGTTTGTATAAGAGTATTGTCTAAATCGAAAAAAATGGCTGCAACATCACTATTTTCACTATAATACGAATTATTAGCCATATTGTCAGATCTTTGAATACAGGGAAAATAACAGCTGCTTAGTGATGACGTCACAGTGACACAGTACCAAGTTCCGAAAACGTCCGAGATTGAAACTGCGTAGTGGGAAAAAGCCCAATAATCATATTTTTATTCGCTCGCTCCTGTTATATACCACAATGTATCAACTCTTGCATCTCTTTCTACGTAGAGTTTGAAGTTTTATTTAATGTTCACGCCATCTGTTTAATTTAGTAGAAACTAATGCGTGTGGTAAGTGGGTCGTAATAGATATGTTTTGTAATATAATTCCTAGAGGGCAAGAATGTAAGTCTGTTTTTTTTCCAGATTGGTCCAGAGAGAGAAGCTTTTACTGGACACTAGGGAACCCTTGACTTAACCAGAGAGTTACCGAAAGAGTTCTAGTAAGTGGCGCATTTTATCACACTAAAGGTGGGTGAGCGACCTGATTATAACTTTTATTTATTTTTCACCAGTTTTGTAAGGGAACTACTTCAAAGTTAGATCCGTTTGAAGAAATAATATTTAGGTAGAAATTCGAACCGGTTGTTAAGTTAGTCATGCTAACAGAAAATTTAATATTAATTCATTCAAATTTTGGTATAAAATGATTTTGGCTTTTTATTTATTCAATTTCTGAGCGCTTTCTAATTTTTCTATTTCCATTTATCCATCATCAACAGCCTTTAATAGTCCACTGCTGGGCATAGGCCTCTCCTTACAAAGGTGGTTTTGGCCCTGCTATACCACGCTGGCCAGACGGGTTAGTATAGGGTTTGTTTCAAGTTTTCCTTCGCTTTGCAGTTTTGTTGTCCTGCGTAGCTTGCTGCCTTGCTAGGCTCTTACGACGCCCACGGGACGAATAAGGGTGGTTATTATTATTATATATACACGGATAGTTTTTTTTTTATTGGATGCTGATGCGGATGCGGTGGAAAAAGCTAGCCAAAATAGAAAAAAAAAGTTTTTCTCTAAAGTTGGCTTGAGAGATGTCCCTAGAGTCCAACACCACTATTCTTCAGGTTGCCTTTTATACATCTGCTTCTGGATTCCAGTTCAAACGTAACCCTCTAGCGCGTAGTTATAACAGTGTTTGGAATCGGAATGAAGACGCTCGTACGTAAGGAGGCATAAAATTTTGACAAAACGAATCAAATCAAATCAAATCAAATTGTTTATTTGCCTATTACAGGTTATACAAAGATCTTATATACTAGTTTTGGCCTCTGTATACTACCCTTTCAGGTGTGCAAATATTTCATACAAATTAATAAACTAAACTAAACACAACAAATATGTATTGAATTGTCATATATTAATAAATAAAAAATAAAAAACTCTTAATCCTAAATACATCACTACATCAGTACCTGAGCAAAATCGCAGAATTTTTAAATTATGTCAGATCAATAATCCAGTATTATCTAAATGTACATATATATATCAATTTTCAGTAAATCAGTAACAAATACTAGTCACAATCATTGAACAAACAATTGCAAATGTCATTAAATAATGTCTAAGAGGAAGTCATTTATGCTGTAGTACGTTTTTTCAATCAGAAACGCTTTTAGATCACGTTTAAATTTACATATGTCACATATTTGACGAATATTTTTTTGGGAGCTTGTTAAATATTCTAGGAGCCATGCCGAGGATATTTTTATTAAAAAGCGCACTTGTGTGGGGCGTTGCGTGGATTCTATCACGTTGTCTTTGGCTTTTTAGGGATTGAAAATATTCTGGATGCAATTTAACAAAAACTGCCAACTCAAAAATGTACAGTGACGGAAAAGTCAAAATCTTCAGTTCCTTGAAGCGAGGTCCACAACTGTCCGGCAACCTTAAACCACATACGGCTCTAACGCATTGTTTTTGTGCTCGAAACGCATCGTCTCTCTTAACTGAGTTTCCCCAAAAAATGATTCCGTACCGTAGTGTAGCCGTGACGCAAGCATTATAAATTAAATTTACAGATTTACGATTAAATTTAATTTACAGAATGGAAACGACTTCTAAAGGTAAGTAGAATATTAATTGATATGCACGATAACATTTATGTAAAGCCGCAAAAGAAGCAGTAAATATGTAGATTTCTTTAAAAAAAATATATTATTTTTTATTCTTCTAAAAAAAGTTATGATGTTCTGTCGTGTATGGTCATTAAACCTGTTAGAGGTTGTAACTTTAAGGATTAGCTACATAATAAAAAAATAAAAAATTAACTGCCCCGGACTGTTCATTTTTAAGAATTTATTACTAAAATAGAGTATAGTATTGATAACCCGAGTCTCAGGACTCGGGTTTCCAATGCTATACTGTATTTTATATAGAAAGCCTTAAACTATTCGTAATTTCACGTCGCCATATTAGATTCGCTACTTATTAACTAGATCTTTAAATTTAATTATGGATTCGTAATCAACAACCCCAAAAACCTTGAATGTTATATGTAGGTAACTTGATTACGTTAAGAGGGTACATTTTTGTGAATTTCTTTTTTTCTTTCTTTTCTTTAAAAAGACAACTCCTTAATTAGGCATTAGGAATATATTATTATCCTGTGTTCTACAAACATACATTAAACGGACACAAAGAACACCCAGACTCAGAACAACGATTTGTAGATCACGCAAAGTGTCGCCCCATATGGGGATCTAACCCACAACACTCAGCGTAGTAAAGGAAGCGGCGTGGCGACCGCTTAATCACTACGCCATCTGTGCAGTCAATTTACATCAAATTCGTAATTAGCGACCACTAAAATCTTGAATTTTATTTTTGTATGTAACTTGATTATGTTAGGAAATATGGGGTATTTCGTGCAAGGGGGTGGTCAATTAAGGGTATTTTTTTGCGAATTTGACATTAAATTTCTTAATCAGCTTCACGAACACCCGCGAGAAAGAAATTCAGCATCATTTACTTGATTTTTAGATTTGAGTCCAGCTTTTTATTCATTATATTTTGTCATTTCGTTTCTTATTTAACAATTTTAAATTGATGTCAAGTTTCGCTTTATTTTGTTTTATCTATTTTTTTCATGTACGTATATAAGGATATCTCTTTTGCTGAATTCAATGAAATAATTTGATGTAATAAGTACGTCCACTGTAACAGTACGTTCCTATTGATCTCGTTATCAGCAGTAGAAGATACAACTGCATTTCCTGGCACCTCGTACCGTTGTACGTATCTGGGCAAACGCGGCCACTTCCTAGCAATGCGCACAGGAAATTGGCCGCCCTGATTCATCCGCCGGCGACATACAACCTGCAAAATCTTATTTCTTGCATATATTATTTGTAATTGAGACATGTATTCTACTCGTAATTCGACTAAATACGGACACATTAAGGCATATAAAACAATTACGCAATTGGCTACCGCAACTGAGTCAGTTTGAGATTGACGTTTAATGATTCACTCCTTGATCGTCAATCAACAACTGAGTCAGTTGTAGTGTTTTATTCTTTGCCATTCCGAATTTCAGTCTGTTTGCTTCTGTACAAGTTACAGGTAAACCTTTACACAATGTTTAGTGTCCAATATCTGCGGATAAGTGGAATAATATTTTCCGCAATATGTTTGATTATACAAACCATACTGTTTATACTTCGACCCAAGATAAGACAAATGGACCAAAAAGTTCTCATGCAACTTGCAGTGACACGGTTGATACATTCAATGGTGGCCTGTTGTTATAGATTTGATAATGCTATGGGTATCGTCGTTGCAGGCGCCTTGTATGATCTGATAGATACAGCTTTGAGATGGTGGATGTGTGTCTACACGAAAAATTTGTACGAAAAAATAGTGAAAGTGTTTGAAACTGAAAAGTGGAGCTTTTTAAAACTATCATTGGTTATATGGTTCTCGACGATTACGATAAGCATTGTGATTTTTATCTTCTTGTATCTATTTGCACCGCAGGGCAATGTACATTTCTACGATTCTCTATGTGCTTATAATATACTGTGGAAAGTTGCAAAATGTATTATTGTATGTGTAAACTTTTTAATCTTCTGCAAAATATTCTATGTTGTTATGAAGACAAGATTTGGAACTAGATCGTACGAAGGTTTTTCAAACAGTGAATTTTATAAAAATTTTGCAGGCATTGTTAAAATTTGTGTTGTCTCATTTTTTCTTATGAGCATAACTAGCTTACAACTACTGATCGACGATATATCTGTAATAACATATGCTACTGACCCTAACACGGAGAACATCGAATGGACCGTGGTACAATATATACTCGCTATAAGTTCATTTCAAGGAGTTGACATAATTATTATTTTTCTTATTTTGATGAAAAATGAGACGCAATAATTTGTAATTGCAATTTCTGTTTACTACCAAACTAAGGCCTATTACTTGACACACTATGGTTTATCAAAGACAACACACTGTTCTAGTTGAGTTTTTTTAAATGTAATCAAGAAGTACACACTTATACAAACTTCTCTAAGATCTTGAGATATGTGGTGAATTATATTATAGTGTTATTCAAAAGACAGAT